GAGCATTGCAGCGCCTTGATTCGGTCATACCACCGCCGCGTCTCGTTGAGGAACTGAATGAACTAGCGGATCGGACTTCTCAGCTCTGATGACTGAGAAAACTTATAACGGGTCATTTGCTGTTCGCCCCCCGTCGCTTCCGGTTCTGATCTTCCAAAGCTCTCAATAGATCTGATGCGGGGCGAGCGAAACTCCAGGTTTCAGCCATGATTTTCGAGCTACGATCGATTTATCCGCTGTATGAACGATATATGAACGTTCTGGTTCGGGGTGGGGATCCCTGACTTCTCCTGAATCCGTCGAATGTGCTCACTAGAGACCGCCGGGGGGACAGATTGCACAGACAGACACATGCGATTCTGCTCGAGGAAATAAAGGTCTCTGCCGAGATCTATCCGTCGCAACCGACATACGGCCCGATGCACGGATACCATTCACAGGCTTCCTCGCTACTGCGCTGGGTTTCAGCTCCGAAACCAAGGCTGCGCTGCTCGGATATACGTGGGAGGGAGAGACTTGTCAATCTGGCGCGAGACAAGAGTTGAGGGAGTCCGAGACCCATTCCTGGAGAATTAGATTTCGATCCGAGTTCAGCGAAATGAAATCCGAGACAGATCGTCGAAGAACACTTTCCCGAGGAAAGATGCCCTTATGCAGCACTCGTGATGGAAGGATGATATTTCACGGACGGGGTCGGGGGTTCAGGGGAGGGGACATCGGGAGAAAGAAACAGGTGGCGGACAGACCGATTCAGGGGGTGAAAGGCCGTTCTCTTCTCTTTCCTCCTCCTCTGAGACTGCGACCCCGAGTCAAATTGACTCGGCCTCGAACGAGCTGATCCTTGCCAAAGCCAGTCGGGGTCAGTCGAGGGGGGCAGCCACTCAGGCCAGCACGTCAGTAAGCAATCGACGCAAGGGGAAGCTAGGGCAAAGCGACATGTTGGCTAAGGGCGCTTCGGCAAACGTTTCCGCGCAAGCGAAGGGGAGGGGACGAGACGGCGACGACGACGAGGAAGGAAGGAGCGTGGGAACATCTCTGCGTTTGTTCCTCGGACTAAAAGGGCAGTCGCGACCACCGCTTCACCCCCCTTTTTTCCTCCTCTTTAGGTCTTCCGTTCGTGCGTCTTTGGGTCCATCCGTACGTATGTCTCACGGCCTGTTCGGGCGAGTGGCCGTCCGTCCGTCAGTCCGATTCTCCGCCAGCGCGCTCCCTCTCTCGCTCTCTTGCCCTCCACTGTTTCCTACTACGCAACGTTCTCGCGCAACCAGCCGCAATACATCCCCCGACCCTTCCCAGGGCGACCCTCCCGTGCTCCACCGCCCGCCACTCTCACGCACAACACACGCTCACACATTTCGACGGCACACATACAAGGGAAGCGCACGCTTGCCTGACTGCCGACCCGGTTGCCTGCCTGCCTGCCTGCGTGTCTGCCGGCGAGGAGGATGCCGCGAAACAAGTACAAAGTAGCGCAGCAACTGCGCCGAGTCTCTGTGTCCTCTTTCGGAACATCAAGGTCATGACCACCCCCGTCAGCTAACCCTTGTGTGCCGTTACCACCGTCTATGCTCTCGATGATGGTCGCTATGCTCATCATCGGACGGGAATGGCCGTCAGTGGCGACCTACATCCGACATGCGCTATCCGAGCTGAGATTTCGAAATCGATTCCGAGTTTCATCTCGATGGTCCTCCGGTCACCAAGACGAGTTCTCTCGATGCGCATCCTCGAGGGATTCTATCCGAATTGAATGACTTCATTGGGATGTTGGGAGCGGATCCTGCGGAATACTCCGTTTCATCTCGGTCCCGGTGGGCCCCCGCTCAGCGTTCCCGCACATGCCCACGGATTGAGAAATATCGACGCATGGATCATACAAACTCTAGAGGAGCGTTGAGGGAAACTGAGTAATGACTCATGTCGCTGTATTCCTGTTCCCTTTCCTATTCTCTCTCGGTCTCTTCAGCATGCGCCCAGCAGTGAACGAGGCTAAAAATTTTCCAAATCTTTGTGAATCGATTCTCGAATCTTGCTGCCAGCCGCAGTCAGTCTTTGGGAGAGGAAACGATTGAGTGTACCCGCCTTTTTCTCTCTCGCTCAGCGAGGTCTGTTTTCGATTCTGTTATATTTCGGTTGCTCCTTCTCCCGCCTCTCTCCGGCCCGTGGTGATGATGATCTCGATGATGACGAGGTTTTCTCAAAAGATTCGAAAAACTCGCTGATCTCATCCATCCATGATTTGCAGGAATTGGTTGAAACGCAGATCTGACTCGGTATCGGGAATTTTCGTTCGGATCCGGAACATTATTCCGTCGGCGATATCCCGTAGCCTGCCAACAGCATACAGTTATCGATGGCACTGAGTTTCCCCAATCTTGTCTCGATCTGCGGGCGGGCTCCCGTCGAGGTCTCTAAACAGAGATTACTCCCAAGCGTCAGTGCTTTCCATGATGACTTGACATCCATCGGTACTGTTTTCAAACACAACGAAATTTCCAATACCAGTCCCCACCAATGGGAATGATTCTCGATATTCCAATACTCCTTGAATTGCCAAACGTGATTTCGTCTCGCGTAGGGAGGTTGGGTCTCTCTACCCTCCGTTGGTGGCGATGAGCTGAAATCGCCGGCGGGCGACGAGGAACAGCTCGGAATTCCGCTGGTAAGACATGAAGCGATGAAGCTTCATGTTTGAACTTGTCTTTGAGATGGATGTAAGCTTTGCTTCGCTCCCTCCGCTCTTCAGTTCACTCTCTGAGTCGCTCACTGTCTGCCCTTATTTCCGTCCCCTTCATCCACCCGAGCGACCGACCAGGCAAGCGGCTATCCCTCCTCCTTTTCCCCTCTATCCCTAGCTCCTCCTTTGGTTCGTTCCCTCCTCAAATGGTCGAACGGACTCAAAATTGGGAGAGAGGATTTGAGAAAGTGGCGAGAGAGAATGAGAAACGGCGAGAGTTGGCAGCGAACGAAACGACGGACGTACAGACAGTCGGACCAACGAACGAATGAACGAAGGGAGGGGGTGTTGCGAAGCCGAAGAGCGGGGCATGCGCTCCTGCTCGCGGGGAGCAACGCACTCTGAATCGACATGGCAGGGAGGGAGATAGAGACGGAGCGGCGCAGGCAGCATAGCGGGAACCGGAGGAGGACGAGGAGCACCACAGCGAGGATATGGAACTCACTGGATGAGCGATGGAGAAAGAAGGGATTCGAAGGCTGGAGGTTGGGAGCAAGAAGTCGGGGGCGGGGGGGGAGGAGGAGGACGGTGGCGGCGGCGACGACGAGAGTTCGAGGCAAACCTTCGCGGAGGGCCGAGCGAGCTCCTCTATATATGGAACGGATTACACTGCTCTGCTGCAACGATGGCCAAAGGATGGGATAGTGGGGTAATTTGTGGGGAAGAATCATGGGGCAAGGATGAAATGGGGGAGGAGGGGAGCGGAAGAGGGAGTCAGCAATGGAACGGAGAGGAAATGTGGAGAAGGTGCTGAAGAGCGGTGGAAACGACGCAGTTGGCTGTTCAAGAGTAGTTTGCTATCGCTCGCTCGCTCTTTCTCTCTCGAGTGAATTTTCCGAAGCTGAGTTGAGAGAGGGACGACTACCGCCGCCACCATTGCTGGAGCCCGTCGCTGCCGCCACCACCATCGGACATAGCTTTGGGGGAGTTGTAGAAGAATTAGGGCCCAAGAAATTCGGGGCGGGTGAGGGCCGAGATCGAAGGGAAGCCAAGTCAGCTGCTGAAGTCATCGTCGAGCGAAACGAGGGAGAGTGAAACGAACGAATGAGGGGGCTCGCTCGGGCAACACGGACCGGAGACCGGACAGGCGTACGGGCGGACGGACGGTTGGACGAATGGTCTGGCGAGGCAGGCGAACGCCATCGACCACCTCCCAAGTCCTTCACCGCCACTCCCTCTTCCCCTCCTTTCGAGCTCTAGATCAAACGTCCCGAATCGGCAGCGAGAGAGCTACCATTCCTTGCGTCGTATGCGCACACTCATACATTCGTCCCTTCGTTCGTCGTCAATACACGACTCAACACTCATACTAGGTGACGAGATCCCCATACGCCGACGGCAAGCAGCCAGCATACCTCTCAGAGGGAGCAGCGATTCAAGGAATCGATATCAATGATTTAGTCGATTTCACTGCTGTTCCCTTTATCCGGAGGATTTCAAATGAGTAGCGCTCACTTCACCCTTTTTCCTATGGTCGGTACCTAGGTTCGCCAGACCTGAAAACGGAGCGAAATTTCCATTTCTCAATCTGCAGATCGCAACGCCTACGTCCCCGATCTATTCATTTCCAATTATTCTGAGAGTAATACAGCAGAATCGAGCTGCACTATGCTTAAGCCTAGTTGAACGAAGAGCGGAGAATTAAACTCGGAAATCTCGAAAACTTTAGACCGAGCCACCACCTTCCTGCGGCTGATCTCCTCGACCGTGGACGCCTATTTACGGAATCCTTCCCCCCATCGGGGAGGAAATGGTGCCTCGATGTACTGAAACGCTACGGAGGGATGATGACGAGAGAATCGATATCAGTCGATTCACTCGGCTCCCCTGTTCGATTCCATGAATCCGCGGAATGGATACTCTGGCGCGAGAGGGAGTACGAGTTTCCCCACTCATACGCGCCGTATACAGCATACTTCCCTATCTCTGTATAATGAAATTATAAGATGCCGCGCTCTGCTGCGAAGGAAACGGTCAATACGAGAGCTATTGAGTCGGAAGCGAAGGTTCCTATTCAGGGTTCGCCTTCCATGAGCGAGGCCGAATATTGCCCCCAATCTCACTCTACAGATTCCGAAGAATCGACCTGAAACATATTTCCCTTCCGCCGGAGCAATCTCCCGCGATCACCAGCAAGGGTTTCTCGGATGAGGGGAAGACGTTTTGTGCGCCTACAAACATGTATGTTATGACCATGTGCGATGTTATAAGTAATGTGTGCAGAACTCTATCTCTACAAAACAAAACTCACCCGTTGTATGCCGGAGCCTATGTCGTGGTCATCTTCGGTCTGCGCATTTTCTTCCATAATATCGCTCGCGCGCCGCATTCCACAGGATCGCCCCCACACTGTCGATTTGAGCTAATCTTCGCGACTGCGTTCTCTCCTTGTATTTGGTAAAAACTCGTTCCCTTGTGACTTCGACGTGTCAGGTTGCCGGAGGTGGATCGCGGAATTATCTTTCATTATCCATTATAGTTTCCATAAATATCGGGGGAATTCCGCTTCATCCACCTTACGGAGTGGCATGTTGATCGAATCACATCATTTGGAGAGCGGGCTCCATTTCTTTTCGGAGACAGATCTCGCCACCGGGATGTTGGAATACTCCGTGGCCCAGGACCGTACTCGTGGAGGTCCACGAAGTGATGCTCGCCGGCTCTCGATTCATTGGAATTATCATCTTACAGGAACTTACAACGATGGTGTTGGTCAGAGTGTGGTCGACGGATAAGAGTAGGAAGAAACTACTTAACATCACAGACGGCGACGATCTCAAGAGACAAGCAATCGCTAAAGGACTAGCCAGGTTAGTACTCCGGTCGTCCGATATATTTAATCAGCTGTCAGTTATATGCTGAGGAGTCGTCCGTGAGGATTCCGAATCCGATTGTCACCTATGGCGTGAGAATATTGGATTTACCTATATCGGTCTGACGAGTTCGTTTTTGGAACCAGGGACCCGGGCCACGTCCGGGTATATTTAGAAGATGGAACCGAAATAGAGGACGACGTGATAGTCGAGGTTCTGCAAGACTCGAGTTTTGAGAAAATATTCGTCCTATCCGAGAGCGGGTGGCATTTCGAACGACGTGAGTTCCACATCAGCATGCTGATTTCATTAATCCGAACATTCAAAATTTCTCTCTCGATCCCATTTTCGGACTCTCAATGCTATCCGTAGACTGCACGATATGAGCTGAAGGGAATGAGAATTCGCTCGCGAGGTGCCGCGCAAGAGTGTTTGCGGGGGACGCGTGCCGGTGCTCCGTGGAGAGCTCTAAGTCCCACTCACTCTCAATATCGAACGGGGTTTCTTGCAGCTGGAGGATATATCAGAGAACGACGCTCTCGAGGTTATTCGACGACGCTGCCTGCTTCGCTCAACCACCTGGGTCTGAGTCATCATCATGGCGTTCTACATAACCACACCAATCACCAGAGTGCCAACAACCATGACCGGGATGCGGTTTCGAGAAACCAAGCCGCCATGGCAGCTTACCAACAGCTCCTACAACAGCAGCCACACGCTGACCTGAATGGATTGAGCAGCAGCCAAGCAGAATCTGGTCAACAGGGTACGTGGTGGACCTGTAAGGAAACCATCATTTGGCCTAATTCTAGCAATTCTCTGCCCGTCTCATCAGCAGGCGATATCAAACATTCATTCACGGGAGACACACACGATCAACCTCCGATCGATCTCGCGAGCAGGCTTACAAGGCTGTCTTTCGATCCTCTCTTCAGGTGACTCGGATGAAAGCGATTCCGCGATGTCGAATTCCAATCAGAACCACACGATGAATGGTGGACCCCAGTCCCCAGTGGCTCAGATGGTCGAAGGGGACGATCTCTTGCTGAAATCACCACAAAACGTCGGGAGCAACGATTGCAAGAATGTGGCTGAAATCTTGCCAGACATTACATTAAAGACACCTCTACAGGGTGAGCCGCCGAATATCTTAGAATCAGCTCATTCGAGCGAGATTGGAAGCTCCGAACGGAACTGAGACCCGGGAGAAAGAAATAGGTACAGGAGAACTTCTCCCTCCGTGTCTTTGAGAGCAAGAAGGAGCTAATTTTCATTATTCTCCGATTGCAGCACCGTCTCCGCAAGGCATGCTAATGAACGGCGGTGGAGGCTTAGTCGGTGGATCTTTGGGAGGAGGTCCGCTTGGTGGAGTTTCACCAGGTTTGGGTGTAGCTGGTTTATTCCAGATACCGTGGGACCGCCTGCCTGACTATGTCATTCAAACACTTGAGGAAGGTCGCAAGTTGGACAAGAGGTAGCGTATGCTCGAAATACTCTAGCCCGCCAGAGAAATGCTCACACGGATATCGATATTCGAGGAATTGTCAACCTTTCCCGTGAAAGCTGTGCGGCTCATCCGTCTCAATTTATCCAGGGACCGGCTGGAGATGATCCGCATCGTTTGTGCAGCCATGGAGCAGCAGTTTGGAGCCCGACCCGCGAGGCGCCAAATCGCCGAGGTAGCCCGAGAAATGGTGGCGAGATATCCACAATCTTTGCGCGACGAACCCGGCGAGGCGACTGTGTTCGGTGAGTTGATATTCGTTGATGCGTCGTCGCTTGAGCTTATCGGGCGAGGTCGAACAGAACCCTAACAATCGGATTTTGAATCTATTCCAGGACAAGGTTACGACCGGGTCTTTAAATATCTCGAAGCCCGTGTTGTCAATAGCTCCAAGAGCAGTCGTAAACGCACCTATGGGGAATTAGTAGCTCAGACCCCTGGCGACCATCGATCAACTGCGGCCAATCGGACGCTCCTGCCAGACTTCTGGTAAATTTCAACTCGACAACGAATTACAGAAAGTACATCAAACACGTTCCTCTCAGTCACTGAATGCAAGAATCGGTCACACAGTTGATTGAACAGACAAACAGGAAGACTCTCGAAAGCCAAGTCGTTCGATATGATGATAACGCTCTCGAAAAGACAGCCGTCTTGCTGTTCAGACCGCGGTTCGCGGGCGAAATCCCCGTCAGTCAAACCATGAACGAGATTCGTTCCCCGACATCACAATGCTGCCCAAAGGGGTTTCCTAGTGCCGGACCCCCCCCCCCCTCGTCCGAATGATCAGCTCCGATTGAGCGCAAGGAGACTCCGATCGAAATGGCAGACATCCTCTGTAACACTTGTACACAGACAGCCAAAAAACGGACAGAACGCATCCACGCTGCGAACGCATACAAAAACGGAAAAGCATGAGCAACAACGTAACAGCAACAGCAGCAACGACGGCTGTAGCAGATATCTGTAAATTGATGAGTCAGTCAAGCGAGCAGATGACCTCACACGATGCACGAAATACGTCCACCTACCTTGTAGAAGACTCCACCTCTCTGTATCACCTCTGGACCACTTAGATCTGTGTAAGTCCCGCTCAGGACTCAATCTCTCGTTCAATCAATCGAATCGATCGAATAAGCGATCCACCAATCTATCGGAAATCCTTGTCCTTCCGCTCTTGAGTAACCTCGACTGCTTTTCTTCGTTTTTACCTCACTAATTCCCGTACGTCAGCTTCTCTCCCATCCGAATAATTTCTTTGTAAAATCTTCTTTGAGATCTATCCGAAAGACATCAGGAGATCCAACTTCACCCATCTCTTCTACCTACCTACCTAACATTAATTTCATTATGCTTTCGATCATTTCATTGTTTTCAATTCAACGCTTCTTGACTCTCTGCTCTTGTGTGGTTGTCGAAGATTGTCGAGATTGATCTTCACCAATGGTCAATGTTGCTGTCACTGTCGTTGTTGTTGATGTTGCTGTTAATCACTGAATTGTTACTCTTGTTTTCCTTTCATCGATTAAGCATCCACCATCCCACCCGTTTATCCACTCACCCATCCATTTAGCATTGTCATCCGGTCGTTTCTCTGATCGAATCGATCAATCAATTCGATAGCTCACCGCATAATATCTCGAGAGCCGATTTCGTGAAGAGACGGAGCTGGCCCCTCAGCGTCTGACGAGCGTTCTGGTCTTTCTCTTTGCAGCGAGGCCCTTCTTCAGGAGCAGGAGAACTTCAAACCACTATTGCAAGCCTTGATGGCCCGAGACGTGAAAATCCAACAGTCGTCGTGATCACCATAAAGGTCCGTGGGTTTGAGCTTCGTCAATTCATCGCCATAGCGAACCAAATACAAACCACAAGCAAATAAGAGTCTACGGACGGAACCAGCAGCGACAACAGAGATGACGATAGGAGAGACTTGTTCCGGATTTAAAAACCCGAAACACGAATCTAATCAGCAAGAAGATCCTTCACCAGAACCATCACCGCGACGGAACCGTGTTCGGGAGCAGTCGCTTGTTCAAACGATCGATTACTCATTCATTCGACGGTCAGCGGCCCGATTGCGAAATCAATCGAGTCACTGATTAAAATCGTTGGAAAGAGATGCTACCCAATGCTTAGTTCATCGTAAACTGTTCCCTAGTTAGTGGAGTCGGAGGCGCAGGCAGACCGTGTGAGTCGAAAAATGAACCTAGTTTGTTGTTAGCGGTCCTCTTGAATTTCGACATCACATGGTCAAGTGTGCTCCTCAGTTCTCTTCTCGTTCACGGACGCGTGGAGCAAGTTATTGATTGCCTCATCTGCCGCCCATGCCATACTCTTTATCACGACTCTCGAAATAGTGCGAATACCCAAAGAAGAGAAGGAACCGGAAAAACCTTCGAAATCGCCATCGCGTCCGTGAATGATGAACGGGTAGAAGAAAATCCTTGCCCCGCGTGCAGGAGAATAACGCAACTTCTTGAGTTTTCGATCGGGGACATCTATCGGTGGCCGCTGTATTCGTACGATCCTTCCTCCGAACCGTGCCCGTCCATTGCGGTCGGGATAGACAGGACGGTAGCTGCGATCGCTTGCTACCTGACCTCCGTCGGTCGGTCTGGAATGGTCGCATAGAGTACAACAAGGTACTCCCGATTTTCGTTTTGAGCCGCTCTGTTTCCTCGTCGCATATATGTAGGCGGAAACGCGGCTCGAGGAATCGAGCATCCGAATGCCGAGTCTCAGCCCGCCGCCTCAGGAGGCGAGGCTAGACGAGGAATTGAGTTGCTGATGTCTAGTCCGCGTGAATTAATTTGCCCAAATATCGAAGACTTGAGTAAACCCCGTGAGAGTGATTGATCCCTTTCCGAAGGAAGCATTTTAGTCTTGGAAGGCCGGAGAGAAGAAAGTAGCCTTGAATAGACGGACGATGATCTCTATTCGATGATCTCTAAACGAGCAGAAGACACATTGAAACACAAAAGCTCTACAGCGAAGCTGATAGACAGCCATCTCTTATGCAGAACGGGTGCCTTCCGATCTCATTTTTTTGCAAACAAGATGAAACATTTTTGGCATGCTGCAGGTTTGCGATGAGAACTGGTGGAACATGAGAAAGAGAGCGGGATGTTGGGACAAGAACAGTTGGAAACGACGAGAGCAGGAAACAAAAAAGAGGAACCGAGTGGATGCTGGGAGAAAGGAGGAAGAAAGCTTGCGGAATCGAGAAGAGGTTCATATTGGAACTGGAGCGGAGCTCATGCGAGATGGCGAGCTTCGCGAAAGGTCAGATGACGTGACACGGTGAAGCTGTACACAAAGTTCCTGTTCCTGCATCGGCACTGACGACACAACGTGATGTTATGCATTTTCGACAAGATAGAAGCCAACTATTGAGCGACGGAAACCTGACAAGGTGTTATTAGAACTACGATAAGATGGATATTCCCGTGACCCAACCTAATTTACAAGAGAACTATGCGGTGAGAAGGAGCGTATGATCGTTTACGATTAATGTAGCTTAGAACGAACCAAGTAATACAACAATTATCACTATATACATACTTCGATGAGATACTTCGAGAATCCGAGCGGAAAACAAGAGTCTAACTTGGGAGGAGTTCTACTCGGTCCGCCCTCCTGTGCTTTACCCCACGTCGAACACCACCGACTGGTGCGGAACACCACACATACAAGCATACGTATTTCACGTTCTAACGTACATACGTATACGTTCATCCATTCATTCATCCTTTCATGCATCCACGAACGAACATGCATCCACACATTTGCATGATCAAGAGCCTATGAGTAATGGAATCAGATTGACAGGACCTCTCTTTACCGAGGTCAGTGGAGCTGAATCCATGTATTGTCCAAGTCGATTTATGCTGATCGACTGAATCGACCGAGAGGACGGTGATATCTGCGTGTAGAATGTTGGAAAAGACTTTCGTTGATGGTAACGGAATTCTGGGGGCCGCCGCCGGGATGCACTGACTTTTTGCAACGAATTTGTGAAGCTCTTGAAAGAGAACGATTCGAGACCGTGTCTGTCCATGATCACTGATCTTTATGAATGCAAAATCGACCTCCTGGTATTCCGTCAAAAGTTGTAATTCTTCGATCTCCTGCATATAAATCACATGGAATTCGAGGAATCGCTATTGGATTCGGTACCCATTCGACCCCCGTTGTTTTCGATGTAGTTAGAAGTCGATAGCGCTCCATCGAACTGGTAGACAGATTAGTGAGGGGCTGACTAGCGCCTACTCCAGTAGAGTTGTTTCTGACTCGCCGCTGGAATCAGACACCATTGTCTTCAAGTCTAATCCACTCAGTGTCTTCCCCCCAGTATGAATGGCGCCCGGCAGAATATCCGTCATTGCGTTCGTCGCTCCATTCTCATTCTGTTCAAGACAAGGTATATGCTTTTAGATTTATATGTGTGTACAATAGGATGCGAAAATCACGAGCATTAAACAAAGAAGCTTTGATCTAGTCACCCCGTCTATCTGCCTGTTGGAGAAGTACCATCGATGTGATGAGTCGGATACAGCCAGAAGCAAACTTGCGATACTCGACTTTCCGCTTCTGAAGAAGTGGCTTCACGATGAACAAGGAGCAACCAAACAACGATCAAAAAACCATATGATGTAATTCTTGGAAGATCCCGATTAATGTTCTGAGGAAGGAATGATGATGCCAACGGTATATCATTCCCTCGTTCCATCGAATCCCCCTGGCTCCGGCCGCTTTACTCCCGTCGCGGATATCTGAATTATTTCTCCCCTCCGTAAGCTCTCGTCGATGCGTCGCGATACGAACTCGAACTTCCAGGCTCAATTTTATGTGACGGGGTCCGGCGACCATTTCATGCCAACGGCCAATCACGTTGTCCTCTCGGCTTGAGCTCGAAACTCGTGCATGTGCGACGGACCGGGCTTGCCCTTGTCGGGAACGCGGGTCGATCCAACGTTCCCCCGATTGCCCATGACAGTGAATGGAATCGGCGACGGACTTCTAGTCTTCTTCGTCGAGAATATTCGCGCCAGTCAGGGCCCTGGATGAGCTGATGGGCCGATCTGAGCAGAGTCGCCGCCTCGTAGGGCTGGCAATGGGTCGTAGATTTAAGCCGATGTGTCGCTCGAGATTGGATCCGCATCCGAGAGCCGAAGAATGCGAAGCAGAAACGCAGTCTGTTCGGTGACCCTCCTATCATCAGAGGAAAATCCGGTTTCGTACCCACTTGTATCTATTGAGTCCGCCGTCGGTGAGCTCCCACGAAGGGAACCGAGGCTGTACGATTGGCTGCTCCCAAAGAGAGTTCTCTCGAAGCGCCGAGAGGGCTAGAATCCCTCGAGATTGATCGTCCGAGTGATCGGTGCGATGAATGGATGGATGGATGGATGAACAGAAGGATGCTTGCCAAATTATATGATTGATCTATGTGGCCAAAGATTTCATAACCGTGTATTCTTTGATGATTGATGTAAGACTGTAATATACGAGACACGACCCGATAAGAAACCGGATGCCCTTGTTTGTTGTTTGGAGCAGGAGAGCTGAGCAAGTTTCTCAGGCAAGAGCAGAAACACTCCTTCATTATCGGATAAGTAAGTGCTGTAAATCTTTGTATTTGTAATTATGGAAGAGCAATCATCGCAGCAAGATTCAACGAAAAACAAAAAAGTGAACGAGTGATTAGGAGACGATGACCGAATGCATGGGAAAGTTGGAGATTGGAAATCTGTGGTAGAAAATAGAATACGATGTCGAAAAACATTAGGTAAGATTATGTCACTGGAGAGACGAGTTGATTGTCGACGGAATTGTCCCGCATTGTGAGGCGAAGATGACATGATATAAATGCAACCTCGCAATGATCCCACACCACCGAATCTTGATATCTTTATTACTAGCTTGAGGATATCTACTTCTAGGAGAAGGTGCGTGAGATTTTTTTTTCGGGCACGGAAAGAGCTCGTCCTCACACCCCCCGCTGGGATGCATGAGAGAGCGATTCTTATTGACGCTCGGGCGCTTCACTCGTGATGACTTTGTCGAGGAGAACGTCCGTTTCATCACAGGGAATGTCTTCCAGGATCTGCTCATCGAAAGCGACTCCGATGAGCATGGGCTCTCTCGCAGATCCCGATAAGCGAGCGATGTACCTATAAGCGGAGTAGAGCTTCACGAGAATGTTATTCCAATCTTGCTTGATGTCCACCGCGATGCTGATCAAGGTGAAGAGAACTGACCGGTCGTAGTATCCCATACCGTGTCCTAGACGATGACCTCGTCTGGTGAAAGCCACTCCGGGGCAGATCATGATGTCTAAGCCCCCTGCAAAATTTCGAGCTCAAGAAATGCTCCCCGCAAGGAAATGCTGTATTGGTAATGCTTTCTCGCATAGCTGATATCGGGTATCACGGTGAGGAACGTCTCCGACCACGGAAACAACGTCCGTGACCGAAATTTCTTCTTCTTGGGGGCCCGACCATCACTAGTCTCTCGTCGGACAACATGCTGATCAGAGCCGTTCACGAAGTTCGCGACTCACAGCGATTTCGGTCCATCGATCGAAATGTCCGACAAACGGGAGGATAACCATATCTGGAATCGTTTTCGGGAAGTCTCTCCCAAGAGGATTTCGCATGGAACTAAGAAAGCGTCTGTCAGAAGCTCGATTCCGGAGAGGGAAGATTATTGGGGGAACATTGGGGAACATTACCACTTTCGATGGCCTCGGGCCATTCGACTTCGGGCGGAGGCTGACGTATATTCCACTTCGTCAGGTGTAGACGATCGAATTCCCTCTCGGACGGGAGGCGTATCATTTCCATGAAAGTTGAGGTCTCCCTGCAACGGACCCAAAACCCTGAGAAGCTTATTCTCGGAGGTCTTCCGTACTTGGCGATACCGTTCCTCGCCGGGAGTGGAACGTAATCGAGGACGATCCCTTGGCATTTCTCTTGAAGGAGGGTCGCGAAGCTGCTTTCCCTAGGCTAAGAGATGAAGGGAGGTCCATCCACTCCGGACAGGATAATTTCCCATTGAATTCCGTTATCGAAACTCTCCCTTCATCGAGTTCCGTCCGAAGATTATTCTGACTCGCCGAGTATATCTTGCCATCTGAATGTCAAGTCATTCAACAACTTGCAGGAAAGAATACGAGGGGCCTCGAGAATTATAAATATTTAATCACCAAGCATACGCGTCTTACAAAAATAGCTTCTCAACGACTCTTTCCCGGAGCTTGCCGCGAGGTTCGCGGAGCCAAGCCCAGCTGCCATGAAGCTTCCGTTCCTTTCCCGGCGCTCCCCGAGCGATGACGGGAGCGCGGTAGGACCAAGATATTATTTAGTGTTTGCGACTGGATTGCACAAAAAAATCATATGCATTCCTCAGATATTCTCACCCATGTCAGTCATCGCTCATTCATCGATTCTCAGCTCATCCATCCTATTGGATATAGAAAGTTAAGGCACTTCTTTTTGAACTTCTCCGAACGAGTACCGAGACGCTCTCGATCGTAGATGATCTCGTCTCTTTTGTACATGTAGGAGGTGACGGCCTCCGAGCGCCATCCCAGAGATGCGGTCACTCAGCTCGAAACCGACGGGAATGTATGTTTCGAACTCCCTAAAGGAACCACTCCTTCTTCTTAATTACATGGTGACCAGTCTTGGCATGCATCACGGCAGTGTCAGCATCGGGCGCGTCGGTGGCGCCATGATCCTCTTGGGTAACGTAGTCGCCTTTGTGCCTTGCGATGAATCTCGAGAGTATGAAACACATAATTATGAGTGCGGCGAACAACACAGCCAACACTATACCCAAGATGGCGGATTCATTCAGAGCTGGTCTATAAATCTCTCTGAAGACTCCGGGAGGCAACGTTGGCGGCGGTCTGGTTTCGCTACCCTCTTCCGGATAAGTTACCGCTTCGATGCCGCAGGTGTCTTCTCTAAGGTTGTCTGGGTTGGCGTGAACGTTGGAACGTCTGGACTCTTGGAACAGCCTCCTTAGGGGGACGTGATCTTCGAATTGCACGCGTGTAATGCAGCCGACGAAACCTTCTCCCGTATTCATGGACTCATTACGGCCGACGTATATGCTCTGCAGCTCATTGAACTGAGCGTCGGCTTTGTGGCCCACGTTGAACACGTAAATTTGCGGTGGGTAATTGTCGACGTAGATCGAGACTCTCCTCCCTTTGTCTGATCGTACGATTTGGACGTCGTGGATCTGGCCCAGCGCGAAATTTTCGTTCCTGACGATGAGTTCCTGCCGTTCGAAGCCGAAGTCGAATACGAGACGGAGATGACCGGAAGTCGACATCATCAGGTTCAAATATTCGCCAGATTTCGACGACATGCCGAAAATGAGTCCCTGATGCTCCGTTGTTGTGAATCCGACTCGAATAAATTCCTCAAGGGTCGACACAGTAGTCTCGAAGTCGTATCTAACGAAGGAATCCGATCGAAGGTGGACACCGATCTCATCGGCACAGATGGGACCTTTGAAAGGAGTCCACTGACAATCGCAGGTGTAATGCGAATATCCTTCGAGGCAGATTCCATTATTTTGGCACGGATTGGACAGACATTTCCCGATGCAGCCCACAGAAACCCCGTAGAGGCCTTCCTCGGCCTGCTTTCTGAGGTCGACGAGTTTTCCGTTCATCAAGAACGATCTCATACAGCCCACGAAGCCTTCTTTGTAGTCCACAGAAGCTCCGATCACGAGACGGGACGTCAAATTGAAGGGTCGGACTCGATCGAGCCTTTCCTTGACCTCAGCACTTTGTGAACCATCAATTATAATCCGAGCTTCCTGCAATTGCAAGAAGAGAAATACATCAATGCAAGACTGTGGAACCGCCTCCTCTCCTCCATAATGTCGGAATATCTCAGGAGATCTCTAATAGAGGAAACTCAGAGGATTATCTTACCTTGCGGTTTCGCTCTACGTGAACGGAATGCCACTCGTCGTTGTTCAGTTTATAGGAAGTTTCCACGCTGACACCCAATAACCCGTTCCCAGCTTGATATTGAAATTGAATTTGATCACCACCAACTAGGACGATCTGTTGACAGAAGGGTGGGTGTCGGATTTAAGTTGGAACCCTAGTCGAAAGCCGAAACTGAGGTCATCTGCCTCGCCGTGGGAAATTTTCCATTTGCACGCACCTTTATGAAATCCTGGTATCCCTTGGAGTGCACCATGATCCCGTTCTCGGCTGTCGTCTTGAACTGGAAGTATATGTCGCCCGAATGCCTCCACTCGAAGTGAGGGATTTCCACCGTTGCGTCAGAGTATCTGAACGTTATGAGATTATCGAAAAGACTGTCTCCCTCGCAGTGAAGCGCGCTGAGGGTGCTCCTCGCCATCCGGTTATCTCCGACGCTGCCGGTGTCACCGTAGCGCAGCTGTCGAGGACATTTCACTAAATCAGATCATTCCATCCGAGCTAGTCTTCCACTCGAATCGATAATAATGATATTATGACTTCGGACGATGCTCGCTACGAAGCGACCTACCTGTCGGACCGGGAGACTGTTGCGATCTGTCAAGTCCCCGCTGTCGTGAAGCCATTTGTTTATGCCGGCGTCACAGTTGCACCACTTCGATGGGTCTTCGCAAATTTCCGTCAGACCACATTGACATTTCCTCGATCCTTGTATGGAACCGCCCCAATAATCCATGGCCTGATTTGTCCGGCTCACCCACCAGCCATAGGGATGGAAGTTTCCGAGCTCGTCGGTGGGAGTGTCGAAAAGTTTCGAGTTGAAGCAATCGTACCTCAGCGTTTGGCGGCAGAAGGTCGATCTGTTCACCAACTGCACGATCTGCTCGAGCGGGGCCGCGTAAACAATATCTTGCACGAAGGATCCGTGACCCTGATAGCCGATGATCTCGACCGAGTGTTCAGCCTTGTGATGGATGACGGTTTCCGTTCGGTTATCGGGATGGAAAATACACTGAACCTCAAACGGTTTCAGCGGCCCACTGCCGTCAACGTCGATGTGCAGATCTTTCTCCACTTCTCTGGGGTGCTCAATGCGGTATCCTTCGCACGACAGCGGGTGTCTCGAAATGTGGCAGACAGCTCCGGCGTAGCCGCTCTTCGAACAGTCGCAGAAGAACTCGTCCCAGCTCTGTTTGCAGGAACCGCCGTGCTCGCAGGGATTCGGATTGCATCGATCGACCATCGTGCACGCGTCGAACACCACGGTGTCGAAATATTGGTCCGGGGACAACACCAAGGGGTTTATGTATCGTCCCTCGATATACAGGAATCTCATGCAGCCGAGGAATCCTCGTCTGCCGTAAACTCCGCCACCGATCAAGTAGTTCTGCCCCGTCTCCATCGAGAAGCGCCTTGTCGTGATGGAGGGCAGCCTATCGATGTGAAGTTCGATGCGGTTCTCCTGCAGGATCAGCATGGTCTGGTGCCAGCGACCGTCCGCGAGATTGTCGTCGAAGGGCGACAGGATGACGATAGGCGTATTCTTCCCTTGAATCTCGATTTTTATGAGACCTTTCTCCAAGTAGAGCATCACGTGACCATCTCCGGAGAATTTGTTGTATAGAAGCATGCCGTCTTCATTGAATGTTCGGAAGTCGAAAGAAGTGTTCATTTGACGCTGCATGTATCCACCGACACGGATGTACGAAGCGTCGGAGCCGAATGTCACAGGTATCACCTGCTCGAACTGGCACGAATACAGAGTCTCCCCGAAAGTTTGATAATCCCAGCCGCGATAATCTTCTTTGATCTCGCGTATGATGTTGGTCTTGTTCAGGTAGAGGTTCTCGATGCAGCCGGTGAAGTTTTTCGTGACCTCGACGCCTTCCTGACTGAAGTACGGCAATCCACCGATGAAGAACTCACGATTCAGATCCAACTTTATATTGTCGCCTTTGATCACCTGGAAGCCGTTCACAAGACAAACTCAGTCAACGAATGCTCTCAATCCTCTGACAACCGGAGAGTGGGGTATCGTAGGATATCGAGAGGAGCTTACGTTCTGTACGACAACCCGGTCGACTGAGAATATGATATCCGATCGGTTGCGGTGTATGGCCACGTCGTGCCATAGATTATCATCGAGAAGCGTGCCGACCAGCACGGACGAAATGAGGCCTAGAAGAAGGTTTTCTCATGACTTCGAGCCCGAGAACACAGAGTGAATTCAGAATGATCTGCTGTTTCGGCATCGTACCTTCACCCCCGAGATCGAGGTTGAGTTTCAGCTGATTTTCGACCAGCTGAAGCGAGAACAAATCCCGCTGCGTTCCGCGGGAGTACAGAAGGAGACCATTCGGATAATTGGTCCGGAAACGAAAACTGATTCGATCTTCGAACGAAGATATCGGCCGACGCAGCATTTTCATCACGTAAGCCTGAAAGCATGAAGAGCGACCATGAGTGTGACTCATACCTCGGAATCTGGCCAATATGCTTGTCGATTCTCCGGCCAACGATTGCTGGACGGAGTTACATACCTGACCATCGAAATTCAGGGACTCGGCTTCATACTGACACCCCACGAGCTCTACCCTCATCGATATTCTATCCCTCCATCTCGTGGGATTGACCCTTATATATCTGGAAGAGAACGCAGAGGTTTCAGAGAAAAATTCTGGATTGGGATTCATCGTTATTCCGAGAAGGATGGCAGACCCAATGAGAGACTTCAGCGGAACAAACCTCGCTATTATCGGGATGTCGAAGTAGTTTATCACCGGAGAGTCTCCATCCCGATTGGCATCGAACAGTTTAGTATTTCCATCTCGATCTTTGTATTCCTGGGGGAATAAAATTCAGAACTCATCCTCAAGCGAATCTCGCATCATAATCATCTACGGATTCTGCCGGCCGAACATCCGTCACTGACAGGACCCCGATATTCCTATCAGGGCATTGCAATACAAACCTGGAAATCTCCTCCGTTGTTACCGAAATAGATTCGGAACTCTTGCACGTATTCGGAGGTGTACTGTTTTCCGTAAGTTTCGATGTAGTGGACGGTTTTCATTTCTTTCAAATCGATCTGAAACCATACTCGTGGATTGAGCCATGAAGCTGTGACACCCCTCGGTCGGGTCCCGTTCCAAATAATTTCGCTCTGAGGTTTTCCGCGAGAGCCCCCGGCGGAGTGGGGTTCTCCTTGTATCTGAGCTTACCTCGATATATTGGCTGAAGTCGGATACTCCGGCAGTCCATGAGCTGCCGCTGTCACGCACAGCTTTATCTGGATTCCGCTCTTGATTCAGTTGTGAAGAAGCGCGTAACTTAGAATAGTGCACCAACTCCTCATTGCATTCATAGTAAGCGTTCACGGCTGAGCTCCAACACAAAACCACAAACAGCATAACAGAAGCCATCGTTTTCCGATATTTGGCTCGTCTTCGATAGATGAGTTCGCAATGAGTCGCCGGAGCGAACTCCACAAGCCCGATTCAAGTCGGTGTGATCCCAGCTAAAGTTGAAGGATACATTGCACTCCGGAATCATCCATCACCGGACCGATCATATGGATGAGGCCGTCTGAAGGCTCGGGATTTGAACTCCAAGATGGCGGCGAGCGGTGCGCGGGCTCGTATGAGAGGTTGTCAGAATGGAGGCTCTCAGGTAATCGGAGGCTTCTGGCGCCTGTACCGCCCGAAAACTATCCGGAATCGAACGTCGCCCCGAAAGCAAATCTTCCAATCGACGACGGTGACGCTTGGGGCCAGGTATCTCGCCGTTCGCGTCGTGTTGTGGCGACCGCGCCAGGTTGCCACGGCGACCGGACTGACGGGATCCGTGAGGACCATCGCCAGCGGCCCACTGACGTTGACGCACTGCTCCCCATGTTGACTTGGTTACACACAGTATACATCTTGCGTTCCGTCGAGCCGTAAACACGGCGCTCATTTCCGTTGCCTTCACCGTTAAGATAAATTAGCCGGTCTCGGAACAATCCGACGAACTTCGGAGACCTTGTCTCCCCCAGCGGTAAGTCTCCGAGCTCCATTCATTCCGAGTTCTTAGCTCTTCCGGAATCGGGTTGAAAAAATCCGATGAATCATCCGATTCAGACGAGCACTTGCCCTCGGACATGAGGTTGGGAGAGATCCGATTGTTGACATGGTCCTCAGCGATACTCCCCGGAAATAATCCGAGTGCCCTCTCTGAGGATCCTCAATCGATGCAACTTCAATGATGAGATTTCTTAGGTATCTTCCGGTCCTGCGGCAGACTCACTGTCGCATATTTCCTTGAAGATCGCGGAACTTGAGGAATTTAGCCATATGTTTCCCGACGTAGAGGGAAATTTATTCTCACTAGGACTCTACAACTTTTCACTCCGACGTCTATTCCGGAGCAGTTTCATTCGATGGCACTTGGGCAACACTCGACTTCCGTAACGATGTTGACCGTAGGATCAGATTTGGTTCCAGCGACAGAGGTTTCACATGGAGAGCTTGGAACCCGGATGAAAGCGAGCACAAATAATGAGCCGAATCAGGCGGCCGAGAAGCGTGAAAAAGGTGGTAGGAGATGCTGAGAGCAGTCGGCACGCAATCAAGTTCGATATCGATCTGCGGAGCTGACGAATAAGTTCGGGACGGAGACTAACGAGACTAACGAAGGAGCGAATTCAGACGACCCTTCACAGAATCCCGCAATCCGCACGGAGGATGCGGAGAACTCACGGAGGATGCGGAGAACTCACGGAGGATGCGGACAACTCACGGGGTCGAGCGGAATGAGCTTTGTTTGAAATTCCGTACAGACCCGAGAGCTTCGAATCGACTGGAGCGCTTGTCAAGCATCGACACGACTAGTAGAGCGGGAGGCGGCTCATCGCAAATTGGAGCACAAGGTGCCCAAAAATCAAAGGAAATCAGACATCTCCGAGAGGCACCACACCCAGCTGCTGTAGACGAAGTAAACTCGGAAGAGTTTTCAGTTTGCTCTTTAATTCTGGGGATGAGCCAAAACCTGAGGAATTCCACAGAGCATGAAACCATTCAATGATCTGCCCTGAACCTTTTTGAATGAGTCGGCGGACCGATTCGGAACTTTTCGCGAAAATCGAGTCGTCGGGTACCGGCTCCAGAGAAGAGACATCGCAGTATTTCGCTCCTGTTCTCGGAAACAGCTTTGGGAATGCTATCTGGGGCAGCGGCGAGTCAAACGCTCGTCTTCCTCTTTTGAAACCCAGAACGATTTCAGAACCATGGGTGTATTCGGCTGTCGGGACGGACGGGCTGGCGGCCTCTTCTTCGCAAACTTCGGATTCATTGCGACTTTCTTGGCTTTCGTGACTCCCTACTGGCTGAAGTCGGACTTCAGGGCATACAGGTGAGTTCAGAGAGCAGAATGTGCGCGCTTCTATTTGAGATCATGGGTCGAAACTCAGAGTGCTTCTTTTCCCAGCGCCGATTTCCTGCGGACAGGTCTGTGGGAAACTTGTTTCCGGTCCCATTCAAGCCCCTACGATTTGGAAAAGAGGAAATTTTACGTCGGATGCCGATGGATATTCACGTACGAATACAATACCCTACGTGACACGATCGAACTTCCTTTTTTCATATCCGCGCAGGTGAGCATTTCAACGACTTCTACGCGTGGAGGAGCTCCAGTCTCGTTCGATTTATCCTTCGAATGTCTTCCTTCCAGGTGTTTTACACATTCGCGTTCGTCGCTCACGCTATCGCTTGCCTAGGCTTGGTATCGATCTATGTGTGCGCGACCGAAGGCACGGAGAAGAGAATCATCAGATATGGGAACGTACTCCTGGCCTTCGCCTGCCTTTGCTCCACGATAAGTAAGCGCTGAAGTCTCCGCATAAAATATTGACTCGATTTGGAGAATCACCGCTGAGCTGTTCTCGCGGGAGGCCAGTCACGAGAGGGCGAGGTTGCCGGAATTTTCAGTCTAGAGTTTTTCGCAGCTGTCGCCGTCTTCGGGAGCTGTGCCCACATGGAAAACTGGATGCCTGATCCTATGCACAACTATTTGAGCTGGTCATTCGCTTCGGCCGTCGTCGGAGCTTTTTGTGAACTGATAGCCGTCGTCTGCCTCCAGGTACAGTAATCGATCAGATTCTTACCGGTATCCGGTATCCTCCGCCTCGAGCAGAAAAGATGGAGAAATCATGGTGACATTTCTTATTCGCGGGGATGAGATTTGGATTAATTTCCCAGGTCGACTCCCGACACATCGAGGATGACGAGAGGAAGAATGAGAATCTCCACACATTTGGATGAGTGAGTGCATCGGATCGACTCCCCGCGGCTTCCGAGGCCCGGTAGCGAATCGTGTAGAATGGAGGTATCCCCTTGGGCAACTGCGTCATCATCCGGCGATCGTTCGCCAAGTTGTCTCGGGGAAACTCGACAACAATGAATCAGTGCTTGCACTGATGATGTATACAGAAAGTTTGTCTTAGCTTAGGGTTGTGTGAAGACTTCCCATGCCAGAGAGCATGTGCGAGATCGAGGACTTTCGTTGAATCTCACAAAATGGAAGTTTGAATGTAAGCGAGCAGTTCAGTGGAAGGTTTCGAGTCTGATATACCGATCCCTCGATCAGAGACAATGCTGGATGTTTGAGTGAGAGCGTCGAATCTCGTGGAATGCATCGTATATGAAATATTGAATACATCCCCGAATTATTTTTTTACGTGGAAATAAACTTCGTGTAGTAATCTCTCCGAAGCCATTCGTAGTTCGGATACGCTATCCCCGCTGTCGGTCCCCGCCCACGCATGTCGTCGCTAAAGTGAGCGGGTTGCTCCAGAGTCTAGCAACATCGATGACGGAGCTCATCGAATCTAAGACTGACCGAGAACCCCTTGCTTCACCTCCGAATCACATCTAGCAGGCTCACCTGTATCGAGGAATGAATACCGCTTTCCCTTGCCTGAGCATCTGGCGTATGAGAGGCTCAGTGTCCACTTCTGAAGGCGTGCTCACGAAGACACTCACTCTGGAAAGAGGACTTGTCTATAAGCCAGATGAGCATCCCCATTGCATCCACGAACGAAGGAGTATAGCGAGAGAACGACTCGGGAGAATCCCACCATCCCTATTCCCCACCCTGGTACAGAATCGAATGTGAGTATGTGCGGAAAGCCCAGACTGTGCACCTTCCCTCAACAACCATGTAAATTATGGGCTAAAGAGCTGCTCAAGGCTTTCCCCCAACAGTTTCCTTCTATATCAACGCCAGTCCCGAACAGCACTTCTCGATACGGGATCTTCGGAGTTGACTTCTATTGACACCTCCTCAGAGAATTTTCGCGAGAGAGCCGCGAAAGAATAGAATACCCCATGACTACTGGTGAGGACCAAATCCGGAAATTGTGATTCCTTCGAAGGGGCACCGGTCGAGCATGCCCATGGCAATGACATCATCCAAAGAAGGAATCACCTCTACTCGCAGCTCCAACGACAGACACCGGCTGCTGACAGAGAATTTCGCCTGCACGAGAATGAAAATCGAGGAGAAGAGTTGTGGTTCGAAACTTGCTCACCTCTCTGCTGAGAGAACTTCAGGCAGTGCCCAAAGTTTCTTGAATATTGCATCGGACTGAGTTTTCCGGTCAGACGGAGAGATTTCCTTCAGTCGTGACTTCATCTGTTTGCGCAGAGTATTTTTGGCGGCCCGGAGACTGGACATGTTGCTGACTGTAATGAGAGCGAGCATCGATCCAAAATTCAGCCTACGAGTTTGCTGCGAATAGACGTTCACAGGGAAACGGCCTGAGCGGATAGTGAACGAGTCGATCCTCATCTGATCCTCCGAGGACGCGAGACGGAAGCGCAGCGCTCTCATGGCCGCCGGCCCAGGGAGTTGCTGCCGCGGATCGCCGAGGCTTCCCACCGCGAATCCCTCGGAGCTTCCTCTGATGCACAAGCATCAGAGGATTTGCTGCCCGAAGCTTTCGAAACATTCTCAAGACCAGCGGATGACTCCGTTCTCGTTGAGACTTTCGCGATTCTCACCTGCGGAAGGCGTTGCTTTTCTGAACAAGCCTATTCGGTGTGCTACGGCGGTCGTTCGAAAGGTCCCCAATCTCCATGCCATCCGGTCTCCATCCATCTCTCTCTCTCGACTCATGATTAGAGCCATCTCTCTCGAGACAAGGCGGACATGCCCGCTCATTGAGCCTCCACCGAGGGAGAAGCGTTATGTCGCGCCGCGCCGGCTCAAGTACTCCCGATGTCATCCCCTCCGAAGGGTCCTCACGCTCTCTGTCAGATTGATAGCCACACGCTCCCGAGCCTGTATTCCATGCGGCTTTTTGTGAGGTATCTGTTTGTATGCAACCGGTCTCCGTAGAGGGCACCACCGACGCACGCTCCCTGCCGTGCGCTATTCGGTAGTCCAGCAGATGAACAGACACTCGAGCCAGCGGCGCGGCGGAGAAAACCCTCTAACTGCTGGCCGACAACTAGCTTGGTAGAAAGAGTAAGCCAGCCAGCCAGCCAGCCAGCGAACAAGCGAACCAGCGCGCCAGCCTTCGAGGCTTTGTTTACTCTCTCGTGCTGAGCTCGACCACCTCTCTATCTTCCCTCCGACCGGCAACGCTCTCCAACCGCCAACGAGGATGATTCGCCGCGTTCAGACGAGGACACGTCTACTGGATGCCTGGCATCGGACTAACTTGTGCGTGCGCTATTAGACTTCACGAGAGGAGAGGACACAATCCGACATCACACTCGCTAATGGTTCCGTTTTTATCTTGGTTTCGCCCGAGCCAGCTGATGGAGGAGATCAGCTGATTGGTACGTGAGAATAATCATGGTCTTTGCATGTTGACTACGTCGGCGGGAGCGCATGTCAAGGCTTGATCTTCCAAGGAATCGGAAATTGATATCGGAGGATCCGAGCATGACTCCTGTAGATCGGAGTCGAGCTCCGTTCCGGCAGATCCGGTGCCGGAAAAATCGGGGAACGCTGTCGGTCGCACAGCAGGTCCTCAGACATCAGGATGGCTGGCTCCGTCATTGGGTTCGAGCTGAACTCGGCAACTGCATCAGATCCGAGCACTGCGTAGGCGATGAACAGTCCCTCCGTGATTCGGCTTCAACGGCTTCGAGTCGATGGACCGGGCGCGAATCCTCAACGTCGGCTCTAGGAATGGCAGAGCTCCGTCTTCAGCTCCGAGAATCGGTGGATCTCGCTGACAAGAGCAGCGGTCGCTTTCCGTGTCAATCGCTTCCAAGGATAATCACGGCGGAGGATTCGGGAGCATTCAATTTCTATGAGGCCACTAGGCTTTTTCATTTCGTGTATGTATTGACTATTTGTACTTGTCCCTCGTGGAAGTCCGATAAAAACGCACGGAGACGTGATACTGCTCTCTAAAATGGAGCATGGGGGTGAATCGTGAGCATCGCTGCAGAAGATCCGCATCGCTCGCCGGAAGGAACGGCTTCGCGATTCTTAGGTCAGTTCCCAACGGGGATTTCCCCATTGGAGTCCGCTCGCCGAGCTATTCAAAGCCCTCGGGATACTTTCGCAAAGGAGAAGCTAGATCGGTGACCCTGATTATGAAGATCGTACTGCATTCTTGCTAATTCGAATACTTGTTCTGACTGTCAAAGACCTGTGCCACCTATACGAGCTTTTTTAATGGAGGTCCGGGGGGACCGGGAGGGTCGAGAGGCGGCTACTACAAAGAAATGAGCTCTGAAGCACAATAGAAAGTCAAACCTATAAAATTATGCGGAAAATACCCTCCATAGAACTCGTCGGAGGAGATAAACCGACGGTGGCAGCTCAGGAGCCTGAAAACTTGCTCGAACGTCCGGCGTCGGAATCCCTCTTCTGAATGGGCCATCCATGCGAGCGTCGAAAATCCAAAGATATGAGGATGATTCGATGAGCAAGGCTCGCGAATCTCCAGCGATGTCAGAAAGCATCCAACGGTCAGATTGTGTCGATATCGGTACCTCTTGAGGCAAGGCCCGGTCAGCCATTCGCCAGGGGAGCATCGCACGTGTTTCAAGCAAAACTGTGCAATACTCTTTGGTTGTCTGGAGAAACCTATCGTTGACTACCGTCAGTGGGTCGACGCCGACCACTGAATGATGGTCCGGTGTGCGCAGGACTACCGAACGACGAGCAGTCATCAAAATATTCTATCATTCCCTCGTAGCTCTCAGTACACGAGATTGTGACATTAGAACAGATTGCAGGGTTTTGCAACGACTCCCCGCCCACCCCTCCTACCGTGGAGGGGGGCGATGCTTAGGAATGATATCTTTGACATAGGAACAGTCGTGAGCAGGCCGGCGCATTCCTGAGTCGGCGTGATGGATCTTTTCGAAGCTTCGAGTGCAGGGACCCGATAATAGTGATTCATCGAGGAACGTTCCCGGTTTGCGACGTTGAGCATACGTGATGTTTCCGATAGAGGGGTTATCAATCAATTGATTTGGTGGGGAATTCTCCTTTAGATATAGATACCGGCAATATTTAGCTCCTTAGCGGCTTTCGCCTACTCATATAAGAGGCTCTTCAACAAGGTTCGTTCCTTTCGTGCACAGGTCCCGTCCATCCGGCTCACGGACTTTAGTTCGCCAAGTAAGCTCTAGCAGGAGCGAGTCGAAGGGAAGCGCTGCATTCACTGAGCATGGAAGCAGTACACGGTGACAGGTATGCGTGATTTGATTGAATGTGGTCTTCTGCAGTGATTGGATAAAAGACGCGGTGAAATTCATTCGGGTGCCTCTTCAGGACGAGGCGCTCCCACCGCGTGCCCTTCGTATGTGACGGGAGGAGTTCTCGCGGAATACCCACCTAATCGTTCTCGATATAGTGATAGTATCTCAATTCATTCAAATCCTTCAGGGGTCTGTGGACATGGCTATGGACGTTAGGAGCTACATGTGCTGTTGGCTTGAGCGGGATTTTGCCGCTCTTTGTGATATCGCCTGAGATGGGACTGCGCCTGAAAGCCGATGGCGACACAGGTACTTCAAGAACAAACTTTAATCCCGATGAAACTCCACGAAGCGCCAAGACGGCAGTTCTCACATCGAGGATACTCATGATGCTCGAAAATCCATCAGGAAGCTTTGACAATCACTCGCAGCCCCTGAGTCTCGAATGCATCTTCACCTTGACGATTATTCGGATCGAGTGTTCGCTTGAATGGCGGGATTGCTGTTAACGCTCATTGCCGTCAATCAAGCTCCAGGTCGCTTGAGCGACCGGCGTTTTCTCGCTGACCATCTCACGCGAACCTTTCCGATTCTCCAGACGAAAAGAAAGTTCAAGCGTCTTCATTCAATTACAGGGGGATCGTTGAGAATATTCCTAGGCTTTGCTGTTGGCGGACTCTTGGGAGACGTTTTCCTGCATTTGCTGCCCGAAGCTTTCGAAGCCATAAAAAATAATGGTACAATTCAGTCTAACTCCTCTCGACTGTATACTTTCGCAAACTAGCAACGTAAGCCAAACTAAGGGGTGTCGTTGGGATTAAAGGAAACCACGATAATGACTCTGCTCTACGGATTTGCGGGATGTGGACCCTGGTGGGGATCTTCACGTTCGTGCTCGTCGAGATTCTGGTTTCTGCTCACCAACGGATGGAGGTGGGAAAGGGCTCTTCTCTGGCCCGCTTTGCAGCAGGCCCTGTGCGATTAGTGAATCAATCGGCAGGAATCAGGGATAGTTGAATTTTTCATCGAAAGAGTGCTTCACCAGGTGTCATTTCTTCCCAGGAGCGAATCCAGTACAGCAGAGTCAAGAAGGATCAGAAGGAGAACGGCACGAAAGAAAAAAACACAGATCTCATCCACATTTCCGGTGAGTGACCCGCGGTGCGGTCTCTTCACATTCCTTCGATCAGTCGAGATGTTCCTCGATCAGAGCTTTGTTTCCGGAGGACCGTTTCTCATGAACGCATGGAATGTTGGAAGAGATGTGCACGAAACCGGGCAGAAGGTCTCCCCCTAGGGAAGACCCCCGTTTCAGGAGAGGCGTTGATAGAGTTCGGGGCGCCCGGGGCGCACGAAAGGAAACTTCTGCTTTGGTCGAAAGTGCTGAACCGATTCCGCGACCCTCGGAAACGGCGCTCGGAGCACGAGACCCGCCTGCGCTCCCTCGTTCCCCTATTCACGCCACTGCATCCCGGCTGAATCTTCGGGCAGGGTCGAGACTTCGATAGTCAATTCGTTGGAACTGAAGATTCTTTCCAGGGTACCTTAATCTGGTTGCAAACGCCATCGATAATTTTAGTCACGGACTCGCCGTCGCGGGAAGTTTCATAGCCGGTCCGCAGGTGAGGAAAATGATACATTTCTCGATCAACGCTCTCTAGAGACCCAGAGGCTGCATGAGAGGACTCCTGAGAGAGCCTGAGGCGTCCAACGCTCATTTTCTTCCGCGATGTCCAGGTCGGTCTCGTCACAACATTCGCGATCCTTCTACATGAGATCCCGCATGAAATCGGAGACTTCGCCATTCTGCTCAAATCGGGATTCTCGAGATGGCAGGTGCGTCGGACCTCCCTGAAGTCCTGTTTGGGACTTCGATTTCGCTCTAGTGCTATCGACGTATGATCGCTCCCGAAAGATTCTGAAAGTATGAATAGCCTTGCGAAGGATGCTAGCACCCTTAGCAGAGCTTCGTGGCTAACAGTGAATCTTTCCAGGCAGCGAAAGCTCAGCTAAGTACAGCATCGATTGGGATGATAGGTGCCATCACTGCTCTGTCTGTTGAGCGTCTGGAAACTCTTGGTCGGTAAGAGATTTTCGTTCCGACCCCCGTGCCTCCCTAAGATACATCAAACTCCGTCACTGGAAGCATTTTAGTATTGTCTCGAAGGGTAGAACAATAACGACCCCACACCACCGCTAGGTGCACGACGTGGATATTGCCATTCACTGCCGGCGGGTTCTTGAACATCGCGCTGATCGGAGTGCTCCCGGAGCTGTTGAAGGAGGATCAGCCAAAGTGGGTCGAGCGCAGATACTGGCTTATGATCTGGACCGGAAACGCGCTACGGATCTCGAATTCTAATCGCAATGAATCGCTTTCAGAGAATCTGTCAAACAATTCCTAAGTGTTTTCCTCGGAATCATGATGATGGCGGGCGTCCAATACATCACCCACTAATATTCGCGAGCGCATCAGCATTGGAAGTTTTAGGAGGAATCGAGAAACCTTTGCCCAGACTCACCCGTGAAGAACACCGAGGTCGACGATAAACTCACCGCTCCTAGGTGCTGGAGAGCCTTCAAGATACTCTGCCCATATGTTCAAGATTTTCTCTCGTCAAATCATCGCTTTGGGGACCGCTCATGTGGCGGTCCTCGCTTCCGACGAAAAGCATATGCAACGATAGCTCAGGCGAGCGGGCCCAATGAACTGGATCGTCTCTCGGATCACTAGAAGTATTTAGTACTCGATATTGTTGTGTAGAAAGCTGTACATACCTTCCAGAGTGAATTGACGAATATTTATTTTCCCGCGTCGAAATAAATAAATTCTATTTTCCCGGACGAGAATTCATTTCGTCCTTCCGTCCCGAGCGTGGAGCTCCTGAGTGACTGAGCCGAAGGCCATGGGAAAATTAGTCTCATCTTCCTCCCCTCCCGAATGAACGCGATCAGCCTGATGGGGAACGCGGAGACACTTGCTGGAGTCCCATGCCTTTCGCAAGGTAGCTGATGGTCTCAATCAATTCTGTCCGATCGACTGGAGTTGATTCCTGTTCCTAGAGTCAGCAACTTCGCACACCGGAGAACGACGTCCAGTATTCTTGACTTCGGGTTGAAAAATGGAAGTCGAGTCATATGATTCGAGGCGCTTCGATTTCCTGGGATCGCCTCTTGTGAGATATGAGTGTGGGTCATCCTGGGGAGAACGATCCGTTTGCCCAAGACGACCCAAACACGCTACGCTCCCTATCCGGTAGGTGTATCCCTCATGACACGCCAAATATTTTCTTAGCTTGCTCTTTCAACTTCCTAGAGACACGGAACCTTCCCAGGAATAGCCGCTCTCATATAAAAGAGCGTTTGCAGCCCAACAAAGCTATCCAGACTTTCGTGCTCCTCGAAATAAGCGTGTAAGTAAATCTTCCGCTACGCACACCGGATAGAATCTTAGAGCGGAGAAGTCGACTGAGTTCAAAATGAAAACCTAAGCGATCCGTTGCCGTCGGGTTCCAGCCGAGAAAAATGTTCAAGCCAGTCGTAGTTTGTGCCGCCCTCCTGTTTGTCGTCGCGTCCGCAGATGAGGACACGGTCGTGAGGAAATCCGTCGTCGATTGCATCAATAAGGACATTCTTGCTGCCAACACCGTGAGTTCTTGCCTCGCCCCCAGCTGGATGTCTCCGACACCTTCAGAGCAAGGAGTTCTGTTGATATTTAATTCGATCATTCCATCGTAGGAATCTTGGAAGCTTCCTGAGGCTGATATTAAGATCTTCACCAACATCATCGACAAAGAGATCATGAAGGAGCCTCTCTGCAAAAAGACTCTCCAAGAGCAGATGAAAATCATCGACGTAAGTCACTATCACCGTCGTACGACGAAACGTATTCCGATTCCGCTATCACCGCTCACTTTGGGACTCGAAATTCACAGGAAATCCACGAAGCTACTAAGAAAGAGCTGCCCCATGTCGATCAGAAGACCATCGACAAAATGATCGATCTCCTCAAGATCAAGGGCAAACACTGCACCGAACTCGTTAAGAAACACTGATGCGACGTACTCAGCAAGGATCGGAACAAATAAATTTTCAGTCCCTGAATAAAACGCTCAAAGTTTCTAAATCGTAGAAAAATCACGCGAGATCCCCGACGGCTGTATCCGATCACGAGGCTTGAGCTAGCCCATCGGGAATATCAAGGGAAAATTATCGGAAGACGACGGAAAACGAGGCGTCATGATATTCTCTCCGTATGTTGATGAACTTCAGCGACATACGGCGTGAGAAGCGGATTCGAGGCATCGTAGACCCAGCTACGACTATCGCGGTGACGGCCTTCGGGGATTCAAATATCAATCGGCTCCGCCCAGATTCCAGGTGTACGATGGGGGAGCTCCTGCGTTCGTCAGAGTCGGTCGAGACTACCTGTAGGGGATGACAGTCGTCCGGTCATGGTCAGAGGGAGCACACAGAATAATTGGTCTCGCAGAGATGTTTTATTCACGACTGGCCGCAGTAACACCACTGAACAAATTGCAAGAGCTTCTCAAACTTCGAATTGGTTCAAATCGCTGCCTTGATTCATTTTTCAATAGAGAGCAGAAGGATCGATGCTTCCTATCTAGATTTTATACCTCTCGAATCCCCGCAACGGCGTTTCATAAAGTCGATTTTCTGCTCGACGAACTCTCGTTTCTCTCTCGACGAACCTTTCGTGCTCATGCGTCGAGAGGCACAAGGACTCAATATATTGAAATGCACCAATTGATCCATTCATGACAGATAGAGGAACGGACAGACACTTTAATCGAGGGACAGACAGAAAGACAAACTGACATGTAGGCATGTACACTGAGAGCCATTAATCATAACTCTCAAGAGATCTCACGATGACGATCATTGCAACGACTTCAAGTAATATAATGTAATGCAGGAAAATGGATAGAAATGAAATCGAATGTTTTGCGGCGTTTCATGGCTCCTGGCCGGTGGTTCACTACTGATGTGAATATGAGTCTCTCTGAGGGCATCATTTTCCTCCGCCTGACTTTTTATGCCGATAAGTATTTCCCCGAATTGTTCACTACCCGCCAATCGAAGGATACGATATGATGAAGTATTGCAGCCAGGGGCGGGAAGTGCATGCCACGGGGCTGTATCGAGGAGATCGATCCGCGCGAATAATATCGTTTCTTGAAAGTTGAACAATTTGACTCTCAGGCAAAATATTTCGACTCGTCTCGGGTCCGCAGAACCTTGACGTTGACGACTGTCTTCCTACGCCGGTTCGAGAACGGAGAGAGGCAATGAGCACTGCGATTCGAGTGGACGAGAGGGGGGAATGGAGGCGGGTGGGACGAAAAATTCGAGTGACTCGTCGTCGAAGGGTTCGATCTAACTCTACCGCTGAATGTGCCTCACATGTCTTTCTCCATCACGACTGAACCGATTGCGTTGCCAGGCTGCGCTTCGGTGAAATGTTTCGGATAGCTACCTGAGGTGAAACAGAGTTTCAGAAGGAATGGGAAAGGTGAAGAGGGACTTTGAATCGGAGCGTGGTTGCAGATCACGAGCGCTTCTGTCGATTGTTGGATGGTCTCGAATTCCAACATGCCGGTCTGACTCTTAAGGTTCTTGTTCTCGAACATGGTGATTTTCGTCGGCGGTGTCAAATCTTCTTTCTTGAAGACGTCTTTGAGTCGTTCTTCCGATATGTCGTTTGGTGCATTGAAAAAATGTAATGTGTTCGACGGTGGGCGGATGCGGTTCTTGGCCGCAAGCTCCGTGTTCGTGAAGCGATTGTTTCGGCTCTTACTGAATTCGCGGAACGAAGGTGTACCGTCGTGGAGGTCGTACGCCTTCACTTCCTCGTGAAGGAAGGGCTGTTTACTGAAATTCACTTGGATCGTCTGATCGAAGATGACCGCGTTGTGAACGTTCTGCACGGCGCGCTCCACCGATGGCCCGTCGCCCATCTGTACCATCGCGCAACCGGGCTTCGATTTGAGGAACTTGACGCGAATCACGTTACCGTAAAGGCAGAACAAGTTGAACAAGTGAGAGGTATTAATTCTCGGCGCCAGCCCGTACACCATCAAGACACATCCGACGTTCTGCATCGGCAGAGGGAGACTGTTGAAACCCGGAGCGCCGCTCCGCGGTCCTCCGACAGGCGGCGAACCGAAGTCCTCGGACCGCTCGCCTCTCCGTTCGTATTGGAGGGTCTCTCGACGCTCCCCGTATTGACCACCACCTTTGGCCGGAGGTAAACCCCCGTAATTCCCGTGATGGTAATCGAACCCACTTTCCTGTTGTCCGTAGTTTCCGTTTCGGCCCTGAGGCCCTGCAGGGGGCTGACGATTCCTATTGAAAGATTCGTCGTACGAATTGTAAGCCGGGGGACCTCCTGCTCCGGGACCAGAAGGTCCAGGTCCGGCAAAACCATTGTTCGTCGTGAGTGGGGGCGGTCCTAGAAGAGCAGCCTTATGGCGTCCTGGAACGAGTACGAAGTGCAATTATTGTAAGTGAAGTGGAATTCCAGCTCCTCCTCTGATGAGCACCCACGACTCTGGGGGTCGTATCGATTGCGAAAACAGACTGAACAGGGAAAGCGAAGCCCCTTGCTAAATTACCTGGATCTTTCTCCTTGCCGTCAAGGCTGCCGGTATAGTCCCAAGTGTCTTTATCGTTCTTGTAAACGTTCAGCTTCGATGGTTTAGCGTACTCCAGTTTCAGAGTGCAACATCCTTGATAGATATCAGCGCCGTCCAATTCGTTTTTTGCTCGAGTGGCTTGGTCGACGTTCTCGAATTCGACAAGGGCTTGAACGCCGTTTTTCCTAAAGATTACGATTCTCTGGACTCTACCCAGAGTGTGAGAGATCTTGTAGATCACCTCGACGTCGATGGGATAAAGAGCGTTTCTTATAGTCATGAGAACAATATGATTGGGCTTTAAGGCCTCCGTACGTTGGCGTTTCGGAGCACGTCCGTTGTCATCCATGTCAAAAGGCATTTTTCTTGCTTTTTGTTGTAGGTGTTTAGACTGGTATATAATAAGTCTGCTGTTGAGGTTATGATGGACCAATTATAATTTTTACAATTATAATTATCAGCTGTTGTTGTAGAGTCTCAATGTTGTTCTCGTCGGCGTCCTCTTGCTCAACTGAACTTCAAACAGAAACTGAGCTCGGACAGAGTCGAGATGTGACTGTTTTACGTGAGTTCGTAGACTTGTAGTGAGTATGGCTCCCGCAATGTCTGGAGTCAGTCAGTCAGGACTGATGAAGGATTGATGGATGGTTGGATGGATGGACGGACGATGGTACGTCGGAGGGCCAGATGAACAGATCGATCGATGAATCGATAAAAGATGTCTGACTTCCGCACTTGTCAATGTGTGGCGCTAGATGCAGAAGTTCCACCTTTTGGAAGTGTATCGGACCGGATCATGTACATGTAGCAAGCCTTTCTATTTGTCCCCGTGTTTGATCCCTTGTGGAAACGTCCCGAGCACTTTTGTTGCCGTAGCCTGGACTACGCTTGGATGTTGGTTCACTTGGTTGTGATCAGATCGGCTCAGTGTTCAGGTATGTTCAGGTCTAGGCGACTCAACTGTAACAGAGAGATAAATGTTTCATTCAAATGTTGTGTGCGGAAATATGTTCGGAATCATCTCTTCGGGTGAGTGTTGACACTGCGCGACGAGAGTCGACTGCGACTACCGCTAGCGCCATTACCACTAGGTGGTGTCACCAATACTGCTTCGGTTCTGCTGCTAGCTCGGATACCTCGACGGCATGAATTCTCTGGATTCTGGATTCTCGATCGACCGCGAGTCGAGTAGAATCGAATCGTTTGCGATAGCACTAGAAGAAGGATGGGGAGGTTCATATCATACATACGGGAAAACGTAAATGTTCACACTCTCGGACTGAGAAAGCCTGTCTTCCCGGTGAGAATCCGACCATCACAACTCAGTCACGACCAGGGAACAGCGCACTCGCAAATGATCGAAGCCGGTCTCAGCCCGCGGCTCGAAGCCTCGACAAAGGCAGCCGTTGAAAGGAAGAGTGACCAAGGCACTCGTTGACGTCCACCCCCGCAAAAGTCACGAGCATGAGCTGGCACTTTGAATAAAAGCCTCATCACCTAGTTTGTCGACGGCTCTCTGAACTCCCGATTTCGACCTAACTCACTGCGCTGTTGAAGATAACGCAATAGGAAGCGATGAGACTCAGGTCGCCGTCGCACACTTTTCTCCGGATATGAGCCGCAGAAGTCCGTCGATTTCGGAACGCTTTGGGAGAACAACTAACAATCAAGAATGTAGTGCGCCAGAAGGCAAATAACTGTTCAGGAGTTCGAGTGGTGACTGATCAGCTAACGGCGCACGGCCGAACAGACCTACGATCAGTAGAAAGAGTGTTTTATGCGACGACGCGTTAGCATGCGACGCCGTATACGACGTGTCTCAGGGCACCGTCTCGATAAGACCAGAGATAAGAAACAGGCGACAGGGCTTGACCTCAAATTCAGTCAAGCAAGGGATTCTATAGAAGACGGATTCTTCATCTTGATCCCGAATCGGATACCGAAATTCCTCGTCTAGAATTTCTTCCCATTCCGAGTCGACACATTTTCCGGCTCTTCCCCAGGTCGAGATTCGAGACTTCCGGTTCCTCTAGGGGAACATCTTATCACATGGAGACTCGTTTCGATATCATTCATGTTCGACATCCAAATCGGGGTGCAAGCGTGTCTTTTTTGTCGGGAGTAACGTGAGTAAGTAGGAGTGAGACGAGAGTGGTTTGATTCCCGTTGATCTGCTTGACTGTGATGGTGATTAAGATAGGTACAGGAGACTCGCTTCCGACAAACCCGACCTCAAATTCCACGAAGGACGTGGATAGTGCTGTTCGCGAGGGATAAAGTTCGATCGATGGATATTCCTATCGGCCTCCAACTCCGTGTCGATAGAGAGTCATGGTATCCGCCGACGGGGAGATCTCCACCGTGGCCCAGAGACTCGGGACGCTCCACGAGATGATGGATCTTAGCTCACGAGGATACTTCGTAATGATGCTCATGTGGTCGCTCGCTTGGGAGTCAGGAGCTCAGAAATCCATTCCGTCGAGTCCTTCTCCCGCAGACAAGGGATGCTGGCTCCGATAGAATCATCGCCAACTCGATGCCACTGCACGCTTATTTCTTCAACGAACGATCTGGTCTCGCTGATCAAGAATGCAAGCTGAAGCCTGCTCCGACGCTCGCGGAGGTCAGGGGATTCTCCTGGTCTCTGCACAGATGGGAGATTTCGCCGACCACGACAAATACAGTCCATGCTATCCGAGTGTGCCTCGCGTGAATTTGGTTAGCCTAACGCCTAAACTCACTTGTTCGTCGCTGCTCGAAAAGCGGCTTCGTTTCGTTGACACCTAGAACACTCCAACTCGCCGTCTTCAACGGTTTCAGAAAGAAAAGCAAGACCACCCCCAAGTTCGACGATCTATTCTGAATCGGTCGACGACGAGATTGACTGGGTGGCGGTGGTGGTGTGGAATCATCTCACATCATCACAACACATCCGGGCGGCCATGTTGTTTTGGGAGAGGAGAAAAATCAGTCTGTGTGAGTCGCCCGCCCGAGCGCATATTGTGGGTTGTTGGTGGACTATTCGGAAACGGGGGCACTCGTAAGATTCCCTTGCGGAACTCGAACGAGGCTTGGAGGAGAAATGATTCGCAGAAAGAATCCAGAGAACAATCCTATCTCCAGATCGCCGTTGAATAGCCGGACGATCTCTTACCGTCGTCTCGAACAGGTGGACTCCTTCAAAATCTCTAGAGATCGAGGGAGCGAAGAGTCTGACACTGGATATAATTCTGGATATACTGTTTTGGTATCGGGTCTCTTCAATTGAACGCGATCACGGAAAAGGAGTTTAGGCGGTGGCCATCTTGTCGCATAGGGCTCCTCATCATGAGTACCTCCACTTTGCGAGCTGTGCACTGGAAAAAAAATCGCCAATCCTCTAGAAAATATTCGAGACGGGGAGTCGAATGAAATCATGAGAACATGGTTCTGATTTCTGACAATGATTTTCAACCGGACTGATAAGTTCTTCCCAAGACGAATAATGAAACATTCGACTGAGATTCGTGAGGAACCTTCCTTACGCGGTTGGGAGACGCCCTCTTTGAAAGGTCTAAATGAGCGCGGGCTCACTCAAAATTGAGTCCATCATCAGTCTTCTTTTGTCATGGAGCAGAGTAGGTATGGCCGTAGAGAAGCGCATATTGGGTGGTAATCGCCAAATCAATAGCTTTCTCTCTGAGCGAAGATCACCGCCATCATCGCCCGCAATTGGACCTCATCTTCAAATATTCCCTTCTGCCGTCCTTCGTTGGCGAATATATTCTAATAAATGGCGGAGGTTTTCTGAGACCGTTCCGTGAGGAGTCCCCCATGATCCAAAGGCATATCCTTATTCCCCTCCCGGGGCTCTCGAGAGTTGAGATACTTTCTATTCAATCCCCCGCTTCGTTCCGCTAAGCTCTCTTGGGATCATTGAGAGCGTATGCTCCGGTAAAACATAACTGGGGAAAAGCATCCCTAGATTTCCGAAACCCTGATTTATTCGACACGCCAATAAAGCTGCTTGAGGAGAATTGGAATCTCCGCCATTTAACAAATCGGATGGCTGCTCACTGCTCATGCTCATACACTTCGGATCAGACGGACATCTAGTCGCAAGCAAAACATCAGCTCATGAGCAGAATATTGGCGCGAAGGGTTTTGGCGCCTTCAAGTCAGAATTATTGTCGAGGAATCGTATCTCGCTGGCTGCCAAGTGACCCGCGGATAGGACTATGGACGTTTACGCTGAAGCCGGAGGCTTTGATATAGATTCATCCTTCAGTGATGGGGTAAGTTCGGAGGATTCGATCGATGATGAGCTCTACGACTCAGGCTCATCGAAGAGGAAACACAGAACGCTCTGTGAATACCGTCTTGCCAAAATCTGGTCCCAGGGACTCTGAGGAGCCTCACGGAAAGATTCGCTACGATGTCCGATCGTGACATACGGTGTCATCACGATTCTATGTAGTCTATATGATCTGAGATCCAGACAAATGCACCTGTGGTGAATCCTGCGTAATCGGTGCATTCAGCCTGCAGAGACGGAAATTCCGAGAATGGAAGAAGTTGCTCCGGAGCCCGCGGAAAGTCATTTTCTCATAACTAGGCTCGGCATTATCGAATCCTTTCGGTCTAAAAGACACTTTCGATTTTAACGCTCAACTTGATCTCAAAGACCATTTTTTTGAACTGATCGCTTCGTTATCGTGATCGTCGGAGAGATAGCACTTCAACGGCGATTATTAGTGCTGCGAGCTGCGACTATTGGAGGCTCGAATGGTGGCGACTTGAATCTCCACACTCATCTATCATGGTTATGGCCTATTCGCAGCAAAAAAGGATCGCCAAAGAGCTCCTCCAAACTTGACACCGTTGACATGCGCAGACATTCATTCGATGACAGGAGAAAGATGGACCTTCGGAAGTCACGAAGCTGAAAAGGTAAGTCGTACACCCGCGCGCGCAGCTCCGAAATTGAGGATGCACTGTGCGGACCGGAAATCGGTACGCGTCGGGGCATTGCTCCGACTCGATTGCGGGCGAGATGGGAGAAATGTGAATAATATAATCGTTCTCGATCATCAATCTAATGACTTGGCCCCTTCAGGTCTGCTTGGTCGGAGTAGTTCGATCGATCGAAATATCCAGTCTTAAGGCCACCCTGGTTGTCGATGATAGGACCGGTCCTCCAGTCATCTGCCAGTCAATGGATACGAATGACGCTGAACTGGAGCGACTCAACGAAGGCATGTACATCAAGGTCAGTCAACATCGATCCCATCCGTCCCGAGAGGCGTCGAGTTTATTCCACAGTCTCTCTGATTTGAATCGATTCTCATTCATCTCAGGTTTTTGGCACCCTGCGAAAACAATCGGTCAATCGAGACGAGGAGATGAAGACCATGATCAACCTCATCAAGCTCCGCGCGGTCTCTTCCCTGAACGAGGTGTCGCTCCACATGATGGAGTGCGTCCAAGCCAGAGTCTATTATCTCACTGCTGAGAAGAGACTCCAGGCCATCTTGGGAGAAAGCCAAGCTCCCTCTCAGCCATCCAAGTCCTCTGCTCCGATTAACAATGGGACCACCTTCGACGACAGCGGAGTTCCAGGTCTCAATAGGAAACAGCAGATGGTCTATCAAGCCATCAAGGAAGCTGGAGCAAACGATTCCCAAGGACTCCATATCAACAAAGTGAGTCCAGCCGGCTGCTCGCTCTGACCTTTTTTCTTCCTTTCTGTCTCCGTTTAATCTCCTTCCTCGTCCCGCAGTTGCTCCAGAAGATCAACATGCACGGCGTGTCCGAACGGGAGGCCCGGGATGCACTTGAATTCTTGTCGAATGAAGGCCATGTCTACACAACGATCGATGAAGACACATACGCCTGTCTCGAGAACTGATTTCCTTCCTTTTCGTGATAATAAATGGGATTTTAAAGGAGGTTGACCCTCACGGCTCAAAAAAAGTGCTGACTCCAAAACTCCAAATGCATAAATCTCAAATTTTACTTCCGGGGAAAAATCCCGGGGGATGAGCTAGAGGCCGGCGTTCTTATTCCAATAATCGATGGTCGTCTCAAATATTCCTTCAGCAAAACGACTCGAACCACGCCAGACTGCCTCGGTCCACCGGAGCGGGAGTTCTCTGTGGGAATCCTTGACACCTGCTCCAGATTAGATGTCCGTGACGCCTACGCTGGTGTCAAGCATCGAAGAAGAGAAAGAAGTTGCGTATTTTGAATCTTTTATTCTATCATTGAGGCAAAGTCGTCGAATTACAGGTCCTGAGAGTTTTCGACGTCAGAGGAGTGCGCAAATCGGCGGGAGACTCGTGTCCGTGAGTCGATGAGACGAGGATGATATCGATCAGATCCTGAGCAGTTCGAACACCTGCAAGTAGTGACTCACAAGGTTCACCTCGGCGCAAGGATAAAGATAGGCTTGTCGTGAAGCAATCTCTCCTTGTTGGCTCCAAATGCTTACCACAACATGCAAATGATAGCAGAGCCTTGGATAGCGGGTCTCCACACTTCTTCCTCGATACAACCAGAGGAGGGCGCTGCTCTTCAGATATTTAAGGCAGATGAGACGGTCCACGCGTGATCCCTTGTGACACCCCCAGAAGTGGCGGATCACATCATTTGACAAACTCTTCTCCGGAGAGCTTCAGCGTAGTCACCCTGGAGGGCGGCGCTAATGGCAGCATTGAACACCTGCTTCACCCCTCTCTGAAAATGAAGGAGCCCCCTAGAGCACGTCATGACCGAGCACATATTCTTCCGACTCCCCACGCTAGTAGGTACATTGAGTCCATTGAGTCAATGAATGGGGTACCAGAGTTGTCGAAGAGCATTCGAGATATTTGCACTCATGGATGAAGGCTTTCCGCCTCGCTTCTCTCTTGGTCACAACTTTCTTGGACTCTAGCTGCAGCTGTTGTCGATAAATCGGGTCTTTCCGGAGATCTGTGTGAGTTCCGATCAGCAAATAAGGTGATCCGGGCGCGTAGCTCTTTATCTCTCCGATCCAATTATCGGTAGCGTTTTCGAACTGCTCCCTGTCAACCACGGAAAAGCAAACCAGAAACACTCCGGTAGGCTCGATGTAGGACATCCGCCTGAGGTTGTGAGTGTTTTCTTGGCCTGCCAACGGTTGAGAATGAGAAATCTTGTTTGCCACGGAGCTGGTACCATGCTCACCGAGAGCTCTCTCTCAGGGAGGCCGACTCTCGCTGGGCTCTGGGCTGGACACCTCAAGTTATTCGGAACAGCCAGGCAACTCACCCGAAAATCCTTTGAAAACAAGCTTGTGATTTATGTCGTTGTACAACTTGCAAGTCGAGTATTCCAGAAACACTGCCTGTTCCTTATCCGAATCGATTTTTTCACAGGCTGCGAGGAGTTGATTTTTTCCGGAGTTTGCATCACCGACAGCGATGCACCTTATGTCCTCTCTGCACGTCTTCTGCGTTGAAAAGTCGGAGGAGAGATCGTCGGTGCTCCCGAACCTCATACCGTCGATTCGCCACATTGAATTGGTCACTCAATGGTTTAGAGTAGCCGGAACGGAACTGCAATGCCTTCAAATTTAGAGTCGGATAGTGTCAGACGAATCCGGACTCGACGAGAGTGGTGCGACAATTCTGCCGATCGTTATCGGAAGTATTCATCTCGGACCTCGGACTCGCAGTCGCAGTAGAGCTTCATGCAGCGTTCCAGCTCCCCACCAGGGGGTTGGAAAGTATCGACCGTACGTTTCTGCCAACCTTGGCGACGCTGTCCTCCTCGGTGCCTAGAAAGCTCGACAGCACATACTCATCGAAAAAGAAAGGACATCATCGGTGCACTCACCCTCCGAGGAGTCTGAAGTGGATCGGTGAAGAAGAGTCTCAAACAATCTGAACAAGAGAGAGAAAAGCAACTTTGATCCGTATAGATTCAGGCTCTCGAAGCAAACGCCCCGGCGACTGCTCGAAAATGGCGTGAAGCGCCGCGGTCTGCGAGAATGGAAACAAAATGCGAGACGCGCATGTGACTCTTCGGCGCTCCAGCTGCGAAGACTTGCGCCAAGTCCGCTGAGGGCTGGGCATATGCATAAGCTGCAATTTCTCCGTGGGAATGTTGAGAAAATGTTGACGAAAATGACGATATGAGCCTCAGGCACAATTATTGAATCACCTCGATGATTATGATCACTGATCACGAATCGACCAGGACCACGAGCACGACACGACTCGGACAAATAAAGTGGGAACAGTGAACAATTCCTTTATTCAGGAGTCGGGAAGCAGGTAAGGAGAACAAATCTCATTTCACAGAAATCTTCATTTTCCAAATATCTACAAACTCCATAAGATAACAATCGATCCGCGAGACTTTCCATATCTTACAAAGTTGGTCATCTCCATCCCAAGTATGAACCCAACGAATTGGAATGCATACGCTCGAAACTTGAACCCCACAGATCTGGTCCATTTGTTCCTAGTTTACAGTCGAATCTTTCCTTTATCAAATTCATCATAGTTAGCGACCATGTAGACTCGAGCTCGTCCAGCTTCGAATCCACCGCGGAATCTCAAGTCTAGAGGCCATCACGCTGCTGAGTGGAATGTCAGCTCAAGCCCAACTTATGCTCATTCGAGAGAAACATCGAGAGCTCCTATGGTGTTCTGATTCCCGAGAGCAATCGGAAGTTCCTGAACGGTTGTCATGTCTAAGGGGTGAGTAGTGAGTACTTTCTAAAATAGGAACCTTGAGTCTTCGATAGTTCCATTTTGTCCCCGAGTGGAATGGAAATCGACGGTTTCAGATTTCCCGGAATCAAGTGAGTCAGTCTTAGTTCCGCCGGTGCTATCGGGTGCTGTCGGCACAAACGTCCATCGGGGGGAAGAGGCTGAATCTCTCGAGGCTCGATCCGACAGCGACAGATGACACGCCAGGCAATCGCGTCCAACCCGAGATCCCCCTAGAACTTTGCGCATTTCCGCGGGCCTCCTAGTTCAGCTTATGGATTTGATCATGGGATTCAAATTTTTTCAGGTTATCTAAATTGCTCCACCATTCTTCTAGGAAAGTGTTCAGGATCAGTTGGAACCAAGGTGTCAGCTTCTCGCCGCGATCCTCGATTTCACCTGAAAAAAATCTTCTCGTCACTGGCCCTGCAGAGTGGAGCGGGAAGTCTTCGAAAAAGCTCTCGTCGATTCACCAATGGCGTTCACGGATCGAACTCTGGCCTTAGGAGTCAGGGTGACTTACTGACGAATTCTTTGATGTCGTTCCTCTTCAAATAGCGGATCGTCTTGATCTCATTGGGATCCGGCTTCATAATCTTGATATCTTTTTTCACAAATAGAATGTAGTCCACTTCGTGCTCGCCCCACATCCCGTCCGATGCGGCCATGTATTTTATACGTGTGATGTAATGGAAACATTCAAGTGGCAGCTGCAACAGGGGGCGGAACGAATGAATATCGATGAGCCATCTTGCTCGGTATGGTTACGTATCTTTCCCCATCGGTCCATGTTCGCCTATCTACGGGCTCCGGTAAACATCCATTGCTCACCTCCTCGGTCGGGATACCGAGTTCTGCGAAGATCCGTCGCTGCGCAGCCACTTTGACCCCTTGTACGGGGTCCTCTGTCTGCTCCGTGGGCACTGCCAGAGGATGTGAACAGCACGAGTTGGTGTACGACCCGGGGAACGTGATTTTGGCGTCGGACCTGCGGATTCCAAGGAGTGATGTCATTTACGTACGAAGTAGGAAGCGCCGATGAGAGAACCCCGAGAGAGTTTTTTTCCCAGAGAAATCCCGAGAGGAAGCTCCTCAATTGTCGGGCACCGCCGTCGAGTCATCGGAAGTGACAGACTTGGCGTAGAATGTGGAGAGGAAAATCAGAAGAACTCCATGATGTTCGGGATATCAGAACCGTACCTTTGTTGTATGAGCAGCTCTCCCTTCGAGTTGAACAGGAACACGGAGAACGCCCGGTGCAAGAGCCCTACAAAAATAATGAATGATTATTATGGATTATTATCCGAATTTCTTCGAGTCAGACTCCGTTCGCACGGCCTGATATCGATTTCTTCCGCAACATTAGAATAATTGTCGCCCCGGGCTCCAGCGAAATGAATTCGCCGTGCCGGTGGCTATGAATTTTTTTCAGGTTTCGATCGCAAAAAGTCGGAAGATTCTCAATCGACATTCGGGAATAAAGCGAGCGAATCACACCCACCTTTATTGATGTTGGACATCAGGTGGCAGTCCTCCTTACTGCCCGTGCCGACCACTTTGTCGGCCTCATCGACAAGAATGCACTCTTCCTTCAAGAGTTTGACCTGGACGGGATCGAGAGCATCGAGCATGGTCGACGGCGGTGAAGGTTTGGGTTCGACCCGTGCGGAGTGTAGAGGACCCTTCATGGCGGTGTGAATCGAAGCAGAGGTGGTCTTTGCCGGGGAGGAGAACATGGTGTTCCTGATGAGTAAAGCAGAGAGGCTCGATGAGATGCTGTTCATCGGCGTCTGTCTCGACCGCAGCAAGATCCGTAGCACAGACCGCAAGACGATCGTGCATGAGTGCGTCAACGCTTTACGACTGCAAGAATCCCTAAAAAATATGATATGACAGAGCGGCGGCTTCGGAGCTTACGCTTTATACCCCGACATGGCTCGCTGAGCTTCCGATTCTTTCCGCGGATCTAGCTGTCGCCGGATATTGTTGGCGAGTCGGCTGATGGCACGCATTGCTGGAAATCCAAGAGACGAGTGAAACTTTCGTTGCCGACCGTCTCAGAGTGCGGAGTGCATACCTATCACCGTGAGGAGTTCTCATTCGCACGACTCTCATAGACACGAGTCATCACAATCAGATCTGAGCCTACACGCGTCTGCAAGGCAACAACAGATGTCCGCAGACCTAGGGACGGGATGACGGGCGGATGTAAAATACTTGAATCCAGACAGTCCGCACCGAGCGGTTTGGACAGCGGCGTAGCGACTGAGCGAACTCACTGGCGCGGCCGGGCCGATCGGCTGCCGACTGGTTTGCCCACTTACGTGTGCGTTGGATTTTCAGCAGGACCTGATCTCCCGAAAATAAAGCCGACCGATTGCACAAGGGCCGGTCGTCGGTGTCTGATCGACGTCGGAAGTTTTTTTCGGATTTATTTATAAATCCGGGTCGGATGGGAGAGAATTTAGCCGGTTGGGCTCGTCATACACTGAACGCCATCTAGTATGCCGGACGTAAGCTGTAACGGCACCCTTTCAGGATTGGCTGGACGGCCCTGCGGCCGTCGAGGACCAGTGGAAGAGGACTCTGCTCGGAGGAGAATAGCGAGTTGCACTCGACTTTTCGTTTGACTCAATCCGAACAGATCCCTCCTCCAGGGGGAACCAACCGATGCTCAATCCATCATCCACATAACATGGTCTCCCGCTCGACTTGACTGGTTCCGAAATACTTCCCCCGGCCCGATTTCGAAGGCTCGCTCCGTAGGCTGATCGCTCGTGGACCAGGCAATCAGTCGATCACGGAGAGACGAGTCTACTCGGAGGACATCTCACCACAAAAGTACTCACCGGCTCTGTTCAGGAATTTCGCTAAGGGTTTCTTCCACCACGCGATCTCTTTCGGCGCACACCCTCCAAGCTCTCACAGGGGTCCGCCCGCGACCCGCCTCGAGAGTGAGAAGATCTGCAATGACCTGTCTCTGGAGTCTCTAGCTGTGTGTGCAGATGGATGGAGTGGTGATCATCGGCGCCTATGGGCGCCGCCATCTTTGCTCGGGCGCGCCTGACGTCATTTTTCTGCAGGCGGCAATTTGAAACAGCTCTCGGTGCACCGTACCGCTTCCGAGCGGTAGATTCCACAGAAGGCTCTTATTTCTACAACATACGACCCAAGAGCGCCGCGCTTCTGATCAAGCTCTTAACGGCCATCTCCATGTTCAAGCTAGTTCCTCGTAGATCGCGTTCCTTCTCGGGAACCAAGGCTCTCCAACGGGTTCGAGCTTCGTTGCGAAGAATCGCTTGCAGCCAGGGTTGAAAACTGCGCCTGCCGCACGAGGAACTCCGTGAGTCCCAGAATCTGAATCCAGAATCCCTCACGCCGAATGCGCGTACTTCGAGGCGGATCCGCCCAGTTTCAGCTTAGAACAACATTCATCCGCGCGAGCGCTTTCAATTTAATTCTTTACCGGCTCCAAAGCTAATCATTCCTCGAGAAAGCATCAGGAGGAAGGGAGATACAACGAACCCCGCCGCGACATTATGAACTCAGGAGTACTCGTGCTCCTGAATGAGTTGTCTGCAGTTGGCAGGGGGGCCACGCGTTGCCACGATTGGGCAATTGCTGTCGGGAGCCATCAATGATCAGATAGACGGATGGTCTTTCCCTGAGAGCCTCAGATGCGTCAAAAGACAAAAACAGGAACAAATCCTTCCGATCATTTCTCATGACCATTTCGCGACCGAATGATAATTGTCAGAACTCCTAGGGAAACTCGCAGTCTGCAGCTGGAACTCGGTTGGAGTCCCACGGAGAAAGTATTTCAGGTATCTCGTCGTCCTCATATTTGTCAATCGACGGAGCAGAATCATTCATTCTGTGGAAATTGGAAGTCTCAACTTCGGAGTCCTTGAGATCATCGCTCAAGCACCGAAGGCGCCCATCTAATCCGCGAGATCTCCTGCACTCTGGACGTTATCTTGCTTCATTCCGCTTTCCAGTCCTCTCGAGGATCGTCCGGCTGAAGCGACCCTGGCTCGTTTTTCTCATTCGTGTCGTGAGGTGAGGGAGCGCCATGACGGCTCGCCAATCTGTTTGTGCTTGATGATCACTGACCATAATTCTATCCGTTGTGCATGGCGGAGGTTCTCACGACTTACCGTCTCCGGCAGCCTGCTACTCCTCATGGAATTCGCAGTGAAGGTTCTCCGGAGGTTGCGGGAAGGCCCGATGGGAGTACGGTGTACGTAGTCCCGATGAGCTTCCGCTGAAGCTTCGGTGAAGACACGGCGCGCGGGCCCGACCGAGGTTCCTTCGAGGTCTTCTCATCTCGATCGAATCTCAGCCGGACCACACCAGGGCGCTCCAACACTCGACGGGGACCTTGCTGCAAGGAAAACAGCTTGGTTGTCTTCGGTGTATCGTTATCGTCATAAATTATCACTCGCATGGTTTCTTCGCATCCCGAACGGTGCACTCGATAGGCCTTGTGAATCTAGTACGTCCCTTTTTAACACCAGTCCGGACTGTATAACCCGAGGGTATTGATTGTCGATCAGCACCTCTCAGTCAGTCGAACTCGTTTCGACGTCCATGCGCCCGACGCACACATAGGTTGCTCTTGGAGAGCGGTATTCTGGCAGCTGACTCGTTCTATGAGGAGCGATCAACGAAAGTACTCGACCGGAGGTTTAGAAACCTCCCGAAGTCAAGTCGTATCCGACCGGTGACCGAGTCCTTTCTGCTTGCGGCCAACAGATCGCCTGTGTAGTGATAAGCGACCTCTCACCGACAGGCCCATGCGGCCTTTTTTTCACCTGGGCTGAGACCAAAGGTGGAAATGTTTCCGTTTAAACAGCTGTATCCCGCATTGCCACTACTCCGATCTGAGACTTCTTAACACTGAGTTTCTTCTCTTTTCCGAAGGTATTCCCAGCTCACAGGAGAATAACGGCGGCTCAGATGCACAAAATGCGAGCGTACATCCTCTTCCTCCTCGTAAGTCTGTCTCACATAGCGGGATACAGAGTTCGTAGATTGACTTACAAGAGTCCTTGTACCGATCCGAACACAGAAGAAAGAGGTCTTTGCATGTTTCCTTGGGACTGCTTCATATGGAGCGGAACTCCTACGACAAGCTGTCGCAATCGGGGCAACCGCGGAATGTGCTGCCGATTCCCAAACGTAGCCGAAGGTCAAACCAAGCAGGATCGTCTCGGAAACATTTGCGGTACAACTGCTGCGTCCGGGAACGATCTTCTTGACGGCAGGAATCTCACGGATATCCCTAAGTCAGAACGATGGCCATGGACGATCTCGATGCACCACCGTCTGGACGACAACACTTCTGAGTTTTTCTGTGGAGCCACTCTCCTGAGTGAAAACTGGGCCATAACTGCAGCTCATTGTGACAACATCTTTCGACGTGAGGAGATTGTGCTCGTGTTCGGTGCGCATGATCTCGATGAGCTCCTAGAGGAGGACCCGGATCGAATTGAAAGACGAATTCAGAAAACGGTTCGTCTGTCGAGCCGGAGACCATTCCATCGGGGGGACGATATAGCGCTCATCAGGTTCGACGAGCCTGTCGAATTCACGGACAACACGTCACCGATATGCGTAGCCGACGGCGACCACGATTACGTAAGAGGTACCGCTTTTTACACCGGTTGGAGGCTTTCGGATGAGGACGAGTCGTTGCCGTTGATCTTCTGCGAAGTACGTCTTTCGTTCATTTCCAATGAGGATTGCGAAAAACTAGAAAAGGTCGTCGGAAGGTCGTCAAGAGTACCCGAGGCTTTCATCTGTACCAATAAACTCGTGGACGGCGAGAGAGCCTGTTTCGGTGGCTCTGGAGGTCCGTTGATGATGAAGGATGAAACTAGCGGTCAGTGGAGCCTGATAGGAGTGGTGCTGGGCGGAGAGCATTACCTTTCGGCTGGGCCGAAAAAGCACGCCAGGATTTCCGCATTCGCCGAGTGGATCAATAAACTCATCGCGAACTGACTAAAGTGGATTCGAGGGAAGGATCGAGAATCCCGCGGAGGACGGTGAGCCGATGATCACCGGATCAGCCCCTGGCCCAGCTCAACGCTGTCTCCGACTTCGCTTTTCGCTCAACTCACCCGGGATCGCTGTATTACCCCCGGGAGTCAATGATTCCATCTCCAGATGCGTCCGCCTTGTAGACAAAGACGGCGATAATTCATTTCATTGTGGTATTTCTGAAGCATCTCTCAATCCTGAAGTTGAGGACCCATCTCGATTCTTCGACAATAACTTCGCGACACCGATCATCTTGTGGATATAATCCGATGCCTGTTCGCTCCGAGCATGTAGAATAAAGTTTAAAGCGAGACTGCGACGAAACAAGTATCTCATCAGCCGACGACGGGTTAGTGGTCGCGGATCCGGGACCTGCCCGGGTGGCCCGAGAGAGTTATCCCTCTTCCTCATCTCTCGGGCGACCGGCAACGGACGAGTGGCTGGATGGATCGGAATCTGCCCGGGAGAAGGCAGTTAGATATCCCGACTCATCGAAGCCGTGAAAGTCTTCAAAACAATCACGATTTCTCACAGATTTTCGAATCATAGATTTCCTCCCATGGAAGAGCCCTCGGTCCCCACAACGACGTCCCTATCGATTCTCATACAATTCACAGGAAGACGTTGATTGGGATCATCGGGACAGGGCTTCGGATGTCTGAGCGGATCTCGGCTCCTTGCGATGTCCATATGGAGGAATAAGGTCCACGCGTTCCACACCTCGCGTGTCGACGAATTCCTGGTGCGTCCCGAGGAGAGTTTCCCATCCAATCTTGCGCCTTGGTGACAGAAACCTGAAAATCGCGGAACGCATCCATGGCCAAGCGACTGCTTCGGGCGTTGCCTCCTCTTTGGAAACTTGTTCTTCCTTATCACGTCAGCTCCGCTTTCGCGAGAAAACCTTGCTGCACTGGAGGGAAATCACTATAATTCGGAGGTGTCTTATCTCGGTCGCCGTACCGAATCTCACTCGGACTGGTCGGATTTAGGTCCACATATTGGCAACCCTCTGTAGAGCGCGGCGGTCGATCAGATATTTAGTTCCGATTGCGTCCGGGAGCTCCTCTTTCGTCCCCCATAGCCTCTCGATCCCGATTCTTCCTTCTGCTGAGGTCATGATCACCTTGAGTGGCTGAGGCCTTCAGCCTATAGAGCGCTTGCTTCGAATTTCAATCTAAATGGTATATTCGATGAATTCCGAGACGAAACCGAGGACGCCAAGCTTCTGTCTTCGGTCGGATGAATGCACTCGCAGACATGTATTCTGATCCTATGGGGCGAGCTTCTAGGAGATAGGGACCGTAAAGAATCGAATACTTCGCCTACCCGAAGGTATGAGAAGTACCAAGCACTCGCACGTACAGTAAAACCTCGTTACGGCCAGTCCCTTCGAGTCCATTATGAGGAGAGTCCACTTCCAGTAATTCGAACTCCGGCTGTCCGTTACCGGCCGTTCCCACTGTCGTGAAGTTTTCGCTGGGGCGAAGATCCTGGTTGTGCCCTTCGACCATGATGCAGGAGTTACGATAGACCGCTGGAGTCAACTAATTTAGCCGCTCGGAGCAATCCTGTGGAGTCTGGAATTGTTTTGCGAACTCCTACCAATCGACCAGCAGCAGGAGAGGGTCGAATACAAGCCGCAGGATTTCTGGAATGCGAGGCGCGAAAATTCGGTGAGAACGCAGATTCCAAGGCGTCCCAGCAGCTCAGGACTCCGACACGGGAATGGATAGATCAGATTCTGGCCCAGAGTCTTCTTATCGCAGGCCATTTCGGATGTTGATAGATGGAACATCCGCGTCTCTTGACTCATGAATGGGGAAGGACCCTTCCGTCCGACTGCTCGAGGGGTCGATGTTGGGAACCGAGACACTCTTCTTGACGCTCGCCAGAGAATCGTCTCCGAAGGTCTTCGGAGATGGACGTAAACTGAATGAATGCATGAGATCAACTGTTTTCGGTATCCCGGTGAATATGGCTGCTGTCGCTACGCGCCTCCATGGAGCGACACTTTCCAGCGCCGGGAGCTCCGGTGATACATGAAAATACCCGGGACAGACGGCAATTTCGGGAGATAGGAACGACATCTCAATTATTCGGACTACGGAGGGGTTCTCCTTCACGGCAAGTTCGAATCTCCGACAAATTCTCTTACCGATACGGGCATTGCGTGACTCGCTCTGATTCGCTTGATTGGTTTTGATGCAATGAGAAAGAAGCGACGATAAGCGAGCGGCAAACAAGCGGTGTGCGAGCGGCATCATCTTCGCGCATGGGAAAAATACCGTGCAATAAATTGTAAGTCATTCATCGTCGGTTCTTTCTGATATCCTCATACTATACTCCCTCGGAATTGAACCTTATCGACTTCTCTTTCTGATTCGATGAGGATGATCGCTCGTGGGAGCTGATGATTTCATCGTTCGACCTTCAGTGTCCCATGGATCCGTGCAGGATGCGAAAGGCCTGGAAATCAGACAGGGTCGACTTCAGGAATTCACAGATTTCCGATCCGTTCGAGCTTTGAGTTTCTCCTTGAAGGCCCAAGATCCCCACGGTCCCCGGCGGCGCCCCGGCTGTTCCTTATATTTCTTTACGAGAGAACGGGAGTTTTTTGAGCTCCATGGGCCGGGTCCTCTCCCGAGAAATCATGGACGTTTCAGAATAATGGAAATCCATTGATCGAGTCTTATGAATTCGATGATTAGACTTGATGATTGGCGCAGGCTGCTCCACTCCGTGTGTTGAGAGGACTCGACGCCGCTGTTGATGAAGATGCCGTTTTTCGAATCAGCGCGCCTCGCTCTTCGAAGACGCCGCCTCCATGTTGTGCTAGCCCTATTCAAGAGGCTTAGTCGCCGTTGCAACGGCCGTTCGACGAAGGTGAGGCATTTTCATGGGGAAATTAGCCCTCAGTCAAGTTGATGTGAGTCGTGAAACATGGTAGCGCGGTAGTGAGACCGAATGAACGACAAAGTGAGCGAACTAGTTGGAAAAAGGGCCACGCATAGGCCTATTTAGGCTAAGCTGCATGATTCGCCATCTTGGCTCCGGCCACAACGAAGCTTACTGGTTGATACGTCTTAATTACAAATATGAAGGAAGCCGCGTAACGTTTGGCGAGAGTCATCACATGCCACGATTGTTCGAGTCCGATCGAGCAGCTCTGGGTCAGCGAGGCTCCGGCTCTCGCTCGCTTAAAGCGTCCCTGATGAATACCCTAATGAGTGATCATGGCCACTCGTACGAGAAAGGCCTCGATGGGCAGCCATCTTGTTTTCAGGGCACCGCGGACGGTCACTCAATTCATACGGCCACGCTCTCGTCGCCAGGACGAGACCGCGGCTGAGGAGAACGAAAACCGTGCGATGGCCTCGCCCAACGGCGAAGCCGACCCAACGATGCCAGAGCGAACCTCGTATTGAGAAAACACGATCACACATTTCGATTTTTCTTGCAATTACCCGGACGAAACACAAAGACTAACCTCCTTGACTCGACGAGGAATATTCCGTGGATACATGAGCCCTCGGAGACCATTACATTCACATTTACCATTACACTTTTGTTCAAATACGGGGCTCGCGGTCAGCAGATAGTTCACGCTCGTCATCCCGAGATCAAGATGATGCTCGCGATTGATCGAAATACACGGCAAGCCGAATCGGCCTCCTGATATGAAGTCGAAGGAAGAAGAGTCCTGAATAGCTGCGGCGCAATCTGATCTAGCGAGTCGGGGAAGATCCCGAAACGCTTCGGATCCGATATTGTATTCTCTCAGCCATCAAGGAACAGCGCTCGCGAGAAGAGATCCGAATGCGCGATTCCTCCAACTACAGACAGTACGGCTGGAGGCGTACTCCTCAGTACTGACTCCTAGTACCTATTAGGGGAATCAGCAGCTACGCGATCAACAGCGTTCCTTCTCGGGCCAGGCAGACTATGCGAGGCGATATACCCATGCACGGGCGGAGGTTCTACGCCTTCAAGCAGAACTTTGGAGCCGAATCCTGACACACTTATAGGAAACTCGGTGGAATCGGACCCGTTCTTCGGGCTCGGTAGGCTTTTCGCGGCTTTCATGGGACCGCTACGAAATCTGACACCAAATTCCTCTTGTTTCAGAAAGTCGAAGAAATGATGGACCCTGTGTGCCATGTGGGAGCTTCGACAAACCCATCGCAATTCGAAGTTCCCGAAGACATGCAACACCTTGGAATCGGAGGCATCGGGATCGGGGATGGTCACCACAATAGCTTTGTGAACACTCTAATATATTCTCAGGTGAGGCTGTCTGGGGTGGTTTGGCTTTTTCGGTTCTCTTATGCCGGAGATTCCTTCGATCGAGGAAAGTATCCTCAGACACGAATCTCGAACGCCCCTTTTTGGTTGTAGGAGTCCGATGGACTCATCATGGGTAGCGACGAACTGGCCACGGAAATCGTTGGGGAGATCATGCCGGTTCCGGAAACCGTTGCTCAACACCAAGAGGTAAGTCGCGAGCTTCTTGTGCATCTACGAGGTGCAGATCCTTGTCTTCGGTGGTTCGGCGTGCCGAGTTCCGCAGAGTGAGACCCGGTTCTCGACCCCCAGGTGATACACATGGACCTCGCGAGAGACGAGATCATAATCAACGGGAAAGACATGCGCGACCGATCGCCTTCTCGGGACAGCTTGAAGGATGGCATCGTACTCGAGGTTCCAGACATCAAGCAGGAGTGTGAGTTGATTTCGTAGCGTTTCGCTCCGTAGAGAATGGAATCAGCGACCTGGAGAAGAGGATATGAATGAAGGGTCCGATATATTTCCAGTGGCTGGCTTATCCGACGAAGATCACGAAGAGATAGTCGAGAACTCGACGCAATTCTTCCTCGACGAAAGTTCGGAAGTACCGGTGGACAACGTCGAGGAAATAACTTCGGATCTGATACAGCTTCCCTCCAAATCGGAACCAGTAAGTCTTTCGCAATGAGACCCCCTCGGAGAGCTCTTTTCCCAGATTGTGGATTCGCCGTAACACTTTTTTTTTGACATTCCAGCAGGAAGAGGGCCAGATAACTTCAGGTGAGTTTCGGGCTCCATGCAGTAAGGCCATGAGGCCTTATGCAGCTGGTCTTACACCATGCCATGTCAGTCAGTGCATATAAATCGTGTACGATTCCAGGATACTCGTGCTTGGAATGCGGGGCAGTGCTAAGGTCAAGGGCTATTGCGAAGGAGCACCTGACAACAGTACACAACTATCAATGCAAGTCGAAAAAGAAATCGCGACACCATCGTCACGGCTCGGTCTCCTCTACTTCGGTGCTCGCTCAAGGTCTGTGGAGGTGGAGTCAATGAAGTCGTATCAGCAGCTCTATGTACATATGTGTGACATGCTCGACAGCTATTGACGATCCGACGGGTTGTGTCTGATCTTCAGATGCGTTGACGCTGAACTCCACCGACGCCAATGGTGTCCAGACATACCGATGCCCCTCGTGTAGTTACTCGACGCATCGGCGTGATAAACTCGACAAACATGCGATGAAACACGTTCTTCAGGTAAGCGTTTAATCAGGACAGTCCACATGTGAGTCACAAGTGACTTATGTCGAAAGATGCCTTCCCTAGGGGTGCGCGGAATAATCCGAGATCTCGTTCCAGGATGGTTTTCATCCGTGCGGGAAGAAACGTCACCGACCGGAGGCTCCGCCGCAGCGACACCGCCACAATGCCGAAGAATACCACTGCCCCTATTGTCCATATGGCTGCACTGTATATAAAGCTTTGATAAAGCATGAGAAAATGCACCTCCAGGTAAACCCCGCGGGGATGGATATACGAGGAACATGCGGAGATAGCACCGCTGGAATTTTTTTTCGAGTCTCAATCGACGACGCTGAGTTGATTGGTTGAGTCAGAGGGGATTTCCGTCGACTGGCGCTTCCTGAAACTAATGATCCGTTCATCCCAGGGCAAAGAAACGCCATTAAAGATTTCGTGTAAAGTGTGCGGAAAGGATCGCTCGTCCGAAGATGATATGAACAAACACATGAGGAAGCATCGACAAGGTGAAAATTTCGGCTGCGACATTTGCGACTTTACATCGATCCAGTTGAAGAAAGTCATTCAACATCGGTAAGCTTTCCAGCGAGAGATTCACATCCGTTCTAACAGGCAGCGCTCTCCCACCGATAGATTCTAAAGCGATTTGCCGCTTTCAGCCGAATGCATACGGGAGAGAAACCACATTTGTGTCCCCACTGCAGCTACAGATCAGCGCGAAGAGACAACCTCAGGTCTCATGTCCGCCGCATGCACAAAAAAGACAACATGTACATTGACACTTTCAATCCCACGGGAGGATCCAGTGGGCAAGGTAGGGGAAGAACATTGAATAATCGGTTTTTCTGGAACGAAAAGCTGCACCACCCTTCTTTTCTATTCAAAGTTTAATCAATTTCTCCTCCGTCCGCTCTCCGCAGGCTCCCAACAAAATGAACAGGCGGGGCTCGAAGAACATACAGAAGTAAGTCATCCTTCTGCTGGAAGGATCAGCATTCCGAGACAGATACAGAGACGAGCCATTCTGTTTCGGATGATCGGTCCCGGTCCTCTCTGACACCCTTGATTCTTTCAGCTGGCCGCATCCTACTAGGAGAATGGATGGGAGAGAAGTTTCCTTTACTGTGATTTATGTAACTACGTTCACGTCACTGATATCCCCGTTCACAAGGCGAAGATACCGGGAAGATTGCAACTTGCTTACCATTATGAATCATCTGCATGGATACGTCACAAATGACCAACATCAGGACATTTGCGCGAATCATACGAAGACAAAATTTGCCGAGCATTGATCTCTTGAGTTCCTTTCAATGCAACTATCCCCTTGTTCCCCTCTTGTCTTCTCGCAAGACATACATCTCGCAACTACGGCACTTCACGACTCACGATGAAGGTTGAAAGTTGATAGTAAAGTAGTAGCGATCTCCGAGCTCTTGTTTTCATAAGCCTTACATAGAAACTTCCTGGGTGGCCGAGGTTCTCTCTTCAATCGCAAGCAGAGGCCTGAAGGGTGATTCCCCAAGAATATGAATCAGATCAATGGACCCGGAGACTTCGAAAGAACGCTTTCTCGGGAAAACTCCACTTCGCATTCTTCATCTGGAGGGTATCTGCCCATGTTCCGAAGTCGACTCCGTTGGAAGCACCAATGAGCTCATCGAATCCCATGAGACCGAACAGAAGTCGGGGAGATGCCGACGAAATTCGACTCTCGTTGCTACGGCTCAGAATGCTGTGACTCCGTGGGGCTTCCGTCCCTTCCAGGCCCATTCGGAGTGTACGTCTGATTGGGTCATATCACTCGCAGCTAGGTGCCTGCGTCTGTCTCCGAGGGGGGAGGCGACCTGATCGCTGCACATGACTCCAGCGCAAGCGAGCCTGGAAAAGTCAGTGATTCCGGTTCGCAATCGAAGCATCTACCCGAATGATGCCTGTATCCTTGACATTCGCCGCAAACATTCTCCGAATGCCCGAGAAAAGCTCCTTGTTCCCGCTAGGCGTAACTCGATCGAGGTAGAAGGTGAACGATCTCGGTTTCCCGACGAATCGGTACCCTTTGACTGAAGCGATGTCGGAACGCTACCGGAGAGCGATTGTGGGCGGAGATCATGACTGCCTGAATCTCGCTGTCTCTTTGCTGATCGTCTCCCGTGGAGCGGAGGGGAAATTCACGATATCTGATGCAGAAATCGGGTCCTGCGATTCTCCAATCTCGAGGGTCAGCGACCCCTCCCACCCGAGCGACTCAACAGTTCCCCCAGTGCCTGCTCCTCTAGCTGCGGATTCAAACAACGGAGTATTCCGCTCGGATGGAGTAATTTATAGAACAATTCTGCAATCCCATGAGTCCACGACTTCAGCATCATGTACGATCTCTCGGCTCCATGATTCCACCGCTCCCGAGCATCCCGTCGGGAACTGTAGCATCAGGGAATTCAACACCCGAGAATATACCAGATATGATCCCTCGATTCCATGCACGAGCCCGGGATACCGTCGGCGCCAGAAACCACGAGTTTCTGAGCGACGGCGGGAAGGACCGCTCGGCTAGTTCGGAATGATCTCGACGGATCAACATCATCATTCTCCGACAATTAAGTCGTTTTTCATTCTTGAGGCCCATACCAATTTTTCCCCCAAAGGGAGTCCCGGGTAGACTCGGAATAGACTCCTTCTGGACGGGGCCTTCAACTTACGTCTTTCCTCTCAAAATATTCGCGAGAGAGCGGAGGAGGGAAAAGACGTGGAGCGCCATTTTCTTTCCTAACATGTGGCCTCCACTCCACGCGATCAAGTCCGCTGTTTTCGAACGTTGAACCGTGGTCGGGAACGATCTCTGAAATCTCGACCTCATCAGTGGCGATTTGTGATTTCGTCTGTGATATCCTTATATTGTTACCAGAATGAAATGTCACTACGAAGTGCTCGGCGTAGCTCAGAACGTGAACGACCAAGAACTCAAGTTGGCGTACCGGCAACTCGCCTTGAAGTGGCATCCAGGTGAATGAAAAAGCTTATGCTTAAGCGCCGCAAGAACTCCTCGATTTCTTAAGAGCGCTCCTTTGCTAATGTGAACCCGTGAGCGTGGGAGGAAGATTCTGCTATGGGAGGAATGCTATGAATAATGCCCAGCCGAATTTCTCCGATGGTAGACCGCGCGGTCTGCCTTGACATGCTCCTCCCATAGAAGTTCCCATCCGGTGATTGACCGGGGCTCTAACACGAGGGGGGCTAGAGCTGGAACATGAATAAAGGCGGGACCGTCGATATCGTGTTTTTTAACTCCAGATAAAAATATCCAGAATCAAGAAGAAGCTACCGAGATTTTCAAGTCGATCCAATTAGCTTATGAGATCCTATCCGATCCCGTTGAGCGCGCCTATTATGATAAGAATCGTGAGCATCTATTGCGGGATGGAAGGCCACCTGAGGAGCTGAATCTAGTGAATGTTTTCGAATTTTTCACAACGAGCTGCTTCAAAGGCTATACAGACAGCGAGTCGGTGAGTTGGAGCAGCCCCGGAATGACTTGACGCTCCAGATTCTCCTCATGTCCCGCATACGTCCTCCTCATGTCTCGCTGTGCCCACCCCCAGAGATCGCTCGCTGACTGGGGCTCATCTCCGAATTCTAGGGTTTTTTCGCTGTATATCGGAAAGTTTTCGCGGACATAGCCGCTGAGGAAGAACAAGACCTCCCTGGTTTCGGGGACAGCCGCTCAGGATACGCAGACTCTGTCGGCCCGTTCTACCGAGCTTGGGAATCTTTTTGCACATCCTTGGAGTACGAGTGGATCGTGAAGGAAGATCCGACATTGTGCAGGGAAAGGTGGTATACGCGTGCCTGTAATAAAGAAAATCAAAAGGCGCGGGACGCAGCACGTAAAGAACGCAACATCAATGTCCGAGTGAGTATATTCGAGAATTCATGCTCGGATATGAGAAAGTACTCGTCGTTGGTTTCGGCATGCTTCCACGGTTGTCATGAGAAGCGAGACAAGCAGCTTTCCCCCGCAGAGTTTGGCTCAGTTTGTGAAGAAGCGAGATCCGCGAGTCAAAGCCTACTTATCAGGTTTACAAGAAAAACAAGAGGCTCACAAAAAGTATCTGGATGAACAGCGCCAGCAACAAAGGCTCGAGAAGCTGAAAAAAATCGAAGATTTCCAGGTTGGTTGACCTATCAGAACTTGAATTCTGAGCCATCTCACGCGAGCAGACTCCGGCTGAGTTTGCTTTGAGCTATTGCTTATTCATAAATAATCAGTCGAATATAGTTCTGTAGCTTCTAAGCGGCTAACGCTCTCGAGCAATGGTCACCTTGCGAATTAAATGCCCCACCATGCCAGGAAGCCGAATGGATGCCCCTCGATGAACTGGAGAGACAGCTGGAAGCCCTGGAGGCGGAACACGATAAGATTCAGCTTGAAGGCGACGAGGAGGACTCTCTCTTCTGTGTCGTCTGCGACAAGTTGTTCATGTCAATCAAATCGTAAGTTTCCAGCACCCGATGGAGTTCGCCGAAATTTCCAGACTATCAGGTGGATATAATCGAATGTTCTTCCGGCGTTGCCAGCTTCGAGAATCATGTTCGCTCCAAGAAACACAAGCAGAATGAGGAATTGGTCAAGCAGCAGATGCAGGAAGACGAAGAAAACTACCGAGATGAAGATCTGAACGAGAACGACGGCGAGTCCGAGAATGAAATCGATGATAATCGAGCGGAAAAGATGACGGCTGCAGGAGAGGACACCGCGCATGTCACTAAGGAACCGGACCCGGGAAAGGTGAATTCCAGTGTTCGAATTCCGGTGTTCCTGCTCCGCACATGGAACAGACTGGACGAATAGCATGATATAGGTGTTCAAATCACGGTTATATCATCGCAGAACCCCTTCCAGTGTACGTCAGATCGAGATTCCGATGAAGAGAGGAAAAAACCAAAGTCGAAGCGGAAGAACAAGAAGAAGCAGATCCTTGTCGCTCGATTGACTGACAGTGAGACTGAAGGTGGGTAGCTCTTATTTTGCGAATTCTCATCCTCATCGATTCTGCGTTTCGAGGAGGTTGTGGTGAAATTCAGGACTTGTCATCTCCCTTGTGTTCGGCAGCAACCGGTGTCTCCAAACCTGGAGCGGACAGCAGCGACGATGTCGACTTCAGCAAGAACTCCAGCACAAAGGATCGCAGAAGGCAGAAAAACTCGGCGAGAATAAAAGAAACTCAACCGGAGGAAGCAGCGAAGGAGAAAGTGGCTCCTGCAGAAGCTGTTAAGCCTGAAGGAGAAGAGACTAGGTTAGTAATCCACAAGGAAAGCGCTGTGAGGGAGTCCGTAAGGTGATGGCTCCGCAAACAATGGGGGAAAATTTTCCTTATCCTACTCCATGATTGCTTCCAGAGCCCCTGCCCCTGCACCGCCGGCAACGGTGAAATTGAAAGGTCACAAGGCGAGAGAAGCGAGGCGTAAAGCCCGGAAACAGGAGGAAACGACGCCGACGCCGGTGGGGAACCGATGCGCCACGTGTGGGGCGGAATTCCCATCCAGGAATAAAATGTTCGCGCATTTCAACAGGACAAATCACGCACAATACGTAGGGAAATAATATCGAGGCTCCATGAGGAGATCTGCGAGGTTCTTCCTCTGTCTTGTTTGAGAGGGAACACGACTGCTTTCGTCATCAAGTATTTCCCTGACAAGAATCTATGTGATGTTTGGCTTGGTCCGAAACTTAAGACATGATTAGAGGAGCGTGGGGATGGATAAGAATAAAAACAACTTAGCGAAAGAAGATTCGCCCACTAATTCGACGGCCGGCGCCGACGCGGCCTATCTCAGTGGCCTTCCCGATTGATTCGGATCTGGCGGCGGTAGAACGAGAATCAGGTCAGGGATGCGGGAGCTAGAGCGTGACACTCGGGAAAGCGTGTCTTCGCGGACTCTCACAAAACGACCACTGATGGTCTCAAGTCAGAACTCGGAAGAATCACACTCGCGATACGAATCGACTGGGGGCGAATGGAACGAACTTCGTTTCACCCGGCTTCACGAAGCTGGCCGTACATTCCGCGTAGCCGTCAAGCGCTTGCTGAATCAATCTTTCGTCGGTCGCGACATCCGAAAGTTGCTCTTCTACGATGACTTATCCCGTACTAGATTATGCCAGGAAATCGATTATTACGCCTTCATGGTATGATGTTTCGAATCACGCTCCAGCCGAAACCTACGTTTTTCCGCTCGTCTTCATGACACGGCGGTCTCTTTCCACCCTCAGGGGTAAATCTCTACTTTGCCTCATATCCTTTCCGCTTCTTGCATTTCCATTCATGGAAGCCATGCATGGCTTCTCGGTCAGCCGGATCTTGCACAAGGGCGATTCCATGGGTGCGATTTCCATGGGTCGACAATAGGGGCGGGAACTGCAATGAGCTTACCGTCTACGTCTACCGTCTCATTCTGCCGAGGAGCGATGTTTTTCCCATATTCAATCGCCATTTCTGGTCCGAGGTTTCTCTGTCGGTCTGTCTTCCGTCAGAAGCGGGTTGCCCGCCACGATATATACGGGGCGGTTGGCTAGAGCTGTGGACCCAACGGCAGCTCGCGCAACGATGCGTTCAGTTTGTCGAGAGCGACGATCTCGGCGAGTCCAGGACGTTACCATATCATCCGAGTTCCGTAACAGGCCACTGGGGCTACCTCCATGTTTGACAGCTCGATCGCCGCTCTCAGGGACGGGAGCTGTGGTTTTGGGATCAATGCAAAGGTCGTCTCGAGCTTGCGGACTCTGCTCGCGATGTGGAGCGCGAATTGCAGGCCTCTCCTGAACGGTTCGATACCGAGCTAAGCGAAGCGATATGTCTATCCTTATGTCTGCTTCACCTTTTCATCTTTAGCTAAGTCACTTGTTTGTGTCTGGACTCCAGGCTGTTTGCCCTCCGGTTGAGGAACGGCGATCACCGTGCCACCGACGCGGTGCCGTCACTGATTGGCAGGCTCCGAATGTGCCTAGATAGGAGGTGGTGTCATGCAGTGGCCCGAGATGTCGCGGGGATCCTGCTGGGATCCTACAGCTTAAGTCACGGATACTCATTTGAGATCTTTATTCATTGTGTCACACAGACCAGTGAAACGGAGTTATGGGGCAAAATTTCGCGTCGATTACGGCGAGATGTTGGCGGTCGCCGCAGGAGACGATCCCAAAGAGGAGAGCGCTTCTAACTGCTCGTCTAGGGATTACACGCTTTGGGTGTCTTGGTGTCGATCTAACTCCATTGTTCGTCTATTGTTGTCCATCAACTGGAATAAGCACTCAGGAATGATATCTATCGCGGAATGTGACGTTTTATTTCCAATAATGTCAGTCACTCAACAGAGTCAGTTTCGGAAATCGGGAGCGAATCTCAAGCATAAGCTCCAGCAAACTCTTCGGCGATGAATCATGGACCCCCGGGGCATTAGGCATATGGGAAGGAGAGTCCGAGTCCGTTTTGAGAAAAATCTCTTCTGCATAGAATATTTACACAGCAGGCCCTGCGTACTGAGATGGGAATTCCTGTCGTATCTCTTTCTCGGAGGCTCTAAAACTGCTTATCGCTTAGCCGTCCAGAGCACATCTATCGTCGCTTGAAGAGAAAGCTCCGTTTTTCAGCCTCTAGTTCTGCCGGCCCGACGAAAAGTCTATCCACGCATCCATTCGTAAACATGACATCCAGGAGCACTACATGGAGTTCGAGAGAAACTATGACGATACTGCCATTTTCCATCGGTGGCTTGCGCTATAAGTTGGTATCGAGAGACATCCGTCGCCGCTTGCCTCTACGATGAGATCACACCGGAAAGGTGCCTCGGTGCTATTCATGACGAATCATCATGTCTAGCAATGAACTCCTGAATACAACTAGCAAAGTATTCTCCCTATCATCCCACATTGATTGTCAAAGTATTCGGTGGGTGCTCGCCTTGCAGCGAAGTCGATCGGCTCTGGTTGTGATCTGTGACCGCGATGAAGGAGGTGCGAAGATGAAGCCGATCACAGAAACATGAGAGAGAGCATCGATGATGAGGTCGCGAATCGAAGTGGACGCTCCGTCGCGGCAGAAAGGAGTCTCGACGAATGTAAAAATGCAGTTTGCACGCTCCAAAAAAACGCTCCTCCACTATGCTTGAGGATAAATAAGCATATGGTTCTCTGCCAAGTCATGGCCTTCGGGACTCAACGAGGGCAAAAGCTTCTGGCGGCTATAGCTCCGACGAGGGATGTAGCCGTTCTGATTTTTCTTGTGAACCTTCAAGTGTTTCGTCAGGTGATCTGAGCGTGAGAATCGCTTTTGGCAAATCGAACATTCATAGGGCTTGATGCCCGAGTGAGAGCGTCTATGCCGCGCCAACTCATCGGAGCGGCTGAATTTCCAGCTACAGCCAGGCCATTGACAAGCGAACGGTTTCTCACCCGTATGTCGTCGGAGATGCGCTTTGAGGTGAGAGCTCTTCGAATAGCCTTTCATGCAGCCCTCGTATGAGCAGTAGAAGATCTTTTCCGCATCGTTCGGCTTCGGATGTCGAACGTACTTCCGAGGCACCCGCGTGATCGGGGGTACCCGTTCTTCTCGGAGGAATTTCGTCTGTTGTATATAGATAGCCGTCTGGTCATCCATCACACTGGGCACAACCTGTTCCTGTTTGAGGTCCTGCAACGGGCTTTCATCCAGTTCTCCTCTGAAGCCAGACAGGGTTTCCAGCCCGACTCCGAGAACCACGAACCCGTCGCTGTCCGTGCTCGCTTGTTGCTGATCCAGCGGTGAGCAGTAACTCTGGTGTCCGATCGGCTCCGATTCGTTGAAGAATCCGGGCGACGGGTCGCTGAACGTCTCGGCGGTAGGTTCGGCTTTGACGAACAGCGTCGGAAACTCCGGCAGGGGACCATTCTGTTGAATGGTCTGATTGGGGAAGATGAAACCGAGGTACGAATCGGCATCGAGGTCGTTCAGGGAGGCGCCACTGTCCTGCGGAGGCTCGTCGTGCCCCCCGAAGACCCCGCCGTTGCCGTGCTGCTCTGGAACCATGACGTAAAAGTCTTGGTTCTGGAGGTGATGATCTTGTAACTGTGTACAGCTCAAAGGCTCATTATCGACTGCCGCGGCCGCCGACGACGACGACGACGATGAGTGTGGAAGTAACACCTGGTCCCCGGGCGCTCGAGCTAGCAAGTAATCCCCACAGAAAGTCGAGCTCCACTCATTATCGATTAGCGACGTCGACGCCGGCTCAAAGGAACTGCCGTGGCTGTAGGGGCCGCCGCGGTTGCAAGCGACACCGCCGGTGTCGGTGTTGTTGACGTTGTTGCTGAGATCGTTTTCGACGAGATGGTTGTAGTCGACGGTGTTCTGCAAAGCGTCCTGCCGAATTTGATTCCCGCCAATCGGATCATCAGAGCCGTCGAGCGAGATCAGGAGAGCTGAAATATTCAAGATGGGTGGGACAACATTAGTCGACGCGGAGCCATGGAGTGCACTCTTTGTTTGGAGAACGAACGGTGTCCGAAATGAAGCACAAGGGCCGGCACGGACAACAACAACTGCACTAGCAGCAGAACTGACAGGCTCACAATGACAGTGGCAGTGACAGCCAGCGAAATGATCCACACTCGAACGCTCTAAGAAATACGCACACTCGGTCTCTCACTCATTCGATGGTAAGAAACAATACGGAGGATCTTCCTATAGTGGCACGCTATCGAACAAGTGGACGGAACCGTCAACACACAGTCAGTGCCAGAGAAAGCGAGCCACCGACCTGACCATCGAGCCAGCGAGTAGAGCGATGTAACCAAGTCTGTCTGTCCGTGTGTCCGTCAGTCAGTCAGTCAGTCAGTCAGAACGTCTGTCAGCAGTCTCTCGGAGAGTATCCACACAGAGACAGCCGGCATCGGCTGTACAGCGTGTGTTGATCTTTCGGATACAGAGTACCGGATCTGCGAAATCGTCGCCGACGACGTCACTTATCGAAAAAGGATGTCGCGTCTTTCAGACGTCCATAATCTGAGCGGACCAACTGGGCGAGTGAAGGTAACTAGGGGCACCAGCGATCTCGAGAGCCAAAGCGGCTCCCTCGGCAGCGAACACTCGCTCGCTCACTCGGTACAGCACTCAGTCAGTCAGTCAACGAGTGAGTTAGTCTGAAAAAAGCCATCGGAACAAGCGGAGACTTATCGCGCGACTTCCTTTACTTCTTCCCTATCGCCCTCCACATCGATCGAAGTGGGTTTCTTCGTGGCATACACGCCGCACGCGCTGTCCCGGATTTCTTTCGGTCTGTTGGTCGGTCGGTCAGCCTGTAGGTATTCTCTTTCGAGTCTCTGGTTTTCCGATACCTTCTAAACGAACGTACCTACGCAGACCGGCAGTCGCGACGAAGCGGCAAGTGTCGTCGATTTCAAGGCAGGGGGACATAAGACTATGATGCCGGTGCGACCGACGACAACAATTCCCGAAACCGAAAGGCGCAGGCGTGGATCGCGCATCGACTCTCACAACAAATCGGGAGCCCGGAGCCGTCTTTTCCAAGACGGAGGCAAGGAGAGAGCGGAACGAGCACGCGTCGTGGAGCTTGGAAAGAATTCGCACAATCCACAATCACAACACAGAACGTCGAACCCTGTTCTACACACTGAGTCATGTGACCTTTACAGAAATTTCCATTGAAAGCAGTGATGCAGTGATCAAGCTGGATTACACAACACGAGCAGAAAGCTCGGCATGTCCTCGCGCGCACTCCGCGTCTGCCCGTCAGAGTGGTTCGTCAGTCAAACTTCCGAATGAAATCCAAGGGCCGTCGATGAACCTACATTCGAGACAGCGCTCAAGACTCGAGTCTTCGTAGGATAGCGCACAGGTCGACGATGTTGGATAGGAGAGCATCGCCGCTCGTTCTGTAATTGTTTGTGGACGAGGCTCGTGGAAACTGAGAAGTATCTGACCCCCGCCTTAATGTGGAATAAAGGAAAGGGACGGATGCACCGAGGATGCTGCAACAGGATCGACCGATCATCGTCGTCATAAGCGTGAGCAGCAAAACGCTCGAGTCGATTACTTCCTTTCGACAGCCTGACTACGAGAAACGGATGGCAGCAGCAGCAGCAGCCACAGTGATTTGGATCATCCCTTCTCCGAGTAACCTGATCCACGTCCAGGCACAGGGCAGCCACCTTCGCTCCGGACTGCCAGACCAGGTTGCCTGATGCCGTCTTAAGCGCGGCCGATTCTCTGCCAAGTCATCCAGACGGTCTTTCATTCTTCGCTCATGAGTTCGTCTCTGACGCGCTCCGTCTGAATGACGCGTGCACGTCTAATGAAGCGTTCGATCCCGACCAGAACAGCTACAGTAACTACAAAAAAGCAGCCGCCGCCGCTCCTCTCGAAGTCCGCGTCTCGTCTTATTCCCTGCGGGGGGATGCGTGAGAAGTGCCCGGTCCGCGGAGGATGGCTTGCGTCATCTGCGAATTCGGCCTGTATCGATTCGTCCGAATCTATCAACTCACCTCGAATATCAGAGAGCCCATCAGGAGAAACGATTTTGGATGATGGAGTCGTCGATCCTGACCGCGTCGACAAAAACAGAGTCTGACGTGTGACACGCTGCAGCTAAATCTGAAGCTATTTCGTTCGACTTGTGAAACTGTTTGAACATCTTGGATCGAGCCGCGTGACTTGGAATCGACGGAGCGACATCTCTCTCCCTCTTAACCGAGCAAGAGGCCTCGTTTATTAGCCGGGTAAATCCGAGTCTGTCGGGGGCTCGTAATCGAATCGTTTCTAATCGCAGAGTCGAATAAGCGTACGCCGATATGGGACCCTAGCCTACACTGGAGTCGCTTGACAGTATCACTCGTATTGGGAACCGAATTCTATTCAAGAGTCTGTTATAGTTCTTGGAGCACACAATCAGCGCTAAGAACAGCATTCGAGCTTCTCGTAGTCTCGAATCGCGAAAATCAGTGAGTGGAGAGGACTTCATGTCCTCAAGTCTGAGCTTCGATGAATGTTCATCCTTTCCAAATTTCTCTCTTCGGATCGGTTCGGCGAACAGTTCCCTCTGAATCGTGTGAGTTCTCCCTCTATATTAGTCGGGCGATTGATTCCCATCGGGGAAGCACTCCTCAGAGAACCGTATTAGCGGGATTCCCTCCTAAAATTCACTCTTCCTTGCTCAATAATAATTGAAGACCCTTCCAGTGTTTCAACGGGAAACTATCTCGGCCATGAATCATGGAATCCCCTTCGCCGATGCTCACAAACTTCCTGCTCGGAGATAGAGGGGCACTTTCTTCGATAAGATCATTCCCTGATGAAGGAACAGGGGAAATAGGTGAGATACGGGAAAAAGATATACGGGACTCCACTGGGAGGAGGCCCTTCCAGCACCAGATTTCCGTAAGCCGTAAGCCGTCCGAGATGATCGACACAAGCGAGCCCCGTAGACTGCCTGAGATTGACAAAGGCTACCTGAAGAAGCGGAGTGATCTTGGTCCCGAGACCGAAAATGTCGATCCTTCCTTGCCGAGTCCACCGGAGCTGGATCGAGCCCTGTTCTCGAATGTTGTTCTCGGAGTCGCGCCGTGTGTGTGCGATGATGGGTAGGGCTGAGGATTTTTTCGCGGACCGCCATTTTTCCGCGAATTTTCGCGGAAATTTCCGGCTACTGCTCATAGACTTTCTATGGCGGCCGCGAATTTCCGCGGATTTGGCGGAAATTCTTCGCGAAAAATCTCCAGCCCTAATGATGGCTCATTGCCGTCCCAGGAGAGTGTCCTGCGGTCGTTCTGCTCCGAGGATTCTCCCTAGTCGAGCCAAAAAAACTTCAAGACCCGTAATGGGAGTCGAGTGAGAATCAAAGCGAGTGAGAACCCGGGCAGTCTCGAGAATCGGGAAGCTGCTTCAGTATGGTCTTCCGCCCCTGGAGGACGCAAGCACGGTCGTGCTCATGAGTGATTCTTCACGCTTTTGAAGATCCGAATCCCTCCAGAGGCTTAGATTTAGGAGTGAAGTGAGCGTTGGTTCCATATATACAGATATCATCAATGAGAGGGTAGCGAACCGAAGGAGGAAGCTCCACAGTCAACATCTTGTAACAGCCCTAATGAGTCTGGAAATGAGGAACAAATTCGATCAATGTCAGAGGTCCGCAGCAATCGATCGAGTAGTCCCTATCGTCTTCTCCTTATCACAGGGGGACTCGAGCTCTATGAAGAACCTCGTGAATGATTGATCTCCGTGAACCTCTGCATGATTGATTCTCACCTTTCGGGGCGCTCGCTCGTTCGACACCGTTATTATCCTGGAACATTCAGTTCCACGAGGAAATCGCATCAAAGAGAGTTCATAAACGAGTGAGAATATCCACCAGCTCCAAATCGCCGTTCTCCGTTCAGGAGATATTCGTTAACCGCTCACAGATCTCAAATAGTCCCCGATAACGCTCGTGAGCTCCGCTCAGTTAGTCCTCAGTACTCGACAGACTCGTCGCGGAGTTCCTTCTGCGGTATGCCACGCCCCGAATTGGAGCATTTCAAATATTGAACGATATCAATCATATTGATTATTTTGTCGACCTCGCGCTCAACAGAATCGTCCTTCGATAGCTCGAAGCATCATTACATGAACTCGGTGCCGCTGTCAGATGTCGACTCGGATCTATTCCTTAAGTCCACTGTTTCCAGCAGCCTCATCATGGGATGAATAACATAAGAGCTCCAGTGGCAGGCTTCGAGGTGATAGAAGCACCTCCACCTCACGCGAATCTCCAATGGTACTCGATGGAGTTGTGGGAAGGGCAGCAGAAGGGAACCTTACCTGTGAGCAAGTCATCTACGATGAGCTTTTGCTAACGTTCTCTGACTTGACTCCGATGACTTCTTGTCCCGTCATGCCCGGGGAATTTCGTCCATCCTCTCTCGCAAACAGATGCGTGCACCTCAGACGAGGATTGTGATTATTCAAGGTGTCGAAGGACGGCGACGGTTCTCTCATTGCCAGATGTTTGCCTTTCGCGAGTCTCGACTGCCAGCAACAGGGCTTCCGAAGTGGGTATTATTAATATGAGCCCTACACTCCAGTCGAATTTTCCTTGTCTTCTGGGTAGTGCGTCAATGCATCTGGATGCCATGGAGAAAGCGAGAAGTCCGCGCGTTCCGTTCCAGCTCCAGAATGCCGATCCTGCAGGGATCGGCATCTCCCACATCGCGGGGAAATGCAGGGGTTCGTAATCCTCCGCCCCCTCCGGAAAGGAGGCGTTCAATCCGCGGCGGCCCTCCCTGGCGATTTAATCACTGAAATCTTTATCACCGTAGCGGGGGCGGGACCATCGCGGGGGGACCCGCGTCCCCGCAATCCCCCGTCTAAACTTCGAGCATGAGGGCAGAGTGGGAAATGGAGTCCTCGAGGTCCGCTTCCCGAAGTACGCCGGTGAAGAGAGCGGAGTTCGATCTTTCATTGTATCACAGGAGACGTCTCAGGGACCGACTTAGCTCAATGGTCTTCTACAAGGACGAAAGTTCAGACGGGAACTATAATAGCGCGAGCGGTCCCTGAAACACGCGCTGCCTGGGGAGTATTGTCGAGCATGCCCTCCCGTCTTAACATTGAAGGAAGTCGAGGTTCTACCACACTTCTTGCTCGGGTGTCCCATGCGCTGATGCCTAGCGATGGAAGAGAATACGAATTATTTTTTTGTGCCGCGAGTCTCCGAATTTCGAGTGTATTGTGTTCGAGATTATACCGATCAGTATCGAACGACGCGTCGCGATAACAAGCGCGTCTCACTGTGAACACGTCACTCACAGCCTATCTGGTCCGACTGTGTTCTCGCGGGCCGCCACGCGGATACACAGACCGATGTACCGAGCGACCGCGCGTCAGCCCGCCAGCTTGAGATCTTAGGTTTGTGTGACAAACTGAGGTCGCTTCTGAACATCAGACTACTGGGCTTCCCACAGACTCGTGGGTGACTGGGAAGCTGAGAGGATATTGACGAGCTGAGTGGCCTGCTATCAGGCGGGCATTTTTCCATTCAGGCATCAGAAGCAGACACCTTGAGGGCGGTAAAAAAAAACAGCTTCCTGATCGGGGAGACACCGGTCATTATTGTCCATATCATCAGATTGGTGGCACTCTCGACACATCTCGGTGACGTTTCGACCCGATGATGGTGAGTCCAGATCTCGCATCCGACATCTCAGACGTCGAGATTCGGACACATACAGTCAGATCTCTCTTCAGATCGTGATCGCCCCTGAATAGATAGCTGACCGAGGACGAAGCTGATTTGAAACGGAGGGACCGGTCTTTTTGTTCCACCTTCGTCTCTATTATAAGCCGCCGCAGTTATACGAGCGCTGAGCGATTGTCAAGCATGCTCGACGAAAAGCGGAACCACGTCTGCACTTCGCCCCGCGACTATTCCAATCCGGATATCTTCCGAACGCCCTCAGGGACGGCCGCACCTCAGCCACGAAGAAAATCGTTTTCTTGAGGCGGATGACGTGGGAAACATGTTCTTCCCTATCCAGGGAGAGAGAGAGGGGAGAAGAGAGCTCTGCGGTCGATCTCGAACGCTTGTTCGTAGGTTGGACGTTTTCACCCACTGCCTCGCGTGGGTGTTCACAGTCTCGCAGCTCACAGTGTTCCTTTTCACCGAGCTAAATTCGGCTTCCGGTCTGCGTGTTTTTATCCGCATATAATTATATTGAGGGTTCTTTCAATCACCCGGATATCGTTCTGCAACTCCGAATCTCGCTCGCAGCATCAATGTAGATGTGCGGCACAGGATCTATTGAGCCTGAAAAGAGTGGTTAATGGTAGTCTCTCCTAGTTGGGCATTGTCTTCCTTCTCCCTCAAGAACAACAGTGAAGTGTGTTAAATCGTCAGGTTCGCAGATGGCTGCACCATTCTAATAATAATGTTGGCAGCCCGAGCAGTGAAGCGCTGTGTTTGACCCTCTCGGAACTGTCCCTGCTTTGAGGACGAGCTTCCTGCGTCAGACTTTCAGAAGATTCCCGACCCGTTGTCTAGCTGGTCCATTTCTGCCTGACAGAAGCCGTGGAGTGTGATCTTGAGATTCAGATCAACATTGTCTAATTATCATCGATCGCTTGGGAATCGCGGGGAGTCGCTTGCGCGGGTAAAGAAGAGTCTCGATCAGAGCAAGGAAAGATAAATCCGTCAAAGTGAAGCTATGCCAGAATTGAGCGACTCCTCCCGAAATCAATGTGCGTGAGCCAGGAGTAGGATTCACAGATATCGGCAGTTTTATTGAACACATGTACAACTTAAGCAATAAGTTCTTGAGCGCGATCATTCCATTTCGCGAGAAAATCAACGAAGATCATGGGAAAAAAACTCAAGCAGGTGGGCAAGCTTCACAGAATGCTTTCTTGTTGTAGCTCTTGAATTTCGAGTCAGTTGGAATGACTTTCTGACACTTAGAGCATTGGAAGTGCTCCGGATGCCAGTGCTGTTCTAGGGCTGTCACCGCCTTTCCCTTGATCGGATCCGAGCATTTGGCGCATTTGGGAGCGAACTCTTTGAGATAACACTTTTCGCAATAAGGTTTGCCTTCCTTCTCGAAGAACTGTTTCGATTCTCCGCCGATGAGCGACTGCGTACAGCGGGTGCAGATGAAATGCTCCGGGTGCCAGTTCTTGTTAAGAGCCGTGACGGCTTGTCCCTCCACAACTTTCTCACAGAACGGGCACTTATCGTCGGCGGGGGCGTCGGCCATCGCTGTCACTGTCCACTGTTGATTGGGAACTCGGGTCGGAAGAGACTGCTCTGCTCGTCGGGCTGAGAGTTCTTGGTTATGTAAGCCGCGTGGAGGGCGCCCGGGTGGGAGGGGAGAGAAGCCTGGTGGTTTTCGCCGCCACCAACACCACCACATATGTGGACAGGTCTCTTCGTCAGCCTCAAGGTCCCGTTCTTGACGCTGGTGACTCAGTGCGAATCGAGGCCGGACCTATGACGTTCATCTCTATTTACACGCGTCCAGACTCTGCCTCCGTTCACTTTTGGTACTCTAACGCTCAGGGACCCCCGAGCCCGTGTTCCGGCGGGCGAATCAGAATTATCCGTAAGGACAAACTTGGCGGGATATTTGTATATCTCGCTCAAGGTTCAGAAAGAACATCCAATGGAGGAGGTTAAAAGCGTCTAGAGATGGAATTTCTCAATTTCTACCGGAAGCTCCAGTCCCATCTGGAGGATCAAAATAGAACCCTCATTGCTGCTGCGTAGTTTATTGAAATGAAGAAGACAAATGTTTCACTGTGTACAAGATGAATTTCTCGATCTGTATGATGCGTTCGCTGTACGCACGGATTTCGTGGGAACTGCCGTGCTCCCCCGCTTATATTTCAGCACGACAGTGAAATGACTACGGGAGTTCATCTGGCGCGACGATCGCGTGACCTCGATCGAGACCTGGAACCTCTCCTGCGTCTAGGCGTGGAGCGACTCCTATCCCTGCAAAAGACGACGATCCATTGCATGAATGAATGAGGCTGATCCATGCGGAAAACCCTCGGCGTAGACCACGGGGAGACATCCCCAGTAGGATGGTGATTTCGCGAAATTAATGAACAATAACCGACTGAGGCCGCCATTATTGTTAGCGGTGGCAATCGCCTCTGAAGCTCGGGCCCAAGTAGCAACAGTTGAGCCGCCTCGAGAGCCGTCCGACCGCCCAGTGGCCATTGAGCGAGGAGATCGAGAGCTCTGCTGGGCTGACGTCCAAATATGTTTTCACTCGAGCCGGCGAGAATCGGCCCACACGAAACGCACAAACGATATTTTTTCGCCGCACAGATATACATATGCGCGGAGCTACATACAAACTGAAGACGCATGACTTAGCACAGTGTTTCTCAAACTGGGTTCCGCGGAACCCCAAAGTCTACCTGCGGAACCCCGTGGGAGAAAATGTTTGAAAACCACTGACTTAGCGGATACATTGCTCCGAATCCGAAACTCGAAAGCGAGACTCACCTCCTCTTCCTTTTCGGAGACTTCTCGCCAGAATCCTTACGCTCGGGCGATCGGGATGAATTTTGCCTCCTGCGTTCGAGGCTGTCTCGACTCTTCTCGGAAGCGCCGGTTTCTTCTGGGGGAACCTCAGAATTTTTCTCGTCGCAATCCGCTGGCGGGAGAACGACTTGAATCGTCGAGCGGGCCCTGTTTGTAGGCGACTCATGGTCGAGCGAGGTCGCGGCTTGAGGCTCGTTCCTCTTAACGACCGAAACGATCGTGGACCTCAAACCGGAGCGGGGAGGGGAGTCCTCCACATCCTCATTGTCGGAGTCATCATGGGCGTCCCTGCGAGGATTGTCCCAGTCCCGTCTGCGCCCTCGGCGTCCATCGTCTCCTTGACCTTGCCGGTCTCTCCAGCTGCTTCCGGCTTTCTGCCAAGAATCGTCGGCCCGTGAGCCCTTGTTTGCTTTCTCCGCGATTTCTTCTTCAGATGGGCCCCACGAAGTAGCGGCATTGTTGGTCCTCCTGTTATCCTGAAAGGGGGAGACAGGCAACGATCAGTCGGATCTTCCCGTCGCATCAGTGATAATTCGATTAATATTCGCATGCGAAACGCTACACGAAACTCACCGATCTCATTGCTGATCTCCAATGAGGTGGAGTTCGGCTTCGAGATCTGTCGCTTTCGCTACCGGGCGGAGTTCTGAACCTCATATTGCCGCGACCGCGACATTTCCTCCCGGATTTTGTCGTTGTTGGTTTCCGATCGCGATCCCGACCTCTGTCGCGGCGCCGGTGGTCATCGGGCACGATTTGAGGTGCTCCGCGCATGAGAAACTTGTTCATCGGAACCTCGGGAATCTCTTCCGGGAGAATGATCACGCCGGCTTCTTGGGTGACGTAGGCATCCCGCTTTGACTCGGATGAGCCAGATGCTTTGGACGACTTGGATTTTTTTCCAGGAGGTCCCTCGGCTTCGGAGGAGCCGCCCGACCCGGAAGCCGATGAGTGATTGGACGACGAGGATGACTCACTTTCGGATCGAGCGCGAGCTTTCTTCGAAGATTTCTTTTTCTCTTCCTTGCTCGACTTCTTCTTCTGCAGTTGCCCGCAATGCTCGATCACGATCTCGTCCAATGGTTTCGAGTTACGGTCCACCGCAGAATTTTCTATCTGCCTGAAATTGTAAAACTTAATCTCAGAACCCTTCTGAGGCAGCGAGTCGGTACCGTCTCCCTCAGGAGACGGTTCCGCGGTCGTTGTTCGAAGGGATGCGAACGATACTGACTTGACGATTTCTTGGCCTTTGATCACTTTGCCGAAGACGACGTGGATGCCGTCGAGATGCGGAGTGGCAACTGTTGTGATGAAGAACTGCGAACCGTTCGTGTTTGCACCGCGATTGGCCATCGACAGCAGGTAAGGCTGATCGTGTTTCAAAGCGAAGGTTTCATCATCGAATTGTCCTGGGCAGGGAAAGAATCACAAGCGTGAGGGACTAAGCTCGTGAGACCACATCCGAATGTTCGTGATATCGGAAAAGCAAAAATCGCCTCTGACGGGGCCGAGCTCTGCCTCTGAGAAAATTTACGAATCCTTCGCAACGAAACTCACCTCCGTAAATACTCTCGCCTCCTGAACCATCACCCTTGCTGAAGTCACCTGACTGAACCATGAAGCGTTTAATAACGCGATGGAATTTCACTCCTTTGTAGTGAAGGGGCATCTTTGTTGTCGCTCCGATACCATTTTCACCCGTGCATAGGGCACGAAAGTTTTCACATGTTCTCGGTGCGATGTCACAAAATAGCTCGAACACCTGAGGAAAATAAGGATGTCAGGTCAGTCGCGATCGGATCCTCCAATATGGAACGGCTAAATCAAGGAGGAAGTCTCCGAAAGAAGAGCGGCTCCATCGACCCCGAGCGAATAGTCTCCTTGACCGACTGAGTGTTCAAGCGAGCTATCGGGTTAGTTACTCACAATGCGACCTGCGCTCTTTGATCCGATCGACACGTCGAAAAACGTCCGTTGTCTCTCTATGTGTTTCGTTTTCTGCTTCTTCCTGGCCATTTCAGGCGACGAATCGACCGTCATCTTCGGGCTGGTCTGTGGTCGATTTCGATATTGGAATATCTGGTGAGGCGGTCGCCGGCCGTACAGAACTCGGAGTCTTCTGGTTCTGCAGCCTTCTGTTTCGCCTTAGTTTCGCTCGAACTCGAGTCAGCAGTCAAGCTCCGTGTCTCCGACTTCTATAAGGAGCTCTGGATTCGTCGCACAACTCTCTAAACTCCCGTATTCTGCTTCGAGTAAACGCGCAAGAACGAATAATGGCACTCCGTTCCAAACAGTCGCCGTGCGGTGGTGTGTCGTCTGACGGGTTGTGGTCGTTCTATTTAAGTAAACAAGAGCGTAGCAGACGACGTATTTTGCCCGCTCATTCGAATTTCTGCTGTTCATATGCCCAAGGCATTGAAACTCCGAAGAGCCGCAAAGATGTTCGAATGGGACCGAGGAGCTCTGACCGAGTATAACCTTGAGGATGAAGAAATTAGACACGCTCTGTGAATAATATCTCCAGGTCTCAGGAAGGCGCCTCAGAAGTCAGAAGTTGATGAGAGTGATCAAAACATGGCGGCGCGCGATGATGATCTCTTCGTTCATGCGACACTGCCTTCCTCAACGACGGACGGGCCGCTGGAACCTCGCACCGAACGATCGGCGGATGGGCAATGAGTCTGACGTCTGACGCCGGCGCCATCCTCTCTGAATTGCCGTCGCTTCGGCATCCACCGCCCCGGCCGCGCTCTCCACTTTTTCGAGATCGCGGCTGTGACAGTTCAATGGAGGCCGTAATCCTCGATTTCCCTGTCCGAATGCATGAGACCCACTCACTTTTTCAACCCATCAGACAAATTCCTAAATTCGTCGACCTGATAAAACAAGCGATGCAATCGTCAGGAGAGAGTTCGAACAAGCAAGCCCCCGGAAATACTTGAGGCAACAGCGCATGAATTCGGGCAAAAAGGTTCCGCCTTGGGGAAGTTTTCCAATTCCTGCACCGCTAGAGCCTGCTACGGGGGAGAAACCCTTTGAGGTTCTACACGCTCCCTTCCTCTTGAGCCTGTCTCCGACGAGCCGCTGCAATGCTTCCAAGATTTCGCTCCTCCACCGAAGAGCTCTCTCCCTTGAAGGAGCGGATCTATGTACGAAGGCTCTCCCATTATTTTTTGCCCGCATGCCGGCTCCCGAATGAATTCCCTCGACAGCCAGCAGTGATAAACGCGCTGAATGGTTGCGCTCTAATGTTCCCGACTGAAAAACGCGTTGGGATCTATCCCAATTTTTGACAACACGGACGCGGGAGACAACGGATGTTTGCGTTCGCTGGTGCAATTCAGATGAAATCAACAAAGTGCCGCTTGATAAGAACGGATGTCTACGTTCGGAAACCTGAGAACTACACGGTGTTTGGGTGCCAGACATTTCGAAATGGCGGAGAAATTTATCCACGAGGGGACTGCGGATAAAAAGCATGTCAATTCTTTAAAATTGGCAAGGCCAAGCTCCGGGACGAAAATTTCCGTCCCCGGAAAGCGAAGGAAGTTGGTGACCAAATGAGCAGTGGCTCGGAAACTGCTGGCAAACGAAAATGCTTCCATAGTAACGTTGACGAACCTACCAGAGGAGGGGGATTTTGCCCATCCGGCAAGTGAGGTGAGCCGGGCGATAGAAGAATGGATTGAAACGCTAAACCCAGAGAAAGTGTCCCTCTTCAACTTTAGAGGCATTTACCAGAACCGGGTCTATTCCGATCCGGACAACCTGACGAAATTGGGTAAGGCGGAAGCGCTAGAAAAGCCGACCTCCAAGTATATCGTTACGGTAGAGCTCGATGCGGAAGAGGAAGAAAACCTCCGAGCCCAAATGAAAAGAAGGAAGGGGCAATTTTGCTGACCGAGGTCGCGGACAGAGTAGAGGGGGTGCACGGAAAACGGCGAACCCTCTGGGATCGAAATGGAGCCAAAAACCGGAGCCGAACGATCCCGCCTTCCAACGGTTCTAGAACTCGGAAATGGAAAACTCCTGTAACGAAATCGGCGGCGGGGGGGCGAATCCAAAAACGAGTCAATAAAGGGAACCAACTTTTTGAGAATTCAAATCGGTGTCCTCAATATCTGGGGGGGAGGGGCGTGCGAGGTCAAAATGGAAGAGTTTGACGAGGAGATCACTCTCAAGAACGGTCGGGAAAGATGCGAGAGACTCGAGAGGGATCACGCTGTTGAGCGAAACTTGGCTCGTAATGAAGGAGGTTCCGCGAAAACATCCCGATACGAATGGCTGGGATCCGATAGAGAAGGTAAAACGGGGAAGCACGCGAGAGTCGCATTGGGAACACTGATCCCACAGGGTCCCGGGCGAGTGATCTCTACCAAAAGTGAAAGGGATTTCATAGCAATCAAGATGGAAATCTAATCATCGAAATGGTTGTTTATCTCAATGTATGTTGCGCTGAAAGAGAGGACGACTGAGATTGAGGACAATTGTTCGAAAATATTACCAACGTACTCAGCCACGAGCACGACGAGAAAACACACGTTGTCATTGGCGGAGACATGAATGCTCATATAACACAGTCCGCAGACCGGGAGGATGCGAGAGGCTGGTTATAGAAGAACTTTGCGAGTCAGAGGGGACTCGTTATTGCGAACACTTTCGACAAGTGCGGAGGGAAGTTCACCCAGAAAGGAGCAGTGCTGGGCTATGTGCTCTGCAATGCAGCAGCGTACAGTAAAATGCAACGGATGGTGATTGATAACAGATTGGAGAGACAGATAACACAAATTCCGTACCTCAAGCCAATTACAGCTAACTTTTTCTGCTGGAGAGGGAAAGAACACGAAGAAACAGTCAAACAAACTCGATATGGTTGATGAAAACAGGGCCACCTTGGAAGCGAAAGAGAGTCTAAGAAATCTTTTGCTTCGAGACGAGCCTGTGACGTACGAGCTCCTGAAGTATACCAGCGTGAAGCTCCTGGAGATCTCCTGAAGAATACGCAATATACCAGCATACACACTCGGAAACCTAGGTAAAACAGGATGCGGGTACTCAGCACGACTGTTCACTGACATCAGGGTAGGAGCCCGGCCGATTGCAGAAGACTGGCGCTTAGGACGGTTATCACTCCTGACGAAGAGCTCCTCGAAAAAAGGCATGCTTAGAGCCTATCGGCCACTCACAACATCGACAATATTGTATGTATAGGCTGTTCGCGCGGATACCCTGCCGAGAGATCCAGAATCGGATGGAAGAAACGGAGGTCATCGGCGAAATGCAATATGGCTTCTGAAAAGACAGAAGAGGGGAAGATTGCATTTTTATCTTGAATTCTGCAATCGAATTTCGTCAAAGCTTTTCGAGTATTCGGCGTCAGTTTTGGAAACGTGATCCCGGCAGGCTCGAGAATCAAGAGAATCGCAAGAGAATCGAGACGAAGCAGCCCAGGTAGAAACCGGAGAAGAACAGAACGATCGGGGTGATGAGGAGGAACAAGAGCCAGAGGAAGACTCGGCCGAAGAGCCAGAAGCAGAGCCGGCCGAAGATATGGCAGAAGAGTCGGCAGAAGATATGGAAGAGGAGGCGGCGGAAGATATGGAAGGAGACACGGAAAGGAGCGAAGAGGAAGAAGGATTCCAGGAGAATGGACCTGAGGAAAATCCATGGGTGGAATACGACGGTGGGACCGAATTATTAGAACTAGATTTCATGCTCGATGTGCTGCGCACACCTTATCCCTCAGCGCGGCGACTGACTTACACAGTGTCTTTGACGATCATCCGAATGTGCGAGCTTCACACGAGTCGGTTCTAGAGAAATGCAACGCTCTTTTTGAGTCGACGACCCAGATCGGCTGAAATCATCAAGAGCATCACAGAAAGATGTTTGCCGAGACCAGTAGCAACCAGATGGAGCAGTTTCTCTGACAGTCTGAGAGCTTTGGTTGAACTTCAAGAGAACCTCCGTGAAATTTCAAGCCAACCGAAGCCCAGAATGATCATCAGTAATATATCCTTAGCTTCTTGAGGAATCATGCCTGTGAGCAATTCACTCTGGATCCTTCCGCTGAAGCAGAGTCGATGGAGTTGGACCCTTTCTACGACTTCGGCGGAGTGAGTCAAACTCCGCTTCATCATTGCGCGCTGTTTGTAAGCTCGGGAAAAGTATCATGTTACAGAACCTGGGAGATGCGCAAACGCATCCCAGCATGCTGAGAAAGCATCCGTCGATTGAGAAAATTTTTCGTGCGGTCAACACAGCACTCCCGTCAAGTGCGCAAGGAACGAGTGTTCTCGTACGCAACTATGACGGAGGCACCAAAAAGTCATCGACTTAGCGATGGAAAATTCGAATCCGCGTGGTTGTTCGAGTTGATGGTCACATGTAGAGCTGGGACTTTCAGGCGAAATGTCTAAACTGCCTAAAAACGCATTTTCTCGCTAGATTCCTGTGTTCTTGCAGGTTCTTCGTTTTCGAAAAGCGCTTTGCCTTTCTTGGATGCCTATTCTTTGCTTTGCCCATTTTGCTTTTTCGGATGCACATTCTTCCTTTTTTAGTGCCTGTTCGCCTCGCCTATTCCAGGAGTTTTCAGAACAGAGATCAGAATCTAGAATAGAAACACAATGTTGAGGACCCAGGATTCTCATCCGGGACCGAACTTCGTCGGCTCCATAAGAGTGCGTGTCAGGTGTCTGGCATAATAGCGTATCGACAGAAGACAGCGGTACACCCCAACTCGCCGCGACCCAACTCGCCCCGGCCGACTCGCGGCGGCCCGATTAGCCGTAGGGCCCAGCTCGCCGCAGGGTCGAACTCGCCGCCGGAGGCGACCACCTCAGAGCGACAGTCCTCGGCTCATTCGTCTAAAAACCTGATGGACGTAGGAGCGTTGTGTTCTCTACCTCCGGAAAAGAAATTATCGAATCAGCCGGAACAGAGGCAAGGAGTTTCCGGGAAGTTTTGCGGGATAATGATCTCACTGAAGTTCGTTCTCCCGAACGCGAGAGACTTGAGCCTCGTCGGTCTTCTTCCTTCGAGCAGGAGTACAGCCATGTCGATCCATTTCCGATGATGGTCGCCTCCGGCGGCGAGTCGGGCCGCGGCGAGCTGGACCCTGCGACGAGTTGGGCCGCGGCGAGTTAGCCGCGACGAGTTGGGGCGCCCCGGAAGACAGCCCTCATATATCACTCCACTATCATCTATAAATTTGTGTGCTCGGGCCCGCGCGAGACACGCACGGTAGATCCGAGGTCCATACTGAAATACGTATATTCAATCGATGACATCCTAACAGCGCGTCCGAACATTATTCTCGGTATCGAGACTTGAGGTAATAGGAACATATCTATGAGGGTCTTGGATTTTGCATCCGGAATCGAACCTCATTGGCTTCGGAAGAGTGTGGCCGGACTTTATCCTCCAGATCCGGACTTCAGATAAGTTGAAACCTATCTTTGAAGACCCCAAATCGGAATTCAGAATCGGAGAACATCGCGAAACGATATTTTCATTCCACACTTCAGCCATCAAAAACCCGATCCCATATTCTAGATGGAGTCCTGAAATCTCTATTTTGAATGAATCATAGATCATAATCATAGATTGAAGCGATGAATCTATCCCCGATTTGCTTCATTGACTTCATCGCGCTCTTGCAATGAGTCCCCTCCAGCACGTAGACGTAGGTAGTTCTACGCAACCTACAGATTAGGCATCAAGCTAACCCTGCACTGAATTTTTTTCGAGACTTCGCTGCCGCGATGCGATTCCTCTCGCGTCAGTCTTGGAGCCTCTCAGCTCTGATGAGGTCCGCGTAATCCCCTTCAGCACTTCCAGGAGCTTCACAGCTCGACATCGATTCGCAGACTCCTGCTTCTGTTGGAGCCACGATCGAAGTTCCGGGCAGGGCGGTGCTTGCCTCTGAATCGTCACCGTGAATTCTTCTGAAGGGCGCTGCCGTCGATTCTCCGTTGATGACACACGGCGAGGGACTGAACGCGAGGTCAGATTCCTCTCGGCGACACTCGACCGCTCTGCCGCAAACCTCGGCGCTCTTTTCAAGGAATTCTCCCGTACTCCCCAGGCTCGCTGAGCCCGGACTCGTGTTTTCCGGAAACTCATCGGGCCTGGCTCCGTCTTTTCCGGAGATCGCTGAGGCTGCTATCGCAGGAGAACTCCCGCGGTGCTGAGGCTGCGTGAACTCGCAGTTCTCAACTTCGTTCGGCGGATGTCGGCTCAGAGTCAATGCAATCGGCGGTACCGCTGATTCCGCCCAGGATTCGCTAGACCCAGTCTCCTTAGGAGGGGTGAGCGATGATGGCTGAGCTGACCTGGGGCGAGGCTTGAAGAGATTCCTCAGCAGAAGCTCCATAAGTTCAGGGCTGCTTATAGTCACACCCGGAATCCCCAAATAGCTCTTAAAATACGGGTCAGGGCGCGTTCTTTTCGCCGGAACTTCCTCGAACAAACCGTCGAGCGCATGTCATAGGGCTCTTTTCTGATTGCGAATACCATCCTTCGCGTTGGAGTCAGATGAAGCCATCCCGGATGAGATCGTTGTCCTGATGTGGCAGATTACTCAACTCACTCGTCTCGGCGACACACAACTTTCTTCTGATCGATGTGAAGAAGAGCGCTGAAATCCCATTCCGAAACGCGGTCCCGCTCGCCCTCGCGGATTCTCGCTCGAAGCCCTCGCCACCCCCTCGCGAGGGTCGAGATTGGCGTCTGACGAGCGGGTCGGGTGGATTCCTCGAAATGAATGATCCTATTGCGAATTCCAAGAGGATCTGCAGCACGAACATGTCTGAAGAGTATGCCATGGACCTCACGTTCGACGTTGTTCTGTTCTCTTTATCATCACATAAATGAACTTCCTCATGTCCGTGGAGACACATTTATAATTAAGAGAGAATTCGAAATGCAACGTGGGAATTCATTGGATCGCCCATCTGATGAGCCTCTATTCGCATGTTTGAATGGAACCGCGATGCCGCCCTCTTTGAGAGGCGGAACAAAGAAAAAAGCATCAGAGCTCCTGTCGGGGAGCCTGATCCCGACAGCTGTGGATAGCTATGAGCACCCGATCACGAAGAAATTCTCAAACTCCATGGAAGATAGACGTTCTTTCTCTCGTGGAAACTCTGCGGAAACGGGAGCGACGTCGCGATCGGGGAAGCAAATATAAATCGCACGAAATCTTTGTCGAATGGGCATATCAATTCTTCCGAGGGATATGTGAACGGAGGAGAGGTTCTTTATCTGTTATTGTTCCCGTTGATTAACGCAATTGTCCCGTAGGTCCGAGGGAGCCTCAAATTCGAGTGGCATCCCTGACGGTTCTCATAATACATCATCTAATTTCGGCGAGACCAGCTACCCTGTGCTCGTGGCATGCAACAGTTTAATGGTTTAATGGTTCATTCGGATCGGACGGTATCATGACATGTACACATCAACTCTTCTATTCAGGAGTTGGCTCAGCGGATCCAGTGGTTTCACACTCCCATTTTTCGAGGAGGCGCTTCGTCTCCACGGCATTGCGATTAAGCTCTGTGGTCAAACCCAGTTTGATTGCGGAACGTTTGAAAACTGCAATGATGAGCGACACCTAAGACAGCGGTCATCGAAGGCATCTTTCGGGAGCATTCCGCTGACCTTCTCATTCGACCTCCCCCCGATCAGAAAGGATCTTCATCGGCCCAGATTGAATGCCGGTCTCCGGCGCAATGTGTAGTCCGCTTTTCTTCTCGCATGCGATCCTCTCCCGCCGAAGAACGTAGCTCTCGATCAGCGAGGAGGCATTACTGCGAAAACGAAACGATCGGGATATATACATATGTGCGATCTCGATCACTCCTGTCCGACGAGGTGCACGAGTTCTGAACGAGCTTCGTGCTCAAGTTATAAGTTCGTGATCAAGGATGGCTCTCTACGATATCATGTTTCATCGACCTGCAGACTATCTTGGAGGAGCTCCCTCATACGGGGCAGCCGATGAGCAACTTGCTCCCTTGGACTTGAGCAAGAAACCATCAGATCCGGAATTATCAGCGGCGGGCTTTCCAGCCGGGAGATCGGCAGCTCGATCTCGCACCGTATGCTCTCTGAGGACTCCACGATCGGAGAAACTCGCTCTTAACGTTCCTGAAGCTCGGAAGCCTCACCCAATGAACCTTCACCTGTCTGGAAGCGTCTTTCTCCGACAGAACCAGCCTGTCGGTGGAACAGCCTTCTCCTCACCCACAATGCAGCTATCGAAAACTTTTGGTATGGAATCACTGCGTGCTGCGACAGCGACGGACCCATTTCGAATGTTCGAAGAGGGAGAATCATGTGATTTTTCGGATCACTCCAGTCGTGGGAACGAATCACAGCGCGCTGCCGACGAAGAGAGGCTCAGAAAGAGGAAACTACAGGGTCGCCAAGCTTCTGCTAGACACCGACAAAAGAAACTCGCTATGATAGCCCAGTTGCAGGCCGATGTCGCAATTCAAAGGAGAATTCGCCGACATCATGAACATAACATGGCTGCGCTTCGTAGCGCAATCGAATCTGCGCAGAAACAACTGGAATCTGCGGCTCGGTAGGGGATAGAAGAGGACTGTGATTATCACTCTGAGACCATTTCGACGTGAAACGTCTTTAGAAAGGCTGGGCTAGTACGCCACCAAAAGTGTGTGACTAAAATACGGAATCTGATCTCCGATCCGAGCAAAATCGAACGTCCGTCGTCGAAAAAAATAAACATGAGTCGAATCCGAACAACGGCAACTCGAGTCTTCTCTTCGATGACTTTCGTGAGAGAAGATCTCCTTGACAGAGCAATGATGGCTCTTCTGGAAGTCTTACCAGGAGAGTTGAAACCCGTCTACACTTACTTCGAGCTTACGTATGTGGGTCGCATACTCAGCGTACGCTTAGATGGGTCAGTCATCAGGGACAATCCGCTCTTCAGCTCCGATATGTGGTCGGTCCATGAGAGGACTCTCAACGGTGAGAGCCGCACCAACAACTTCGCTGAAGCTGCTCATCGAAAACTCCAGGGGGCTTTCGGCGTCTGTCATCCCTCCATCTGGAAGTTCATCGATGGTCTCCGGCATGTGCAGCACAAGGCAGACGCCGAGCTCGAGCGATACAATATAGGATCTGCGCTGGCTCCAAAAAGACGCAGATATCTGAATACGGACGCCAATTTGCTCGAGTTGGTCCGTACCGTCGAGAATCGTGAGCCGGTGGCCTTTCTGCGAGGGATGGCAAACAAGTTCCTCATGGACAACTAGAAAAATCTTGTGATTCTATTGTCTTCATCCACCTTTGCACTCCCATCTATCATTTCCTTCTTTGTGAAAAATACATAACAACTAATCCTCACGGGAGTCTCACTGGAAACCATCTTCCCTTCTAACCAGTTCTCTATCGGTTTGAGAACCTTCCTTGCTTGTGAGAAACATGATGAAATTACATGAGATGACTTGACCTGGGATCCATGTGTTTTCCTTTCTCCTTGATTATCGCCGAATCATCCTTTGCGCCGAATCATCTTTCGGGCCGAATCATTCTTTGCGCCGAATCATCTTTCGCGCCGACTCATCCTTGGCGCCGAATCATCCTTTGCGCCGAATCGTCTCGCGCCGAATCGTCCTTTGCGCTGAATCCTCCTTTGCGCCGAATCGTCATGCACCGGCTTATTCTTCTCTTTCCCCCTCAGTAAGAATCCCGAATCACTCCGACAGTTTGGTAGTAAGTGACCACTGATTCTTAGACCTGTTCCATGAGTCTAGATGAAAACTCCTTATTGTTCCCCTGTTTAGAAGCCTTTATTCGCGGCTTGATGCATCGACTTCGGCCTATGCTTGAGTTTTCGCTCCAGCAAATATATAGAACCCTATCGAGTTGGCACAGGGAGGAGTGTCTGAAAAATGCGTCAATGAGCCCACAATTTTTTCCAAGCTTTCTTTCTTCCCTATCTGTATTCGAAAGCTCAAAATTCTGAGTTCCCTCGATAGTCGATGAGCAGAACAAGGGGCCAGGCACGACTCCATGCGAAGTCTAACTGCGTCAACAGCTCCGTAATCGGAGAGAACCTTGGCATGGTTCGCGCCCTTTGAATTCATGTCGAGAAAGCCCGTGGGAACAAGGGGAAGGGACTACGGACTTGACTTGATAAGGTTTGGTACATTATATTCGACCAGCTGAGAAAAATGCCGCGACTTATTTTACATATGGATATGGAAAGTGCAGGAGAATTGCGGATCTCGCACGGGAGAGAATTTCAAACGTCGGCTATCTGATAGAATAGTATGGTTAGAGGGAGTTTGTTATGAGCAAAGGGTGATTTGATAAGAAGTCTTCCGGAGGGTCTGCCAGGTTGAATGAAGATAAGCGAAAAGTTGAGGGGAAACAACTGAGGGCGGTGAACGTAGATGAAAGCCAAGGAGGCCGTGCGAAGTCGGTAGAGGCCATCAGGGCTTGGAGGAGAATATGCATCGAACCACTGAGTGAGAGACGTGAGCTCGAGCTGGCAAGCCAAGGGCCGCTTCCAGGCCGATCTCGAACGAAGCGTGAGCAGTGTTGAAACCGCTGCTGGCGGTAGCCCCCCCCCCCCTCACCCAGACTGAAAGGCAGTACGATGCAGAGCCGTAAATGGAGCCTCGAAAAAGTTCAGGAGTTCAGCAAGTGTTTGTTTGAGACCCGGACTCAACTTACGCCCCACCTTGACTCTCAAAACATTTCACGCCAATCGATCGCGTCGTCGACGTTCGTACTTCGGTTAGACCTTCGAGTCGGCAAACCCGTGCGAATCGATATAAGGAATAAGATTCATTTTCACGGGAATACGTCTGTCGGTTCGGTTGAATAGAGGTTTCTCCTGAGCTACCTGACAGATGTTTCAAAGCAAGCATTCCGCTCTCCCAGGTGCCGAAACTAATATATCTCGGCTCGTCGATTTCATGGATTCACGAAGCCTCCATCGACGTCCCAAGTAGACACCGAGAGCAGAGAACTTCGCCAGTCCAGAATAAGCCATCCTCATGGCCTCAATGGTGCGTAGTCTTTCCTCTTTTCGAGCGCCTCTGAAACCGAGCGTAGATGTCTCGATGGCTGAGTCTCTTGATCCTCGTCGCGTAGGCTTCCGCAGACCAGTGAGTCTCTCCGCTTTCCGAACGGGAATCGAAGAGTGGAAAGGGAACTCACTTATGTCTTCGATTGATGAGAGGCGACCCCGTAGAATATTATGGCGGGCGAGATGAGCTGCCAGCTTTCGAGTGCAGCATCTTCCGCCCGATTAGGATCAGGCGGCGAGTAGAGATCATCACCATCATTGTCTACGACATCCAGACGACTGATTTCTTGTTCACCTCAGCTTGAGCCGGCGTTATATTCGAATGCACTTTCTCCCTGAACCGTTCCTCCGCTTAAAGAATCAACTCTCGAGCTTTCAAAATAATTCCCTAGCTGCGGCGCCGCCGCAGAGAGCCAGTGCGAGAATTCCGCTTCATTTCCTCCCGCAATGGCGAACCGTACGGTGAAAGACGCTCAAACAGTCCACGGAACGAATCCCCAGTACCTTGTGGAAAAAATAATCCGTTCCCGAATCTACGAGAGCCGCTACTGGAAAGAAGAATGCTTCGCCGTTACCTCGGAGCTGATCGTCGACAAGGTACGAAAGAGACACACAGACCTGTGAATGTATTGTTCCATGGTCTCACGCGAAAAACTTTTTCGTCCCTTCACGAACTCTCTAAGATCGACAGCCGGTGAACCGCGGTTTGCGAGGCTTCCTTTGTCTTGTTCTACGAATAGATGGTGATCGTCTCGCAAATACTTATTTCGTTCCTGACGCGTCGGTGCACCATGATCATTGCGCGCGAAACTCATTCCGTCGGCGATTGCCTCTACCACCATGATATAAACTCCGTTCGACAGAGCTTTGCTTGAGAGCTAACCCGCCCCGACGCGTTTTGCAGGGTATGGAGTTGAGGTACAGCGGTGGCGTTTTCGGTGGTAACATCAAGCCTACTCCGTTCATTTGCTTGGTGCTGAAGATGCTCCAAATCCAACCGGAGAAAGACATCATAATCGAGTTCCTGAGACAAGAAGACTTCAAATATCTTCGAGCTCTGTCGGCCATCTACCTTCGTCTAACTGGTGAGTATCTGGGTCTTTGCACAGAAAATCAACTTTGAGTTCCATTATTCTCAAAACCACGTTCTCTTTCCAGCGACTTCCGTCGACATATACAAGTACCTCGAGCCATTATATAACGATTACCGGAAACTCCGACACCAAAATCGACAAGGAGAGTTCGTTTTGACCACGATGGATCAGTTCGTCGACGAGCTGCTCCACGAGGAACGCGTCTGCGACATCATCTTACCTCGACTGATGAAGAGACACGTGCTTGAAGAAACCTCTGAGCTCGATCCGAGAGTTTCGCTCCTAGACGATGACAATGAGGAGGACGAGAGCGACGAAGAGCAAGAGATCGAGATCGAAATGCAGAAGATACAGAAGAAGCGCCAACAGGAAGAGGAATTCGACAGAGACCGTAAAGACAGACGCAAGGATGATCGCAAAAAAGACGACAGAAGAGATCGAGAGCGAGATCGGGAACGGGACCGAGATCGCGAGCGGGATAGGGACCGAGACCGCGGCAGATATCAAATAAGGGACAAGCGGAAGCGAAGCCGCAGCAAAGACAGGAGTCGTGAAAGGAGGAGGGAACGTTATGATCGGAGTCCAATAAGGAAAGATAGAAGGCATGAACGCCGACGGAGTCGTAGTTATGAAAGGCGGTACCGGCGAAGATGAGAGATGCGTCAGACCCAATTGTATAAATGAGGCGAAAAGCTCATCCGTTTCGAGAGAGCTGAGAATGTCATGACGTAAGAATGATTACAAACTCTGGGATTGGAAGAAGTCATTGAAAGTTCTTTATAAAATCAAATATACAGTTTGAGCCCGATCCCTGGACAGGTGATTCGTCTTCGATCTCGGGCTAATTATCTCTGATTCGAGTCAATCTAAGTCGGCACTGCCCGAAAGGCTCTCGACGAATCTCTCGTGGCTCCCATCCCGGGGCTCAATCGGGAAGCTTGCCGCAGGTTCCCTCCTCGCCGTCAGTTCCCGCCGGCGATTGTCCAGAGATGGAGTAGGTAACTGATTCACCACGCATAATATTAAATACGATAGCGCCCCAACCGGAAACCCCATTGGAGTTTCTGGCTTGTGTCTCGGAAGTCTAGCATGAGACTCCAATCAGCCATAACCTTTAGGATCTACCCCGAAGTTAGGTTTAATGAAGAAGGGTTCCCAGGCTTCGAAACACCTTCAGCTCCCGCAGGGCATCAAGGCGAAGCGGCCGATCGCGGAATAAGGTGCTAGTGATGATGCCGACGCGGTTCATCAGAATCTACTTGTCATGTGCAGACCGCTCATACTTCTCGACCTCCTGCAGTTGGATGGAGCCTCATACAGAAGCTGTAAGAGACGGTCCCGCACCATTGCAGAAAACCAGCGCGTTTGCTCCGATTTCGCAAGATTCGTTTGAATTATTCGGGATCGCTTGTAGGGAACGTCAGGCAGCGTCCGCGAAGAAGGAAAAGTTTGCCGTTTTTTCACCTGGAATCTCCTGCTTAAGACTCTCGACTCTCGAATGATACTAAAAACTCGAGGGCATGTGTTTTTGTTCTTATTGGGCATGAAAATGTCCTTAGTCGGGTTTATTAGCTGGCAGCTGTCTTCCATTTCGATCTCCGCTCTCCGCAAACTACTAGGAGATTCTCATCGAAACACGGAGCAGATCCCGAGTTTCTCGTGAATAATCCCCGGTATCGGGGTTACCGGCGGTGACAGGACAGCCGTTCCAGAAACGGTCACGTTGAATTCCGGGGAGAGCTCCACGGTTGTCGATTGTAGCGAGGACAGTACAGATCATGTCACCATGTCAGGAGATCATCTCAAACATACAAACACGAGGTCATTCGAGTACACTGGCGCTAGGGGCGCAGATTTACGCGGTTGACAGATCATTCGTCCTCTTCGGAGAGATGGTCGCAATCATCGCAGTCGAGCTGCAGATTAGACATGTGAAATTGATTTTATATCGATCCCCCACGTCGCCTGATTCATATTGCGATACAAGACTCCTTGACCGATGATTCTCACCAGTTGCAGTTCTTTCTTGGAGAAAATGAACTTCAGCGCTACCCGCATCGGTATCATCATGAGCAAACCGAAGGGAAAGGCCAACGCAAAGGAACTTTGTTTCACCGCCCAGAGTGTCCCCAGGCACAGCAGCTGAAGAGAGAGTACACTTTGAGTCTACCGAGCTCTATCGATGATCCGGATGCAGTAGAATCAATTGAACGCACCTGAATCACGGTGTAGCCATGCATTTTCCATACACCAACTTTCTGCGCATAGGGTACAGGCGGAAAATGCTTCGTTGGTTTGAACATGAGAACCAACCTGTCGAACAACTGCAAACCTGCGGGTGAAGCGTGTTATTTGGTACTCTCATAACATCCCCCTGTTCCCTTTTGAAGAAGACTACCTATAAGGTTCTAATTCGGAACCTCATGAAATCATGTCGTAACTAGCTAGAGAACGGGTTGAAGGACCGTGTGGGAGCTCTTCCTCCTCGCCTCAGGATTTCGTCCATGACGAAAAGTTACTTGAAATAATTTTTTCCATCGTTTCCAGCCAAGGAAACTTCCAAATTCGGTCTGATCGGAAAGTTTCGCTCACCAAGCATGCTCGTATAGCCCATGTACAGGAATACTCCGAAGAGAACAGCCACGGGAATCCGGCGCAGAGCCGGACCCATGAGCACGGACAAGCCCAAGAGGATAGAAACTAGTATCCCGGTGATTCTCTGTTCCCGCACTCCTTTGACCTGGGATAATAGAAAGCGTTAACAGGGGTTCTCTCTCCCGCATCGCCGTGGAATCATCGCCCATTAGAAGACCCACCTGGGGTTTCTCTCCCGGTGGAACTCTCGCGTTCGTCACTGTCAGTGCGCAGAGATGACTGACGCAACGAATAGTTGCAGCGCACAGCCAAGGCCCACCAAAACTAGCACTTCCCAGCTCCATCATGCAGACGAGCAGGAGATCTAAATGGAAACCCGTGCCCTTCACGGTTTTTCGTTCCTTTTTCGCGAGCAGTAGCCTGTTGAATTCAAGATTCAGATTCTCATTGTCATCGGAGGACCCTCGTGTGACGCTTATTCTGCTTCGAGCTCCAAGTTATACTCACTGACAGATTTCAACCTCCAAAAATATAAGGATGAAGACCAGAACGCCCCCGAAGGACGCCATTCCCATATGCCATATCTCCAAGTTCTTATAGTGACCCCAAGGATTCACCAACCAACCTCGGCCTGGCGTGGTAGTCGCCAATCCATCCGGCACGGATAATTTCTTTAACAGTTGCAAGGGATTTAACTGAGAGCTCCTCGAGACAGTATGTGTCTATCATATCTTTGTGTTGACTGACCTGAGTATAAACATTCGGTATGAAGTGATCGATGAGAACCATGGTCACGATCGATATAGGCATCGCGAAGTCACCCATCAAGGCGCGCGTCTCTCGGGAGAGAAATTTCGACGTCTTCAGACGTCGGAAGTAGTCCGCCAGGAAGAAAGTGGAGAACATCAGGACAAATGATAGCAATGCCGTGTTGGGATGACTTCTCGCAATCTCGAAGCCTTGCGTGAGATCTGCTCGAAGGCTAGCGATTAAAGACTTGTCTGACGTTTCGTGGATGACTCCGTGCTTAATTCCGACCTACGCGTGCGGCGAATGATTCACAAGCCAGAGGAGACTAGAGGTGCCATTCTTACCTGATGTGTTGGACGGCAAACCCCCGGAAGATTCATTGGCCATGTCAACGACATTCGATACACCAATGATTCGATTTTCGTAGTCGCCCAACGACAGGAGGGGATTCGTCACGAATATCTGGAAATCAACTCTAATATAGAGGCTTGCACCCTTCGATCGATTCCGGCTAGGTCTCGAGATCGCTAGAGCTCACATTCACGAGTTTTCCCATGGATTCATAGAGATACAGGAGAGAAATCAGAGCTGCGAATATTTCCTGTGTGAACCTGTCGAAGGAGTCAAAAAGAATGAGAGTTCGAATCATTTCATGACGGATCGATCGGACACCAGAGGAATCGACCTTTTCAGAATACCTTGTGAAGAAGCAAACGAAAGTAGGCATCTCAAAGGCACAAAATATCAGCGCAATCACGACAGTCCATGTGGCTATCCACACACGAATCCCTAAGAAGTCGATCGCTTGTTCTTGACAAAGCTGGAAGCGGATGATTAGTCGGATGGATATGCATGAAATAAGTTGCTCTGGCTGCATTTCATGCCGCAAACACAAGGAACGGAACTCCACCTACATCATAGAGTAATTCGTCGAAGAGCAATACTGGTCCGGTGAGCCCGATGATGATGAGAGGCTGTCCGGATAGCAATCCGAAGAAAATTCCGCCCGCGAAAGTCACAAATAATGTTTCAGAAACTCCTATAAGGTTGTTGGTCTTCTCGCCTGATGGATTGGAGTAGGAGCGGTCAATGTACACCATGATTGGCGGAATATTGTCTTGATTGGGGACAAGGAAGGGGAGAATCTATGTGAATTTAGCTGGTTCGTCGGAAACGCACCTATCAAGCCCCCGAAAGTTATCGAGCCCGATAATGCTGCGAAGAAAATAAATATCGCCGTGGCTAGGCACTGTCCGTTGAATCCGTCTCTGATATCCGACACATACTGGGGATACCTAGAATGTTATTGAATTCATTCGACCTTCTCCTCCAATTGTCGAATTCAAGGATTAAACATATGCAGGCCCGAACCTTTTCCGAGCTTCATTGATGAGGCCACCAAATATCCGGCCTGTTCTCCGCAGAGGCGAGAAATCGTGATCATCATTTTTCTTCCCGTCACCTGCTGATCATTCGCAGAAAATTCTAGGGTTTGGAGCCGCTTGAGAGAAGAGGACATGTTGCTTCACAAATTCCGAAAATATTCTGAGAGCTAAGATCTTTTCTAACCAAATTTTTCGGTACGGCCAGATGCCTCCTGTAGCTTCTTCGAGGACTTTCGCAGCTTCTCTTGTTTCTTGCGAATGAGCTCAGACTTCTTCTTCAACTCGTCGACCGGTAGGAGCTCCCGGTTATCATAGTCGCCAGGAGGGAGCACTATCGATTCCCCTGAGGATACATGTGTCATGGTCCGTATTCACTCGTTGTGGAGACTCTTCGCTCCTGGGATTATGTTTGAGCGTCAGAGAATATCTACCGAGAAACTGATTGAAAGCGTTGATGAGATCCAATCGGCCGTTGGCTGCATACGCCGCATCGTGGAACGACTGAAAAATATCCCCAGACGTCAAAAGCGGCCTTACCAAAGGAATCGAGATTGAGCAAACTACAAGTACTCATGTTCTTTCCCAAAACGCTATGAAGTCGATACCTTGTTGGCCATCAATGTAGACATGCACCGTCCGATCTCGTGATAATCTACCTCACCCTCTTCAGGTCCGATGCAAACGAAGATGAACCTACAGAATATTCCTCATGAGTTACTGTAGGCATCCACGAGAGTGAGACTCTCTGAGGAGGAATTCGGCTCACCGTACGGGAAGAGGAATTTCGATGACATTCGGGAGGTATTGACTGTCTGCAAGTCGTACGAAGGCTGCAGCGGTCTTCACGAGAGATTTGAGACCAGCGACCATGACGCAAGTCGCTTCCGAATCTGGAGAGAAAGATTGTCCGTACATGGCCGACGATCTCCAACTCAGAGAATTCTATGATCAGAAGAATTCGGGATGAAATGGCTAACCTTCAGGAATCCGTTTCAGAATAGCCTGATGGCGACCGGCTTCAGCGTCCTTGGATAGACAAAGCGAATTAGTATTCGGTCTAAATCAAGCTAGGAGCTGAGAGCAGAATTCCCAACGTTTCTGTGGCCTTGTGAGTGTGTAGGATCATTGAGCGAGATGAGGTAGACGACTCGTGCCCATTCTACCCACTATATTCGAGATGCTGCTGACTCTGATTTCTTGAGAATTATTCAAGTGATGGTTCATCAACGGCATGGAGAGATTTTTCTGCTGTTCCCGGAACGAGGCTGCCGCGTCTAGAGATGTCGCCGATGTGTTGTGACGGAAAGTACCGCTGGAATGGAAGAATTATCCAAGCTTAAGCATCCGCTCCTCTGCCAGGAAGGGACTCCATGCTCTTCCGGAGAACCAACGATGAATTCAAAGATCCCCCATGGCACCTTCCGAGAATGGAGCTTCGTCGCAGAAATTTCAAGGGACCCGACGTTTCCTCCCCGACGTGATGATGGCTTTGCAGGAGGGCCCTGGAATAGACGGCGTGCAGTCGGAGCGCTAGGAGTATGGTCCCGTGTCTCCGAGAATGACGGGCGCAGGATCTCCAATCCTTCCCAGGAGGGCATCACAAGGATAATGAATGAATTGTGCATGCCGGCGTGCTTACCTGAGAACTAGAGCGCGTTGATCGGAATTTATCTGACCTGCTTGGACTGCTGCATCCGCAATGTGATTGAAGATACTCGTCAGATCGTGATCTTCGATATCGAGCAATACGACCGCTGGAATGGATGAGTGATTATACCGTAACTCCCTTGTTCCAAAAGATATTTTCGAGTTCCTCCGACCCGCGCTGGACCCGTTCATGGCCTAAGAGTGGTCCTAGGTGCCCTACACGGGAATCGATGGCTCAGCTGAACAGCCTCCCATGAGGGCCGGAGAATACTTGCCTTCCTCAAGACATTTTTTCAGTATTCCCATATCGTTGAATGAAAGCGGTGCAATATGAGGTGCACTCCACCTGCGCAGGAGTTACAGGACTTGTCAGAAAGGAGTCCCTCCGAAATTCCAGAAAATAAGGTTAATCAATCGAGGACGGGAGAGGCCTATCACCTGTCAAGGTCGTGCTCAACGTTTTCTTCGTATTTAATCCAACGCGCAGTTTCTTTCCACTGGTTGGATACAAGCTCTTCAAGCTCAACGAATACCTCGTGAGGTCGATGGTCGAGGATCTGGCCGGGAAGAGTGAACGTATGCAAATATACATCTGACGCGTCCGCGAAGCGTGAGCTGTGCCATTAGTGGAGGAGCTTCTAGAAAAAGACGAACCTTCTTAGCTACTGCCTTCTTTTGTTCGGAGTCTTTTCCTGGTTTCCCACTGAAGCCGTTGATCTCTTCTATTTTCTTGTGAGCTGATCGATGACTCAGGTGTCGCCTCAAGCTCTGCGGGGCAACTCCGAAACGATGAGCTGCGGAGTGAGCCTCTCGAGTTAGTGACCGTGGGGATTAAAGTCGACATTTACATGGATACCCAGTGAGCGAGAAGAAAACTCGAAACTCACTCAGAATGTCGCTATGATCCAGAGCCAGCCGGGTGTACGGTTCGTCTTTTGTCACGGGTCTAGAGGCGGAATAAAGCTTTTGATTTCTGAGCGATCTTAGCTCTCGGAGCTCGGACACCGGGACCATACAACGAGGAGAGCCCCGAATTATCAGGAAAAGGAAGAGACTTACGTCCGCGACCGATCCCTGTTGTATTTATTCTGATGATATACATGAAAGCGATGATAGCGTCCGGATGCGTGCCTATGACCAATGGAAATTGAAATCAGCGATTTCTTAGACTTCAAACTTCATAATTCCCCTAAGCGTTGGATACGTCGCGGGTTGAGATTCCAAGCACTCTGGCACAGAAAGAGTGGTGGTGCTCTTTCTCTCTCTCTCTCTTCTATCTCTCTCTCTCTCTCTATCTCTCTCTCTCATCAACCGGCTGGTGCTCTCATACCTGTCTTTTGTTCGATCCCCAATTTTCTCTGCGCTCCCATTATGATCTTCCTCGCCGATGATGAAATTCACCTGAAAAAAATCCCGACATTGACTTGGCGCGGATCTCCGAGCACCTTCTCAAGAAAGACCGTGGATTCCTCGTGACGCCCTTGCCGGGCTTCCCCTCAGCCGCAATGGGAATATTCACCCGCGCTTCAAGAGTACTTCGAAATGCGAAAGACTCCCAACTTATAATGATCACGACGAGGCTCGTCCATTGTTCGGCAGCAAGCGACGAACGTCGCCGTGATTGCGTAATGACGTGATCTGATTTCATTCATCAGTCTATTCGGCCCCGTCTTGATTGATGCTATATTTCTGTCATGTCGATTGGTCGACGCGGAATTGGGGCCTTCGCCTGTATTTGTCATCTCCTCACCATTAGTTCCGATCAATAAATGCTATCTGGATGCATCGTACATATGTGATTCCCCCGAGATTCAAGCCGCAGTCTTCAACAGCTTTTACGAATTGTTCCATGAGAGTCATGGCACCGTGGGCGAAAACAGTCTCGAAAGGAGAAATGCTCTTCGCCGCTCGCCGTGCTAGCAGGCAACAAGTGCGCGCTTGAGAGCTTCTCCAGCGTCGGGCCATCATTGCCCTCAACTCATGATCTCGGTCATTAGAACATGCGAATGTATCGAGAAACCTATGTATTCTTGTCGGCGGAATCGATGGGAGACGATCGAATCAAAGGTCAGCTGCAAGGAGCAGAAAGGATGGTCACAGAACATCGCCGATGCCTTCCGATTAGCTCCTACCGCACGGGAGAATGAATGTGTACAGGCATTGGCCTTAAAGTATCCGATTCGATGCACCTGTAATCCGTGACCGGCCCCGAGAGATAGAGAAACGCTGCCGCCCTGGTGAGTTGGAGATGCATATCTCAGATATGATATCTGCATAAATCGAAAGGGTTTGGGAACATAGGTCGCATCGGTCCTCCCGTCATCGGGTGTCGCCAGGAACTTGATAATTATGTGCCTGTGTCTATCGAAGGCAGCCACGAAGCAGCTTCTGGGCAATAGAGCTTGGCGCGGTCATGCTTCAACTGATGCCGGACAGCCGCGAAGGAATCGATTGACGCAAGACACAAGAATCATCTATCCCATCATTCAATCTCGATTGCACATGTTCTACATATGCACAGTGAAGCCACCCTACAGCGAATAAGTCGCGTACCTAAAGTTTCGCTCGTTGTACTGAAATTTCGCTATAAGTAGAGTCCTTCAGCATTGTTGTGTTGGTGCCTGGCCAACGACGCTGGCAGAGAGTATGTGTGAGCTCAAGGTATTCATTTCACAGAGTTTCGTCGTACCGAGCTTCGACAGAACGGCTTTTCATCGATCGCTTGAAGCAAACTTCATACCTTATGTTGATTGTCCACCAAATTTTTCGCTCGAGCCTGCGACGATGTTAGCGGCTCGTCGCCAATGTCCACACAATGGAAGTCTTGCAGGGGCATCGAACTGGAGGTAATAAAGGATAAATACGACGGTTAACGGAGAAAGAAGAGTACGGCGGGACGTAATCATTAACATGGATTTCGGAGTCATCTTCCGCTAAAAAACGAACCTGTTGGTATCTCCCACGGACTTCCTCATGGCAGAATGATACACAAGCTCAGGAGAATCTTCTTTGTCCCGAGAACTCAGGAGCGGTAAATTCGGAGCACCATCACTCTGAAAACCGATGTATTCTCAAAAGAAAGCTCAGAGAAGTGACCGCATCGTCCAAGCGAGCCCAGAATCATGGGGAGCGGTTCGGAAGCGGTCACGGTAGAGTCAACGATTTCCGAACAGACAAACAGCTTCCTTTGTCATCACGCCCCTAGAACGAACACGGGGTTGTTTCGCGAAACGCTCCGAGAAACCGGTCCGTTCCAATCCTGAAGAGCTGTCCAGACGGGATTCGAGAATAAAGAAGCGAGTCGTGAATCGAGTGCTTTAGAGCCATCTTCAAGTTCAAGGCTACGGAGGGGAAGCTTAAGGGAACCACACCCTGCCGACGCAGCTCGACCGGATTGTATTTTTGTTTTATTGCTCCATCGAGGTTGAACTTTTCCGATTGTTTTCGAATATTTCGATTCTGACCAGCTCCTCCGGAGTTTCTTGGCGCGGGATAGGCCGCTTGAACGAGAGGAGAGTTCGCGGATTCCCCCCTTCCTCTGTTATCCTGAAGCCCAACAAACAGATGTCTGGTGGCTGGGATGCATTCGTATCTGTGTTTGTTGCTTTTCCTCGAATGGCTTCGTAAGTGATATTAGGTCGCATGCCATGAAGTCGCAGATATCGAGTTTGACTGCGTGCTCATTGCTCGCTAGCGTCAGATATCTCGTATCGCCACCGCGTAGTCCGAGCTTAGAAAGCCTCAAGAATATACGACGATAGAGCTATCGGGGTTTCATGGAGTATACTTGGCGAATTGGCTTTCTGGAAGGGACTCAGAACGAAATGCACGGGTCGGATCAACATTTTCCCAATTCCCAGAACGAAGACCAGCTCCGCGAACTCAGAAGCCCACCCGCGCGATTTTCTCTATTCAATTCGGAGCATTCTGAGCTGATCTCGAATGCCGAACGGATCAATCAAGATTTGTTTATGCATGCTTTACTCAAACTCAAATGACCGCTATCAAAGCCACAGCCCGTTGATGGTCGTCCCTCAGTCTTTCGACGAACGCGCCAAATATGTTTGTTTTTACTGTGAGTTTACCTCTAGAATGTCGGTGCCTCGCATGACGCGAATCCGATCTCAACGAAAACTCGCTGAAATTCTCGGAATTGCTCCAAAGATTCTAGATGCGGATGTTTGACTGCATATCATATGTACGTCGAACTTCTGATCACGACTCAACGAATCTGCATGAAGACTTCTAAGCTCCACGGAAAGCCAAGTTGGGGGGCTGGATCCTTGACTTTCTCATATGAAGGGAGCTCTCGTACTCCCCTCTTCACGCGCCAAGCTTGTTTTTGCGAAAATTCGTCTCCCAGGTGGCTCCACATATAGATAAACACGTGAGAAGGCTCAACCTGACCGGGGAATATCCGATCCGAGATTTCTGCACTCCACTCTCGTTCGCTTAATGCGAAATAGTCGCCGTAATTAAACATCATGTGACCGCGCTGTGACTACATTGAGCCGTCGCGAAAGGCTTAATGCCGGAATATCGGGTATGAAGCTTGAAACTGATGTCCTACCTCATTGTCGGCATCCGCCATCATGCGATCCGAGAGCTGCCGGTCCTTCGAATATTATCCGTGGTCCATCGGTGATCGAACTCGAAAATCGATACTACGCGTCCCGCGTCAAGAAGCAGCCAGAGACACCGAAACGATGGATCGAGGGATCGGAGAGCCTCCTGAAAGCTCTGGACTCCGGAATGAGATTCCAGGGCTTGGACCCAATCCTCGGTAAAGAGATTCCGAGGAGCGAAACTGGAAGACGAGCTTCTCCAACGACGCCGACGACCACTTCGAGCTCTTGTCTGGAAGTTGGCGGAAGGCTCGACAGGCTGATTGCTCTTGCCCGCTGGCGGATCGACTGGCTTACTGAGTGTTCGGTTGATCGGCCGGGTGTGAGAGACGGACGGACAGATGCACGGCCGCTCGGTCGGCTGGTTCGCTGCTCTTTCGGTTGCTCCAGAGCCTCCTGAGCGAGTCGAGGATATGCCGTCTCCGCTGAAGCGCGAACTGGAATGCACGTGAACTCTCACACTACTCCGAGACGAAGTGAACCCACCGAGCTAAATGATCGTACTGGCTGCATAAGAGAATGGGTAATCATTGACGCCGAGCGATCAGTCGCTTAGGGCAAGAACGGTCGGGAGGAGGCCGAGGGTCAGCTATGAACAGGAGAGGAGAGAACGAGAGAGACGTTTGCGGATCGTTTGGCTGAAAATCTATCTGTCGGTGGAATAGTCAGCAAGCTAGAGTCTGGTCCGAATTTGGAGTGGACACTCTCATGTTTTTTAATCTACCGGGAGGGGGGTTGGATTCGAACAGCGCGCCATGCGCCACGGGGAATTATTGGTTGACCGTCTGACAGCAAACAAAGCAAAAGCCGATGAGCTAGCTAACATTAGTCAGCTAAACGAGTCATCGAAAAAGCGAAAACGAACGCCACAGGGATCACGAGACACCAAACCGACAAACTAGAGTGCTTACAGACTCAGTGAGACTCTGTTTCACTAAACCACTCGACTTACACATTCCGACTTTGAATAAGCAAAAAACAAGCCACGAATCGAAACACGCACGAACGCCTCACGTATACCATCTGGGGCTTGACTTCTACCAGGGGCGGGCAAGAGCCCTCGTCCCTTGGAGGGTCAGGCTAAACCACTGTTTCTCTGACGTCACCTCTGAAGATGAATTCTTGTCCGAGACGCTGAACCATTAACAATTATTTTTTCTTCATCCCGATATAGTAAAACGACGCAAAATAATCTGCCGAGTTCATTCCGTCATCCGTGAACTGGCGGCGAACATTCCTAAAGATTGTATTGGGGAGCCATTGGGGGAGTGGGGGGGTTCTTGGTGGCTTCGGGCGGGAAAACCATCCGGAACTCTCTATGTGAATCTTCAACTCTCAGATACCGGAGGGCTGCCAGCCGATGGATCTGGGAGTCCCTCTGGCGAGAGTATCAGCCTAGGGGTCGGGATTTCTCGGCGGAGGCTCGGAATTTCTCTACTGCTCCGACGCTGAGAACTTCCATCGGCATGCTTTTATGCGAAGCAGACGTCTTCTCTCACCGACCGAGCGCATCAATCTGGAGATCATGACCAATATCAAGTTCAATCCCGGCTACTGTTTATCCATCTCGACTCTGGCAGCAGCGATCTGGAGCCCCCAGTCTACAATCCACAGAAATCTCATGCCAATGGAGAGCTCTCTCCAGCTCGAGGGAACTGACTCCGCTAGGATGTGGTCGGATGAATCTTCGTTCAGGAAGACTGAGTTCTCTGAGGTGTTCCCGTATTGTACTCCTTCATTTCCGTAGGATTCAGAGCTGCCTAGAAATTGGTAATCTTTATTGTGAGAGGAGGGTTCCTGACAGGGTAAAATTCGGATGATTGCCGGGTCATTCAGCGGTGAACATGATCTGTGAGGCATTCCACCGACGAGCGACAGCATCCCACTTCGTCCTACGATTTCTGGACAGCCGGAATTTCGGAACGACCAGAAATAATGGCAGCAGGTAATCTTTTGTATCCACAAGTACAGCCATTTCTTGCTTTCCTTCGTCTGTCGATGATCCCTAATGGGTGGTTTGGCTGTCGGCAGAGTGAGTCCTAATTGGAAGGAAGGGTGAGATTGAGAATAGGTGCAACATGTACGTGTTTTCGCCGTTACAGAACAGTCGGCTGAACTTCAGGGATAGAGAACTCGAGTATGTTTCCTTTCAGTCGCATGGCGAGCGACGACTACTCCGCGATGATCACGATCCGATGAATAGAACGGGTAAATTGATCATGTCTCGGTCTTCTACCGCGCGATTTGATCTGAATGAAGGGGAACTCGGGATCACACTTGCCAGGAGAATAAAAGCTGAAAGGTCTTGCTGTCCAGTCAGAATTGCCGAAGCGGCGGAAATATTTGGAAGGTTCCCGCAATACGATCCGCTTCGCCAAGACCAGGTGCATTGAGCAAGTTCCCCAGACCTGCAGAAGAGTGAGGGGGAAGTTTTTGTGCGAATCGTGGGATGGTAACGATAATCGAATGGCTGAGTCATGAGTCAAGGGATGGGGGCCGTCGGGGTACTCGGTCCAGAAACCCCAGAATTGGATATCGATCCAGATGGAATCGAGATGGAAAATCGGGCTGGCATGTATCAGACCCCGGGTATTCGGGCCGGGACTTTCTCGAGAAGATTTTTTTGTTGACATATAACTTTCGGTGGTCGAGACCACCGAATTGGAAAGCTGCCTCTAAATAGCTCGACCTCTCCTGCCATACACGGAAAGCCTCGTCGAATGTTCGGGTTGTGATGAAGTCCCCGTTCCGAACCGGTCGACGAATCGTAAGAAGCACACCGCTAGAACCAAGGTGTTTCGAGCGATGCTGACAGCTCCGAGTGCACACGAATAGGGGAGTGCCCATCGAAGTCCTGAGGTGCCTTCACATTCTTTCTGAACCAAGATTCGCCCATTGGAAGACTTAGATTCGTCTGCCCTTCCAGAGGACCCCGCTGAGGAGACGAAGGTCGCTGGGGGCACAATGTTCTCCAGAAAGTTAGACGCTCACATCAGGTGCGAATCGTGATGTCGAGAAGGGGGACATCCGGATTCTTTTCGATGGACGTTTCCCCGAACTGCGGAATCTAGTCGTTCCGAACCGTTCCGAAAGGATGGTATGCCGCAAAGGTCGACTGATGGAAGGCAGCGTGACAGTGTCCATGACGGAAGAAGAGATGAGCGGGAGGACGTACGTTCCCTGGTCTGAATCGGTTCCTCCTGGGAGGAGATCTCCAAATCACCTCACCTAGATTTCCATGCTTCCGATTCTGGAGCAGCATCAGGAGACTCATCCGAACGCTCCTATACATTTGGTCGGAATGATCTACTGATCTGGACCTTCCAGCGGATCAGGATCCTTGGATCCGGTTCCCTGGACACATGCTGAATTGTCCCACGAGAATCCGGCCCGCTCGATAGTTTCATGCATCCGTACGGGCATCCCTTCATGCATTGATCCAGAAAATTCTATGCTGCAGATTTCGATCGATCCATTGGTCGATTCATCCGACGATTCCGAGAAGAAAACTATTGTATCCGGGAAAATCGATGGCGTCTTTCACGTGAAGGGAGGACGCGGGGGATGAGATGGCTCAAGTAGAGCATTCCCGTCTGATCGCCTCAACCCGATTACGCGGAATCGATTTGAAGAAATGGAGTGGTCACACTGTCACATCCCTCGAAGGCGATAAATAGAAGAGAGGGTCGAGGTGGGCCGTCGTACTGGATCTCTGATCCCGACCAAGTAAGAATCGAAGACCAGACCGCGGATGCAACATATATCCCCCTTAAGCGTTGCATGTTTCATCCCTCCATTCCCTGCGATCCCCTGCAGCTCTCGCGGCAATGTATCCGGGGCAAACCTACTCCCATTCCCTTCCTTTCCCTGGTCATCGGGGCGTTCACGCCGTCATGCTCCTTCACGACGGCAGCACTAAAATCCCTTTCTCCACTGCTCCTCTCCACGCCATCGAGCGAATAGGAAACCTCCGATGACTGAGCTCTAGGTAATGAGCAGCTCGACACATTGCGGTCGCTCGCTCCACGGGGGCTGGTGTCTTTGTCGAGGAGACGCAAAAAGTGATGTGTCCTCCGAAGGAACACATATGTATATAGAATATGAGAGCACTACTCAGGACCGTGGAGCCCGCACTGATTCGAATGGCTCGTCAGAAGCCAAGCCGTCAGCAGATCCCAATGAATGAACTGCACGGATCACGGTCGCCCCGAGCAGATTCCGAGTAATTTGGATAATAATAATTTGGAGTGATTTGGATGTTTCCTATACGTACCAATCAATGAGAATGCGCAATGTCTTGAGATCGTTGCTATGTTGTGTGTCTCCATAATCCAGAATCGAATGCCCCGGAATCAGGGGAGCTTGGTTGGGGGCAGCTCCAACAGAGGCTGAATAGCGGGGCGGAGACCGCCGAATCCGGGGGATCCTCCATTCCCTTCTCACGCGGATAAAAAAGACTCGGCCAATGAAGAAAAATATCTGAGAGGTATAAGCAGCAACATCCGTGATTTTTGGATGGAAGGAAACTCGGCTGATCTCCTGTGAGATTCTCCCGGAACATGTATTCTTCATTCATCCCTGATACTTCTCGAAGGATACGGTGGCGCCGTGGTGAGTAGAGAGCGAATATAGCTGTGTAGCACCTGGCCACAGCTCATAGCGGCGGGGCCGGCGCGTCACCGTCCACGTTCAGACGGCCCGTGTGAACGCAAAGAAAAAGCAGGATCAATGCGCCGTAAAGTCATCATCGTAACAGGCGCCGTAATGGCTGCCTAGATGTATACACGTAACATGGAAAATTCTCCAAACATTAAAAATGTTCCAATAGCTCCGAAGCTCGCGTGCTCGTCGGATTCTGCCTGCAAGTCCTAATTGTCGGCGACAATGGAGTGGTGGATCCAAGGCGTTTAAACGATTCTGGATCGGATTAGGAACTTACCGACGGATACATCCACACACTCACTAGTAGAGTGGAGACCAGATTCTTTCTACCCATGGCAAGTGTTCCGCACTAGGATCTGTGATAGTCATGGATACGTTTTAGCCGAATGCTTCGTGTATATTCAGACCTATACTGTGACTAAAGAAAGATGAAGATCGCTACCAAACATCAGGAAGCCCGACGGAAATGTGACCGATCTCCATGCACTGTTCCTCTGAAAACCGGGAATTTTATTCCAGGATTTCAATGAAGGAAGTAGGCGTTCTCGAACATCGAGAATGTCGAAGCCCCGCTACGTACTACAGGTCAGTGTGATTTTTCGCCCGAGCGCAGCTGAATCGCATGACAGATCGAGACCTTACTCCTTCACGGTGCTCTATCGAGAAAGGGGGAATTTTCATCATAAGGTATTGACTGAGGAAGCATGGGCTCCTGGCGACGTCGGTCGACGTCGAGACTCTCGCGGGCCGAGCGAGGCTTCCTCTGGGAGAGACTCATGCGGAGAAATCAGCGGAAGCTGATGTGTATTCAACTCGATCGAGAGACCGTTCCACCGTTTTGGAACTCTTCGATTAGATTATTGAATATTCCATCCAGTCACTCGATATGACTAAATCGTGCCAAGCGGAGCAAGACGCTGTTCCTCCCATTCTACGCCGGACCGTAAAAACAATTAGGTCCGGCGATTCTTTGCAAGCGGATATGGCTTGCAATTCGCTAGACCTATCGACGCTTTTATCCGTAAGTCGAAGCAGCGGTTTACCGCTCCGTGTTGACCCTTACAGATTATTCTTAGTGCGGGAAAGCTAGCGGTACCTTCAAGCGATCGAACGAAAAGTTGAGCGTCGAGACCTGTCCGTAACGACCCTTAGCCCCCGTTCCTCGCCGGGCGCAGTATGATTCCGGATCCGGGAGGATAGTTTTCATGTAATCGTCACCCTCAGGAATCCTGGGATCCCACGGGACGATGGAATGAAAGAGCTCCGAGAAATCATGTAGAGTACGAGTGACGCGGTAGAATCTCCATCTTTCCCATGACAATTTCCGGGGTATCTTACCATATGCATTGGACAGGTTCACGTCGGTGGCTTCAGTCCCTTGTACGAAGCTCTGTCGATCGAGGCTTCGAAGCAAACTTCGTCGTCGGATATTCTGCAGTGCATCTCGAACAAGCTCGGTCTCACTGCCGCACAATGGAACGACTTGGAACTGGCGGAGGTGAGCTCTGAATCTATCCGTTCCGGCTCCCGGAATACCCCGAGTTTATAGAGTGCGACTTGCGGTTTTGAGAAGGCTCATCGATCTTAAATAATCGCTCTAACAAAGTGATTTCCGCGTGCAGGTTGTGACCAATGCTTCCGGACAAGAGTGCAAGGAACGAAGACTCTCTCCTGCAGAATGCCCGGTCGCGCTCCAGTTGCTCTGGCCACAGGGTCCGAGCTCTTTCGATGGACCGAGATACAGATTCGTGTTGAAAGAGAAAATTGGTGAGCGCAGCACGATGTATCTGATGCCTTATTCGCATCATAGAGCCGCATCGGTCCGAAGAGTTCAATCTAGAAATTCTGATATTTCATAGGTTCGAATCGCCTGGTAAATCTCTCCTGGAAGGCCACTGAACCCACCGACACCCAATTGATCAGGGACTATTTCTTACGCTTCCTCTGTCAGCCCTCGGACAAGGTGATGCTTCCAAGCAATTGATCGCGTTCCCCGGAATGGGCGAGAAAGAGAATCGAAGTTTCCATTGAAAACTTCCTTTGCAGGAATACGCGGATCTCTGCCAACTTCCAGATCTCACTGAGCAAACTCTGCTGGACAATCTCAAAGCCAGATTCCTGAAAGGTAATTTGATCAGTCTCTACTGTCCCTCTATGAGCTCGCCGGCCTCGATATCGATCGAGTGGATCACTCCTGATCTCTTCAGGTCATATCTACACGTATGTCGGCTCCATCTTAATTGCGGTCAACCCTTTCAAATACTACCCCGTGTATAACCCGAAATATGTCGGCCTTTATCAAAACCGACGCTTGGGAGATCTGCCGCCACATATCTTCGCTATCGCTGACGCAGCGTATCATACTATGCTGCAAGAACGAAGGTAAATTCCTCGCACCCGTAACGAAGTTCTGATCCGCTCCTTTCCGAATCAACGACGAGGAGCCTTATCACCGAAGATATTAGGAACAATGTTGCCTCCGCAGGAACCAATGCATCGTGATATCGGGCGAAAGTGGCAGCGGAAAAACCGAGTCGACTAATTTCCTGTTGCATCATCTCACTTCGCTCTCGCAAAAGGTCGGCTCGCGCTCTTAAAAACCAGAGGCCTGCTACAAGAGTTATCCAGATCAGGACTATTTGTTCGGTCATTCATATTTAATCTTTCCTCCAATCGCCAGGGTTCCTATGGCCGGGGTGTCGAACAAACCATTCTCTCCGCGGGACCTGTTCTTGAGGCTTTCGGAAACGCTAAAACGAAACACAATGACAATTCATCGAGATTCGGAAAATTCATCCAGGTAATGCCATCTCCGCGATTCTTCTTGGTCGTCTGTCGACCCTCCACGGGAGGATGATCAGGCTTATTCCAAGTTTCGCGACGCGCGGGGAACATGTTCTGCGGCGTTCGCGTGTCTGCGAGAGGTCTACGTCTATTTCGATCCACCGAAATCATCGGAGTTTCCGTCCGTAGGTCAACTATCGGGAAAACGGAAGCGTTCATGGAGCCGTCGTTCAAAAGTATCTCTTGGAAAAGTCGAGGATCGTCTCCCAGGGCGAGAAGGAGCGGAACTACCACATTTTTTACTATCTCCTCCTGGGTTCGTGGAGAATTCCAGAGCGATAATGCGGTGTTTTGGATGCGGTGAAATTTCTACAGAGGAGGCATTCATCCCATGAATTTCTCGCGTCTCTAGGTGCTTCAGCGGAAGACAAGCAAGAACTTCATCTGTCAGATCCCTCTCAGTACAATTACTTGAGCGGAGGAAACGTCGGCGTATCTAATGTCGACGAACACTTCGAGTATGCCCGCCTCATGCAGAGCATGGAAATGGTCGGTTTCACGAAGGACAAAATGAACAAATCCACGCGCGTTCTCAGCGCTGTTTTACAACTGGGGAACATCGAGTTCAGCAAACGGTAAGATTGACTTCATCCTCGCGAAGTGTGCGCCCTGAAGAATTGATCGATCATGATCAGCCTCGGAGCCTCTACCGAGCGGGCTACCCGATTGAGAAAATATATTGCAGATCGGGCTATCATAGCGATGAATCGGTCGGCGTACTGAACAAAGACACCCTGGAAGTTATATCCAGACTACTCGGTGTTCGAGTCGAGACCCTCCACCAAGCATTAGTGTCCAAGAGAGCTAAGGTGAGCTCGGAAACGTATGCCGGAGAAATCCTGCCGCTCGAATTCTTCGTCATTATGATTGAATGAATCACGACATCATGACTATCCTGTTTCCTCTTATCCGACCGATTCTCTACGGAAGATTCTTACGTTCCACACTAGGCGCCTGGGGACACCGTAGTCATCAATCATCGACTGTCAGAAGCGATCGCTGCCCGGGATGCCATTGCTAAATGTCTTTACGGCGCACTCTTCGATTGGATTGTGATGCAGGTATGTTGCCAGATTCTCCCACGCAATCGACCAGCCTAGATCAGGAATTGGTGGAGCCCGCTAGAGGTTCACTTCACGGCCGTTGTAATGAAACTCATGTCGTTGTGTCTCAAAGGTCAATTATGCGCTCTTATCGAAGAAAGACCTGGTGGAACATCGGGGTTACTCGATCGGAGTCCTGGATATCTTTGGTTTCGAAGATTTCGGTAAGCTTTCCATATAGTTTCAATGAGTACCGTGCCATGGATTCTCTCAAGCTTTCTCGACATCCTCTCATGTTGGCCATTTTCCCTAGGGAACCATAATACTTTCGAGCAGTTTTGTATAAATTGGGCAAATGAGCACCTCCAGCACTACTTCAATCAACACGTTTTCAATTATGAGCAAGAAGAGTATCTGAAGGAAGGGATACAATGGAAAAACATCGAATTCGAGGACAATAAGGTACGTGAGCCCTGCCGACTCTGAGGATTTCACTCCCCGTTTCCGCGAGCATTTCGTGGAATTTCTCTTTCATCTCAGGAATGTCTGGTGCTCATTGAGAATCGACCACATGGACTCGTGTGTCTGCTCAACGATCAGTGCAACTTTAGCGGATCAACAAATGCTCAGCTTCTGCAGAAGTTCAAAGATTATCACGGATGCAATACTTTCTACGACAAACCCCAGAAGAAGGAGAATGCCTTCTTTATCAAGCATTACGCTGGTAAGGTCAAGTACCAGATTCACGATTTCAAAGAGAAGAACCTGGATCAAATGAAGCCCGATGTAGTGGCTGTGCTCAAATCGTCGCACATAAGTTTCGTGCGAGAACTCGTAGGAGGCGATCCTGTTGCGTGCTATAGGTGAGTGGGGTATTCTCTGCAACATTCTCGGAATCGGGTCTGCAGTCATTCCGGCGGATAACATAATGCAGTATGGGGCCTTCATTACAGATGGAGAGTCGTTCGCGCGTTTTTCAAGTCGTACGCTGTGTTTGCCGCCATGCACAAAAAATACAGTGCTCGGAGCAGATCGGTTCGATCCATTTCTGAAAGGCAGGATTCTCTGCTCTCTGACAACAACTTTTTCGATAACTGGGGTTACGGAAGCCAGAAGGTGGGTCAGTCGCCAAGACGGGGATCATTCACCGGTCCATGGTATTCTGTCTTTCCCCATATTGACGAAAATTTACCCCCTCTCAGGGACTCAATGGACTTGAATATATCCTGGGGGCTTCCGAAGCGAAAGTTCTGCAAAAAGCGAATCAAATCATCCAGAAAAATAAAACCTCCCGAACACGAACTCGGCACGTCAGAGGTGTATATACGCTGCAAAACATCAAAATGGCTCACGCCAAAACTCAGGTGCGTTGATGGAATGGCGAAACTCGGAATTTATCGTGAAAAGTGATCGATGACGCACTCACGAGTCACCTCGATCTTTCAGGGAGATACTCATGGACTCAAACCCAGTGTCAAACAAAATTTCCGAAAATGTCATTCGACGGTCACGTCGCAATTCGCGTCAAGTCTTTCGAAGCTGATGGATACGCTGAACCAAGCTAATCCGTTCTTCGTTCGTTGCATAAAGAGCAACGTCGGAAAGGTGAGCTCCAAGTTTTCCTTTCAAGGTTCGGCTGCTCCGCCCGCCAAGTCGATATCATCCGAAGGCGTCACGAGGAATTTCTTCTTCAGGTACCTTGCATGTTCGACGAGGCGGTGATCCTACAACAATTGCGTTACACGGGCATGCTGGAAACTGTACGAATTCGTCAATCGGGCTACTCTGTCCGGCTCGCCTTCGAAGAATTCATCCAGAGGTCGGTTGCTAGAGAGTAATGCTTCCTCGCGGAGAATATCACACTCCACTTGCTCCTATGCTCTCAATCACCGATCACGCTTTCGTTTAAAGGTATCGGATATTGCTACCAAACGGCCTCCTGAGTTCTCAGCAGGACATTCAAAGCTTCTTAGTCAAAATGCAGCTCGACACTACGAAATATCAAATGGGCCGGAGCAAGGTTAGAGGAGCGACCCGTCTTCCGTATCTTTCTCGCGATTCCATGAATATTTCAATTCCCATCCCCTGCTCCGCAGCGAGGAGAATCTCAAAAGCTCGAGCGTGTCTCAACTCCAGGTGTTCCTGCGAGAGTCCGAGAAGTTGAGGCTCGACGAACAATTGCACCAGCACATACTGCGGCGCATAGTTACCCTTCAGAAGTACATCAGGACATGGCTCTTGCGGAAGCACTTCCGACAGCTCAGATCCTCAATCGTGATCTTCCAGGTGAGGCTCTGGTCGACTATTATCGATCATTTCCGAGCGCTTCTCACGTTCCTCCGTCGTGACTCAGTCACGGCAATCTTTGTACTCACTGCACTCGGGATCTGACCCAATTTCAAAAGGTTCGGGAATATCCAACAGCGGGAGTTGTTCCAGTTTTCTCTCCACCCAATGTTTTCCTTCGTTTGAATTTAAGGCTCACTGTCGAGGTTTTCTGCTCCGACGAGAAGCACATAGAATGCGTACTGAACGAAGAGCCGCCATAGTCATCCAGCATGCCTGGCTAACTTATCAGAGGAATAAAGCGTATTACGCGATTGACAGGGTCATTGTGCACTTCCAGGTAAATGGTTTCAGGAGAATGTACATCCAGAAGAATTATTTAATTGAACTCACCATATGTAGACTGAAAGTATCGATTTGACGAAGCCGGCGACCTATTTCAGGCGGCTTGTCGCGGTCACCTCGCTCGTCTGCGGTACCACAAATGCGTGGCGGCGCAGAAGTTCCACTCAATACTTTCCCAAGGAACCGCGATTGAGCCGTCCAAAACCGCGGTGGTACTTCCTCAACGAAGACATCCGCCTCTTAGGAGGAGCAAGACTAACGATGATCAAGGATCAGAAGCTCCTGCGAGTCTGGAAGCTTCCGCATCAGCGAGGTAGGTTCTCCGACATCGTTCGGCGAAGATTCGGAGTCGCGCCGCCGAGTTTCGGAAGGAATGAGATATTAGCATCGGATCTCGTTTATAGCCATCGACATCTCGAGCTGTCGGGAGCATCGATGCCGGAGATTCGGCCACCTCGCACTGTGAAGAAAAAAGCCCCGCTACGACCGACTCTGAGCGAGAGCACTCTGAGGCAGCCAACTTCGCGTCAGAATGCCTCAGCCAAGCGCGCAAACATCCATCTCCTTCAAAGGGTCAGAGTGCAACCGGGCCAAATTTGTGCTTCCTGCAGCGGACCTGGCTACACTCACATGGGGCAATGCACAAGTGAGGATTAGAACCCGCTGTCGGGAACTAATCGAAGATTATCCTGATTGTACTCCTATCTTCCAATTTATGGTTCTTCTCCCTTTCTCACTGAAGGTTGCAAGAGACTCTTCCATTCGGACTGTCCCGCCGGATCCGTCGCTTGTACGTCATTCTCTCAGAGCATTCCCAAGAAGGAACGTCAAAATCACAGTCCTCGGAGAACGCCCGCTCTGCGAGGGGATCGTATCTACCCTATCCAGGGATCACTACACCAAGAAAGGTCTCATCAATCATGAGGAGCATACTAGAGCTGTCGGTCGCAACGCGGAAAGACTATCGTCGATCGGTCGCTCGTTTCTGATTTCGATATATACTCCTGGTTTCCAGGTTTATGTCCCAACAAAATGCTTCTACTCCGATGTACAATCTACCTCGAGAGACAGCCAGTCCCGCCAAGAGTTGGAATCTCACGAGGACCACACAATTCAAGGACCCTGGCGACATCATTATCTCAGATCCAGCAGTACTGAAGGTGGATATTTCCTTGTGGTGCTGAGACAAGCGGGACCGATTGAAGGCATAGCACAGAATCATTATCTTCCCTTTCTTTCTTTCAGAGTCTGGAAGACTTCTTGCTGCGTAAACTCTGTACGCTGTCTGAGAACAAGTATTCACAAAAGGATTCAGAAGTCGACCGAGTTTTCGCCTTGGCTCTGAAGGAGTTCAAGTGCAATCTCATCTCAACCTACTGCACAGCTCCTCTAGATACTCAGAAGCTCTGTCTACGGTAAGAGAAAGCCTCCGTTGACTCGACTGCAGTAGACATAACCCGTCAGGGAGGAGTCAGTGACCGTTCACACGTAGCATCAACTATGGATCTCAATTCATCTTCCGAATCCACAGATACAAGGACCTCACGGATCACTATGCACAAGTTGTGGCTTCGGTGCTCAAAAACCAAACCGCGGAAACGAAGCACAATTTCCCGACGACGATGGCTGTCAATGCCTTTAGAGGCTTCATCGACGAATTCCGGAATAATCATTGTCGCGCACCTTCGGAGTCGAAAGATGTGAGTACCTGCAACGATTCGCAGATGTCGGGGCTCGCCGTCGTTAAGCTCGGCTTCATTTTTGAAGAAGGTCTCCGAAGCCCTTCCGGATGATCCAGGAGTTTCATATTAGGTTTCATAAACTTCTTCGCGCCATCGCTCTTCGACAGCCTTCCAATGAAGTTCGAACGTTTTCAGTTGAAAGACAAGCCCGTTGACAAGAAGGTCAAGAAGAAAACTGCCAAAAAGCGCAAGGATGTGATCGAGCACCGAGAACATCTGTTCCATACTCAATTAGTTCACATTACGACGACATGTGAAGTCTGCAACAATCCGATAAGGTTAGATGATCCGAATTCCCATGCTACCATGGTGGAGCAACACAAAGCGACGATCGACGAGGCCAGATAGATGAACTCTCGAGCTAAAACATAAGCTCCTTTGAATTCGACAGGTTGATGCTCGAGAAGGGACTGATTTGCTCAGGCTGTAAACTGATGTGCCACAAGAAATGTTACTCACAAATCGTCGCGTCGTGTAAGAATATGATTTACCCTCAACGTCATCATTTCGGTGTGCCTCTAGACATATTGGTCAAGGATTCCGAAGGTCCCGTAAGTATATGGAGCGGCCGGCTCTGTGTGTCCGAATGAGATTTATAGAGGTAACCAATATCGCGCGGATATTCTCGTCTCTGGCGCACGTTGACGGCCGCGAATCCGTTACAGGTGCCAGTCGTGGTGGACATGCTTATCAACCAGATCGAGCTGCGTGGTCTCTACTGCGAGGGTCTTTATCGAAAAGGCGGAAGGAAAGCGGAGATCGATCAATTGAGATTGATCATGGACGAAGATCCCTACAGGTAACGGCACAAGCCGAGAGGGGGAACGGCCGACGGTATTCTCGGAGGGTCATCGTCCGCGGACTCGTGCGGAATTCATGATTCGGAAATATTTTCGGGACCCCAACACGGGACCCAACACGGGTCCAATGACTCGCATACTCGATCTCATTCCGGCAACATCTCATTTATTTTCAGTGTGACCTTGGACAACTACAGCATACATGTCTTGACCTCAGTCCTGAAAGCCTTCTTTCGGGACCTTCCCGAACCGCTCATGACCGCCGACCTATATTCGAATTTCGTATGGGCTGCTTCGATCGCTGATAGACAAGAGCGGCTCCAGGTGAATATCGATTGCTCCGGATAGTGATGGTGAATATATATGTATCCCGGAGAATGCTCATTTATTGACGGTTTCTTTCCCCAAGGCGATTTTCCACCAGTTGACGAAGTTGCCGAGAAGAAACTATGACCTATTCGGCCGCCTTATGTTCCACTTGGCCCGTGTCGCTACACACGAGGAATCGAATCGAATGAAAGCCGAGAATCTGGCTATCGTTTTTACACCGTGTATTTTCCGCACCAATAAGAAAGAAAAAGCTCAGGTGCGTCGCATGAAGATTTTCAAGATCAGTGTTCCCCCTAAAGCCTATCGGGATCCCCGCGAATCGTGAGACCGACTTTGAGCCTCTTGTGATGAGCTCTCGGGGATGATGTCATACTCAAAAGATTTAGGCACCACGGTTCTCTACTGCATCTCTCGATTATTCACCGATATTCTGGATATGATCGAGTATCTAAGTCGGCATTCACGCTTCCTCGCCACTTTTTGGCGTCCTTAATGCTGACAACGCATGGGATCATCGTCCGGAGTCTCTGGGACCCTCTGGGATCCCCGGTTGGGAATTCCTGCTGAAGACTGCCAGATTTCTGCTGGCTCACCCTTAACGACCTTCGAGATTATGGACTGCACTATCAAGTCTGGAAATTCCGTTACAGGATTCATTGAACTCGATATCGAAGCAGACCGAATGTATAACACTGTTGATCGATGATCAATTCCAACGTCTCACGAACACGCTGGCCGAGATCGATACGCTTGATACAGCGTGCCACACCGCATCCACGAGGCTATCTTCGTTGAGGTTCGTGGATCTGATCATTGTGCCACTATTTTATTCTCGGCGCAGGAAATATTGTACAGAATATTTGCTAGAAGGTCTCCTATGTATCATCGAGGAACCACATATTCCCCTCAGATCGTCACGGATGTTCCTCGCCGAGGAGAAAAACCGTACGGGCTCCGAAGATCAATACGAGGAAGTTATTCTCACCAATCATATCCAGAGTCTCCAGAAAGAAAAGTGAGTTTTGGAATCGTCTGCCGAACGACCATTATCGGTCCCTACGTAAAATAACAAAAGTTCTCTAACGATGAGCATCCGTTTTTGTGCAGAGCCCTCCTCACCTCAGACCTGCCCAACCTCCAGCCATCGCAATCGCAGGGTTCTGACGACGACCATCTATCTACGACTGATATTGACGATTCGGCTGCAGGAAGTCTTGACGATTTCCACGATGGCACCGCTCAGGGCGACTCAGCAACCGGTAGGCGGGACAAGGGTGTTAGGCTTGCTGTCAGTTCATGTCGGTTTTTCTACGGGTAGTCCTTCATGCCTTTCAAAAATTTTCCACAGGAGGCGGAGGCAGTGACAAGAATCAGGACGGGTCAGCGAGTTCGGCGAAATGCTCAACGCGGAGTCGAGTATCTACCCCGATCAGACGATTGACGCAGAGCTCCGAAGGCCAAGCTGTTTTCAACCAAGTGAGCAATCCTTGCGTCTCCTTCTTACCATTCGATTCTCAAGGAGCATTCCGAATCACCTATAGGTGCTCAGTAGTTGTGCTTCTTCCAGGGAAGCACTGATCAAACAAGTCCGGGAACAGATGACTCCACGGTTCTCGTCTAGGCAACTTCTACACAAACAACGAATTCCAAGACAATGAAGTGCACGGGTGCATGTGTTACCGAAAAGAAGCTCAAATCCGACTGTGGATACTGAACGCGGGCGGAAGTCTCGCGGACGAGTCCCCCTTACCCGGATATTCATATATGCCATGAATCTTTAATTTATATCGTAACTCCTGGATGCCCAATAAAGTCATCTCCGGAAAGTGAATTCTCGTATTCAGGGTAACAACAAGAACTGGCTTCCCCAGAACCTTATTCGGGAGAGCCTCGAACACAGAGGCGATTGGGACGGCACAGGCGGGATGAGAAGCTCTTCCACTCACCGGGGAATAGCAACTCGAGGGAACGACCGATCTGCGTAGATTTTGGGTTTTCAGATTGATTACCACAAGCTGTGTTCATACGATTCTTAGAAAAACTCAGTGCGAACCCAGAGTGGTAGTCAGCTTTCAAACCCTCGGCGACAACAATTTGGCACGGTCTAAGCACAATTGGTTCGGCGTCCAAGAACTCTCACAACTCGTCCACAGAAAGCTCGTTGTTCGGCTGCGGCAGCAGTCGATTGTGAATCCATGACGGAAGATGGCACTATTTGAAGCGTTTTCTACATGTATGAAAGAGGAGGAATGAAGAGAGAACGCAGTGTCTGTCTCTCGGGGAGTTTCCAAGACATAATGTAGGATCTCAAATCTAGAGATAGAGAACTCTCGATCGAGGAGCCGCAACAAAAGCTGAACAGCGAGTTAGCGTTAGGCTATCACGACGATCGATACGTTCTTTTGGAGCAAAGAGCAAATAGGTTCGATAAATTTTTCTAGAAACAATGGGAAGGATCCGCCCGTCTGCCCGCCCGCCGGCTCGCTCGCCTGCGTACCGGCTTCCCAACCTCCGTTCGGCAATGTTTCTCCTCTACATCGGCAACTTTAGCCCTTGTCAACAGCCGATGAGCCTCTTGACCTAAGACGTCGATCTCTTGTCTCACCGTATTGCTATTCAACGACGCTACTCAACGCAACGATCTCAGTAAACCAGAATCTCCTCTTCGCGTCTGGATTCCGAGCTTGTCTGACTACATATGGAGAAATTTATGGAAGCGAGTCGCCGATGCTTTAACATGCTGTCGAGATTTCGCCGACAGAAGCTACCTAAGTGCGCAGCACGCTTCTTCCGCTCATCGGTGAGGTTCTTCCAGGATGGGGTCTCGGTAGCGGGTATGCGCGCTCAGACCGCGATCGGTCAGAGACGCTAGACTTCATAGCCGGTCAGACAAAGCTTAACGCCCGCACAGTCCTTGCGTTTCCAATCACGATGCCGAACTCGAAGTTTATGGCTCCTCGGCGAATACATGAGTATACGGGCACCGCCGCGCCGCCTGCGCCGGCACCGCCGGGGCTTCCCGATATTCTCCGATGAGACACCGTAAACATTCCAATACAAGCCCGGGCTTCTATAATTCGAGAACCTCCTCGCAGAGGGGCGTCTATTGGAGATGGGCTTCTATCGGAGAGGGGCTTCTATTACAGGGGAGCTTCTCATGATCACACGCGCGATTTTGCAATGACGGCGATTGGGAAAGAGAGACTTCAGAAAGCCGGATTCCTCGAGACATCTGAAAACCGAGGTATGTTCCGGAATAGAGCTTCTCGGGAATCTGATTCGATCCCCCTAAAGGGGCACCTGTCCGAGACCGGCTACTATTGGAGACGGGCTACTATTGGAGACGGGCTTCTATTAGACTCGGGAATCCCGCCGAGGGCCTTCTATGGGAGACAGGCTACTACTGGCGAGGGGCTTGTACTGGAATATTTACGGTAATTTATTCACCGCCGGATTTCGGATTATTATTCCGGTCACTGTGTCGCGGGGAGGCGACTGCCAGGTGTTTGTGAAGCCCCAAGACCTACTCTAGGACGAGTACTCTCCCTCAATCCCCCCTCTTCATCGGAGTCATCGAAATGGTTCTACTCGGTTTTCGAGGAGCCGGACGCAATACAAGTTCTAGGTTTCGTGCACAAAAACTGTTCCTCTTAACTACGATTCGCTTGTATATGCCCGTGGATAGCCGCTATTCTTCTTTCAAACTACGCGCTTCTCCACGCTATCAAGCTAGATTCCTCGGTATCAGAGGATCACCATTGTGAGCGCTAGATCATCGAGGACGTTCTCAACACAAATCTCCAAGGATTTTTGTCGAGCTGCCTCGAATACGCTCGTGATCGATCGACTGCTCCGCCCCTAAGGGTATGTCCTCTCGTCTATGAGAAGCACAATTATTAAAAGACCATTATTCCACTCCTATCATTCATTTCCCTCTTCTTCTCACACATACCTCTACATATATCTCGTTCAGTAGCGCCGAACTGTTAACGACTGGCGGCCAGTCTTCCGAAGTCCGAGCTAGTACTGAGTTTCCGCAAACCCATACGAAACCTATCACATGATTTATGAACAACCACTCTATATCCGGCCGAGAGTCAGGGGGGTTTCCCGATCCCGTCCAATGTCTTGAGTTGTCGACAGGCTTCTCGCTCGATCGGAGGCACACTGATTTCTTTGTCCCGAGCTGGGGGTCGCACCTCTGGTCTTTTGGCTTCAGTTCACTTCACTACATTCCTGACAAAGAGACGCGCTCGTTCCTTGCTCAGGAGAAAAAAAGAGGAGGAAGATCTCACGAAATTGTTCGCCTCTATTGTTTTCAACTTTTCCGCGCCGATCAGGGCCTCGAACCAGCAAAGTACAAACTCCCGTTTCATTGCGAGTCGGATTCTTGACGATCCCAAATCCCGACACGATAGGGATCCGTGCGTCATCTGCGGATGGTTCTTGATCATGGCATGATCATTGCGTGCCAGCGAAATGAAGAGCTCACTCTAACCTCGATACGATGCTTTGTTTCGATTGCGGCTGATCATAGCTCACAGATCACATTCAGATTCGTTGAATTGCCTCTCGAACTGTACTCGTATCCGCGATGTTCTTCTGCATCGCAAAGGAGCGTGACCTAGCATACACTCCCCAACGATAAACGTGGTCACAACAGAAACACGCGATCAACTTCCGAAAGAGAGCGTTCGAATCCGCGATGCATCAATGCTGTCGCGACTTCGTCGGAATGACACGAGCCGCGTTCGATTCCCGAGATTCGTCATACTTGTTATCTAGCTCTTCGCGAGCTATCCGAGAAGGTGCATGAATTACGAATATGTCTGCGGAGATTCCTCCGGAATCAGAGGAGAGCTCTTCGAGCGAAAACAACACTATATACCGAAATAAATCACATCGGCATGTTTCAGTTTTTCTCGAACGACAGATCGGCGTGTGAACTCGTGATCAATCTCTCGAGCGTCATCGTTCTTCATTATTCGAATCCCGCCGTCGCTGAGGCATAAAGATCGGATCAACTCGAATCGACAATGTCAAGCCCGATGTCTAAGAAGAGAACTCCTTTCTCCAAAAGGTCCGTGGGTCATCCGATGCGGCCGAAGAGAATTCAAGTCGCGACTCGACTCATATTCAAAAGATTTTGCCGGCTGTGGATCTAGATCCTGGCCACGCTCGCTTCGATACAGCCGATAGCCGAGCAATCGAGCGTCCCATTATCTGTCATTTGCTTGAATACATTTTAGGTCTGAGCTGCGCAATGCCAAGCGCATGGTTGTCAAGATCGGCACAGCGGTCGTAACTCGTGAAGATGGATGTGGTCTCGCCTTGGGTAGGCTTGCCTCGATCGTGGAACAGGTGTCTCAGCTGCACAACCGAGGGAAGGCAAGCGATGCGAAGTTCCGTCCTGACCAATTCTTTCGATGGCTGTGAATTATTTCGAATTTTGAACCGCCGAAGGAGACCGAAGGAGATTGGATATGATGGTCCGACCCTTCCCGTTCTCGTCGTGAAATATTGTACTGATAGTAGAATAAGTATTATGATGATATAATGTGCTTCACCCTAGGGCCTCCGTGTAGGTTCTCATCGGGAATATCCCCAATACTCCACATAAGCCTCAGTGATGGACATGAGGCTGCGGATTTCATCATGATTTTTTTCAATTCCGAGATGAAGCTGATCTCAAGGCTTGTATTCTAATCTATCTATCGGTCCTCCCGTCAGGAAGTGCTCATGGTGACCTCTGGTGCCGTTGCTTTCGGGAAAGTCAGGCTCTCCAGAGCGGTTCGCTTGTCGATGTCCATGCGGGAAACCTTGTCCTATCGAGAAGCATCGGCTCAAGTCAACACGAAGAAGAGTTCTTTCGGAACCAGGTGAGCGCACAAGACTCTATGCCTATCGTTGAGTTGATGGAGCGCGACCTACGACTCTACTTCGTTGATTCCGACTCTACTTCGCAGTGCCGCTGTAGGACAGAGTGGTCTGATGGCTCTATATGACGCCATGTTCAGTCAGTTTGGTGTTGACATCGCTCAGGTGAGGATTTTGCCCTGTATTCAGATCGGAGATTGATGTATCGACCAGTCGAAACCGCCCAGCTTTTAATTTATTTGGGCTAAATTATTCGTCGTTGGTTGATGACGCGTGATAGATATCCGACAGGTTCTGGTGACCAAACCTGATTTTTATCACCCGGAATCGAGACACTGGCTCCGTCAAACGCTGCTAGAACTGCTCTCGCTCAACATTCTGCCGATCATCAATACAAACGATGCCGTATCTTCGCCGACCACGATCTTCGAGGGACCATCAGACGGGTAAATGGATCTTCGATTAGAATTTCCGCGTCGCGCTAATGAATATGTAGTGACCTCGCATTAGGTATAATGAAGAAACTTTCGAGGGTCATTCTTCGTCTTCAACCAGGTCCCTCATCCAAGCCATAACGGACAACGACTCGCTGGCGGCACATCTGGCGGTCGAAATTGACGCGGACCTTTTCATCGCGATGACTAACGTTGACGGACTGTACACCTTACCTCCGGGTCAGTTCTGGGAGCTAAGTATACGCGTTGTCATCGACACACGGGGAAATAATTTCCTCGTTCCACACGTGATATTTTTTCTTCTAGGCCAAGAGGGTTCGAAACTGCTGCACAGCTTCTCTCCGGGACTCGAAGATCAAGTAGTTTTCGGGGAAAAATCCAGCGTTGGACTCGGTGGCATGAAGAGCAAAATTTCTGCGGCCTCTTGGGCCTTCGAAAGAGGTATGAGCGTACGCGTGGCTCCCTTCGAGTATTCTCTCCCACGTCAGCAGGGTCTCCATAGTATTGAGTCCTTTCAGGTGTCTCCGCTGTCATTTGTAACGCTCTTCGAGAAGGAGCAATCTTGCGGATTATCAATGGGATGAAAGTGGGCACTTTCTTCACAAACCATGAGACAACAATAGAACCTCTCGAGACCTTAGCGTTGAACGCGAAAGAAGGTGAACATCATCTCGTATCTCGAGAAATACCTTAGATATGTTGGGCACCCGCTCTCGCACAAGATCACGATCCGCGAACGATTAGAAGAATCGGAGACCCGATTCCCCAACGCGCCTTAAGACCTGGACGTCTGCAGGGGGCGCCTCCTCATTGGCTTGGAGGAACTTTCCAACGACTCTGATTCGAGAATCTTAAAATACTGGAGGGGTCTGGAGGAGAAAACGGTATCACGAAACATCTCATGGCTCTGTCCCTTTCGCCGCAGGATCGGGAATATTGGAATCCCTCACGGGAAGTCAGCGCGGCGCCATCCTGCGTGTTCTGGCAGATCTGCTCGTAAAGAAATCAGCTGCGATCCTCGCAGCAAATTGCGAAGACATCAAAGAAGCCGCTGCCGCTAAACTCGATGCGTCTCTTCTCAGCAGACTTTGTGAGTTTGGGAATTCTGCGAGCTACCTCGTTACCGTCGGTTGAAGTCGGATAATCATTTTTCTCTGATTCACTCGATTACTCCGATGACGATGATCTTCATCATGGACCCGCTCTTTTCCGCAGCTTTGACTGACGCCAAGCTCGAAGGCCTCGCCTGTGGGATCCGTTCGATCGCACTCCGATGTGAAAAAGAAGACGTTCTCAGACAGGTGATGAGGGATACTTTCGAGGATTTTTGAAGATCTTATCGAGGTCCTTCCTCTGCCTCGTTTTCATGAGATGCTTTTGCCTCTTTAGGTCAAGCGCCGGACGCTCATCGCCGATGGTCTGGAGCTGCAGCAGATAACGGTGCCCATCGGAGTTCTGCTCGTCATCTTCGAGTCTCGCCCTGACTGTTTGCCTCAGGTTAGCGCCCGGAGGAGAGCTGGGAGCGTTTGTCGTATTTGCATATGACAGAGAAATTCATCGCGGATCTGATTTCTACCTAAGCATCATCATTCAGGTCGCTTCCCTCGCCATCGCTACTGGTAACGGACTTCTTCTCAAAGGTGGCAAGGAAGCTCATCGCTCGAATCGTGCTCTCTATGGTTTGGTTCAAGAAGCTCTCGCCACTCACAACGCTGAACGAGCAGTTTCGCTTGTCTCGAGCCGAGAGGATGTCGACGAGATCCTCAGCGTAAGATAATATTTATCGGTCGTATCAGTCTTTCGACGGAGCGTGAATCAGTAGAATTGAAAATCGATATTATAGATGAGGAAGCACATCGACTTGATTATTCCTCGAGGATCGTCGGAGCTGGTGCGCACCATTCAGGAGAAAGCCCAAGGCATTCCCGTTTTGGGACACAGTGAAGGAATCTGTCACGTCTACGTCGACAAGGAGGCTGATCTCGAGATGGCTTACAAAATCGGTGCGTGGAAATCGATTCGCAATTCAGGCTCTCTCGGTGATCTGGACGATAATGAGATGACTTCGTCAAAATCCGAGAGCATCGTCCTGTTAGAGTGTTTCCCGGGGCTCAATGTCGTATAGGGAGTCTCAACTCTGCCGACGAAACATTCCCGGTGTTCCGCGGCTATCTAGAGAGCTCTGGTCTATTTGAACTAAACGCCTGGCAGATTAGCAAGGGAGAAGAATGCCCTATTGATGTATGATTCGGACAAACTGCGGAAGGAGGTTCCACTTCATGACGGAAAAGAAAAAATATCGTCGACCGAAATTATCCATGGGCTCATACGACCCAATTCTCGAATCCGCAGTGCGCGACGCAAAATGCGACTACCCAGCTGCGTGCAACGCCATGGAGACTCTGTTGTTGCATAAAGATCTGATGAAAACGGAATTCTTCAACAAAATGTGTTCTATCTTGAAGAATGAGGGCGTGAGTCTTCCCGAACTGTTGTTCCGCTTCGACGATATTATCGATTCCTTTCTTCTTCGATGGGCTCGACGCTCGGATGAAATAGTGAGCTCAGCACTTATTGTACATCCGATCGAAAGTTCCATACCTTCGACAGGTTGTCGTGAACGCCGGGCCTCGGCTCCATGAACAGTTGACATTCGGACCGCCGGAGGCGCGATCTCTCAAAATGGAATATTCGCGTCTAGAATGTGCCATAGAGGTCGTCGATGATGTTCATCAAGCTGTCAGTCACGTGAACGCGTACGGGAGTGGTCACACCGATGTCATCGTAACGGAGAACGGTGAGTCATTCGTGGAGATCGCCTCCCGCGTGGGTTCTTACGTCACGACGCAAGCTTGCCCTATGATGCTTGAATGACAAGCGTTTCTCCCGAAGGTGAGACCGCCGAAACTTTTTTGAGGTCCGTGCGTTCGGCCTGTGTCTTCCACAACGCGTCGTCGAGGTTCGCTGATGGCTACAGATTCGGGCTGGGAGCAGAGGTAAGACTGAGAGCTTGACGAGGGTCCAGGCTCACGATTAGTTTGGAAGGGTCAGCCTCCCTTGACTTCTGAGCGCATATGCATAATCATCATGTGACCGATTGCTTTGTTCTGGAAGGTCGGAATCTCAACTGCAAGGATACATGCGAGCGGTCCTGTTGGCTTGGAAGGTCTTCTGATCACCAAATGGCAAATCCGAGGTGAGGAGAACCACATGAGCCTAGGCAAAGATCGTTGCGATTTAGCTTCAGTCGATCGGAACGCTACTTGCCATCGCCAAAGTACCTGGTCCACGTGTTGCAGGGAGGGGAGACGCTGTCGCCGACTTCAACAACGGGGAAAGAAAATACTTGCATGAAACATTGCCTGCCAATCCTGCGGAAGACGAGCATTCGAAATAGATGGCGGCCTTAGGCTCGTTTCCTGCACTGCGTGGATCTCTCGTCTCTTCGCTCGACGTCGTAAATCGTTGGGCGGGAAAATCTCCGCCATGGGTCGTGGAGAGAAAGTCACCGGCAACACACGGCCGATGTGTTGAGGCGCATCTGCGAACGGCACCGAAATCTCATCTCACTAGGAAATAAAGAATCTCTACTATCAGCACCGTGTCTTGAGACGAATGCCCGCGGCTGCGCGTAGGAAACGGAAAAAGCCGGACCCCATTTTCCGCTCGCGCTGCAAGAATAGCTCCGACCGCTTTGAACATAGTCCTCGTTGTTGTAAGTCGAGAAGGTCGAGTCGAAGTCTCTTTCGAACGATAGGATTAGGTTGATCCTCTGGCTCTTAGGATGAGAATCCGAGAGCTCACCCTTGCTCAAGCGCATTGTACTTCATTGAGCACTACGACAAGCCTCCATCGACCGCTAAGCGTGATCCTCCTCGGATTGAGTCATGTTCGGAAAGTTTGTTTCGGGACGTTCACTACTCGATCATGATACGGTGATTCGGAGAAATACCCGGGTATCACCGGACTCATCGAGGAGCGGAAGCTCGTAAATACGTTGGCGTCGCATTGCCGTGTAGCGTGGATACTCCATGTCTTCGAATCCATCTCGCTTGGAAAATCGCGATCCTCGTAAACTTGGTCCCCGATCCTCCATTCTCGGCCGTATTCGAGGGGGGGGGGGTCGAGGATCACGGTGGGTACTGTTCCCCAGGGTCCCGACATCCAAGGGAGACCAGATTCTCCCCATTTCAACGGCCCTCGTCGTTCCAACACGCCGCCCGAACCGACTTGTCGAAATGACGGAGAGCTCGCGCGCAGGGAGGTCTGTCTGTTTTTTGAGCGAAGAAAGTGTCGGGTCACGTAATGCTCTTCTATTTCCAGTGGGTCACTAATCTCGATTCCTGATAAGAATCTATTTTGAGGAGAAGGGACTGACTTCAACATTTGACTTAAACATTTGAACCCCAGTGAAAAAGAACAGAAACACCTGCAAGTATCACCGACGCAAATATCGCCGTATCACGGATCGCTCATAGGGGTGACTACTGACTGAGGAAGTCCCTCTCGGTAAATCAGTCTTCTACCTCCGTGGAATCTCCGACGATTGAAGATAGAGAATGGAATAAAAACACAGCGCAGCGTTGGCCCGCACGAGAGAACGCAGCCATTGACAACCGGAGAGAAGGTGGCTAAAAGACGTGAAAATATTCAGCCTTTACATCATTTACCAGTTCTTTGAAGCGTGACGAAGTGGTGTCTCTCGCGCCATACTCCAAAGCGTGAGTAAATCTTCGAAAACTAGGGAATTCTGAGCGTCTCCGATGGGGAAAAAATGCCTCCCAGGAGAGGCGCAGAGTCCCGGCGCGATACTCAGGGGGAAGTTTCGGGTCTCTCCCTTGGCAGAATAATTCCGTGGGGAACGGACACGCCAAGCGGGTCGAGTCTTTGCCCTCAAGCCGCGGAGTCCCTCCGAATTCGAAGATATCCGAGAAAAATTTTCCGTGCTTCGGGTAACTCCAGTGGAAAAAAGACACACCGTCGCTAATCCTCCACTCAATCCCACGGCGGGCTAACCGGGGAACGAGGACCGTTAGTTCTCGCTTCATGGTCCTCATCGGCGATTAAGTGATACGACGTACCGTTTTATGATTCGTCAAAGAAAAACTCCGATGAGAAATTTCGTGGAAAATCGATGGGGATGTTTATCATGTGAAAAAAATCCCGGAATCTAAGCTGCACAGCAGAGCGACGTCATTGTAGGGACTGTAAGAGCCGATTCCCAATGGCCGTTCTCGTTTCGATCTCGATATTCGACTAGGCATCTTCCGTCCCCAATCCGATGCGGCGAAACTGCGCCGAATTCGGTACGGTCCATAAAGGTGAAGGTACACTTCTCGCGGCACACATCCGGGAGATTAGCTTCATTGTCGTCTGTAGTCCAAAGAAGATGCGTCCGAAACGCCTCAGGGAATAGGATTCGAGGAAGCTGTATCTAGGTTACGTTAATCTTGCGCGTCAAGGAGCGCTTCATCCGTATCGCCGGCAAGGTGATCCTCGCATGTGTCGAAAGCTCGATACCGAATGAACTTTTCCGTGAAAATAGTCTGAGGATCAGGCGTTTTCCGGAAGCTACCTTATTACACGGCCATTCGCTACGATTATGCCGAAGGCGGGTCCTTATTGTCGGCTTTCGGGAATACATTGCGGAACAATCCGGTTAAACGGGCTCATGCTGGCACTGGGTAGTTGCCCACGTACTTCGCGGAGAAATATCGGTGGAACTCCGAAGATGAGCCCGATACGCCCTAGAGCAGTGTTTCCCAAGTATGGGCAAGTGACCCACAAGTGGGTCACGGCGATTTCCCAAGTGGGTCACGGGACTTCCGGACTCTTTCATACTATCGATTCAAGACTCATCGCGAGATGCACCGGGAGCTGAATTCGGGCGGGGACTTCTCCGTCCGAGAATCCGTGGATAAGAGGATGCTTTTATGCTTCTTTCTCGTCCATACGATTAGTGTTGACATGAGTGTGGAGCATGAGTGTGTTTTGTCGTGGGCCATGGGGTCTTTGTCGAGTCCAGATGTGGGTCATTGGGGAAAACTCTTGGGAAACACTGCCCTAGAGAGTCCCGGAGCCATCCGAAGCATCCAGATTCGCTCTTCTGGAGTATTGAGGCATCGTGAGAGAACACTAGAGTCGGAACCGAAAATCTAACGTTCCCATCACCCGCAGAATGCTCCGCTTCAGAACCGCGACGTCATCGCTCAGAGGGGGTCGCGTAGTTTTGAGGCAATGCCGCTCCATACAGTCTGGGAAAGGTCTCGCAGGAAAAATAGATAAACTCAATCGAGAATTGCATGTGATCGGGCGCACAGACAGCAAAGCAGCATTCGCTCACAGGTCAGCCCGAGGGAGGAATTTAATAATTATCCGGGTTCCTTACATCATCGTGGACGATGAGTATCCTGATGATTTCTCGCTGCTTATATCTACCGGAGAGGTCGACTGATCTTACGATTTGTCTTCCGAGTCAGAAAACTTCGCATTGATCAGAATCGGCGCACAGCGAGAGCGCAGAACAGGATCACCGGATGTCCATCATCCCTTTCAGGAGCGAACTCAACAATGCAAGGAGGATAGTTGTCAAGCTGGGCTCGGCTGTACTCACTCGCCAGGACAACTGCGGCCTCGCTCTGGGTAGAGTCGCTTCGATAGTCGAGCAAGTTTCGCAGCTGCACAACAACGGCAAAGTGAGTCAAAAGTCGAGCCGCGATTTCCTCTTTCTTCCGCACGAGAACCAGAGCACGGGGAGGCATTGAAAATCGTTCGAGTTATCTTCACTCAGCGCTGTGAATTCCTTGACAGGAGATGCTCCTGGTGACATCTGGTGCCGTGGCTTTCGGGAAGCTGACGCTTTCCCAAGCTTTGCGCCTATCGATGTCCATGAGGGAGACTCTGATCATGAAGTCTGGCCCTCCCCTGGAAACGGCAAAAAGCTCGGTGGGGACGAGCGCCGCCGTCGGTCAGAGTGGTCTCATGGCGCTATACGATGCGATGTTCAACCAGTTTGGCGTCAAAATAGCACAGGTATTGAGAAGTGTCATTGAATGCCCCGCGCAGATCTTCGCATCCGTTGCTACGCTGGCAATGTGGGCTCCCGCATCCTGGAAAATCAGAATATTCTTGCAGGTACTGGTGACGAAACCCGATTTCTACAACCCCGAGTCGAGGAGTTGGCTGCGGCAAACGCTCCTAGAGCTTATATCCCTAAACATTCTGCCCATAATCAACACTAACGATGCCGTGTCTTCGCCCACTTCTCAATTCGAAGCCTGTGTCGATGGGTGAGCTCCCATCCCGCTCTCTCCTGGAACTTTGTCGAGTTTGTGGAATTTCTGTGGGTAAGGGAGGGGGGTTGTTCAAAATTCATGCGTCACTCCATTCCCCTTCAGCTCTCAGATCCAACTCATTTCGGACAACGATGCTCTTGCTGCACACTTGGCAGCGGAAGCGGGAGCTGATTTGATGATAATGATGTCCAACGTCGATGGAGTTTATACTCTGCCACCAGGTAAGCAGCGGAAAATTTGTGCAATCCCCTTGATAGAGATGGAAAACATCGCGCCCGAGATTGCTCAATATCCTTTCAGGTCAAGACGGCTCCTCACTATTACATACATTCTCTCCGAGTACGAGGGATCGGATCGTTATCGGGGAAAAGTCGAATGTCGGACTCGGAGGAATGGATAGCAAGATCGGGGCTGCGACATGGGCGGTGGATAGAGGTGAGTGGGAGAGAGCTACAACGCTTCGCAAGAAACTCCTGAAAGAAGTTTCCGCGCTCATTCTCAAGGGGCTCCTTGATCTTAGGCGTCTCCGCCGTCATCTGTAACGGCTTCAAAGACGGCGCGATCACGCGCATCGTGAAAGGGGAAAAAGTGGGAACTTTCTTCACCCAGCATGAAACATCTTCGACGTCTCTCGAAAATCTGTCGATAAGCGCCAAGAACGGTGAGAACCACACACTCGACCACTACCGTCCAGAGTAAAGTCCAGGGTTGGGAGGAGCGGTAATCTGGCTGCTGCTGAGCACGTATGTAGTTTAGTGTCTCAGAGCCATGCAGTATGGATTTTTCGCAGGGTCCAGGGCTCTGGAATCGCTGAGCGGATCTGAACGGGGAGCGATTCTGCGGAAACTCGCGGATCTGCTGTTGGAGAAGTCTGACATGTTGCTTGAAGCGAATGCAAAAGATCTTCAAGCGGCAGAGGCCTGTGGGCTCGAGGAGTCCTTGCTCAGCAGACTCTGTAAGTTGATAATGTCTCGTAACACCGATTACCACGACTCTCGTGCCGCTCTTTGCATGGATACCTTGATGACCTGATTGGGACTCTCCGTGCTCACAGCCTTGGATCGGACGAAACTGGCGAGTCTCGGGGATGGCATCCGCTCGATAGCTGAGAAATGTGAGGGCGACGATATTCTGGGCAAGGTGCGCTTGATCGAATCAAAAGGATCTGAAAAAGCCCAGGATGATTCCCCCGGCTGGAATATGAGACAGAGTGATAGGAGTTCCACAGAGGACGCTTCAAATTTCCAGGTAAACATCCGAACGTTAATCGCGGATGGAATCGAGCTACAACAGATCACGGTACCGATTGGTGTCCTGTTGGTAATTTTCGAATCGCGACCGGATTGCTTACCGCAGGTTTGTCCCGCAGGAGAGCAGAGGGCATTTTTCGCAATCATTTGCAGGAAAGCCTCGTCGATTAAGTCGGGGCAATACCTTCAGAACCTCGGTGCATTTCGCGATGATTCATTTCTCGGTTCCAGGTCGCCTCCCTCGCCATCGCTACTGGAAACGGACTCCTTCTGAAAGGAGGCAAAGAAGCCTTCCACTCAAACCGAGCTCTGTTTTACCTGGTCCGGGAAGCGCTGGGCCAATACAATGTTCAACAAGCGATTTCGCTCATTTCCACTCGAGAAGATGTCGATGAGATCCTGAATGTAAGTGTTCAGGATTTTGTGCTATGCTCGCCCTAGCTCCGATGGATTCCTGGGAGCTTCTCAAAAATTCACCAGAGTTTCTTTGGTGCCCCTGAAAGGTGGGCAAACACATTGACCTCATCATTCCACGCGGATCTGCAGACCTGGTTCGAACGATTCAACAAAAATCCAAGGGAATTCCTGTTCTCGGCCATAGCGAGGGAGTTTGTCACGTCTATGTCGACAAAGATGCTGATTTCGAGAGCGCCTATGATATCGGTAAAACAACATTGAAATTCTGAATGATGAGTCTCCGACGGAGGGAACTACATATAGGCAAAAGGTCGGACTTGCCTCGCGAATTCTTCCATCCCTTCTTGCAGTACGTGACGCGAAATGCGACTATCCCGCTGCTTGCAACGCGATGGAGACCTTACTGCTGCATCAGGACTTGATCGAATCGGACTTCTTCTCGACAATGTGTTCTATTCTCCGCAAGGAAGGCGTGAGTCGTCGATGAGAATGTGACACGGGATGAGCTCAGAATACGCTGCTCCTGAAGATTCCAGCTGAACTGGACTTTCCATCCGTTATAGGTCACCGTGAACGCGGGACCCCGACTGTCTCAGCGTCTGACTTTCGGTCCCCCAGCGACGCAGTCTCTCAGAACGGAATATTCGCGTCTTGAATGCGCAATCGAGGTTGTAGACGACGTGAAGCAAGCCATAACGCACATCAATACTTATGGGAGCGGCCACACTGACGTGATTGTCACGGAAAACGGTGGGTTCATCTCGCCCGCTCGCTCACTCGTTCGAGTGGGCCTCGAGTCGCTGCAGCCAATAAGGGACCCTACGAATCTCACTCGCTAGACGATGGCTTCTCCATTCACAGTCGCAGCCGCTGAGGACTTCTTGAGATCTGTCGATTCTGCCTGCGTATTCCACAATGCTTCGACGCGTTTCGCAGACGGTTATAGATTCGGATTGGGAGCTGAGGTGAGAATTCTTCCGACCGAGAAACCGAATGAGACTCGGCGAATCAGATTCTCAGAACGGTCCCGAGATTCCCCATGCAGGGATCAGGGATCAAGGGCTGACCGCTGGTACAAGGTATGAAGTCTGAAAACTCTCCTTTCTCCAGGTCGGAATCTCCACCGGCAGAATACATGCTCGAGGACCAGTTGGTTTGGAAGGTCTGCTGACGACCAAGTGGCAAATTCGAGGTGAGTGGGGTATCGAATCGATTCGGTTTGAATGTGGAAGTGATAGAAACGAAAAAAAAACGAATTCTCTTGAATTGCGACATCGGTTTCCAGGGAGCGGGGATACCGTTGCGGACTTCAGTAAAGGCAAGCGGAAGTATAAACACGAAGCATTGCCGGTCAGCCCCGACAGTGACGAATTTCGTCGGGCTTCAGCGATCTCCGCCGACGATTCCTAGCTTATCCCCGATTCCTGGCTAATAAGAGTTCCGTACGCTGTATATCTTGGGCGATTTAAGAATTTCCCCCTTCAAGGGGGAAATTCGACACGGGTTTCGGGAGAGGTGGAGCGATTCAGGAGATATCGCTATCCCCAAGGAGCCACGCCCCTGCAAACGCATACCCCTCCGCGAATTTCTGCTGTGCAACCAGGGGCTGCTCGCTGGAATATGGAGAATCATTTTCTCTGAATCGTCCTGTCCAATAAATATGCTCCCGAATCATGTGAGTGAGTGTTGGTGATATTCGGGATTATCTGCCAGGAAGTCGCGTCATCGACTCGTAGTTATACTCGCCGACTGGAATACGAGCTCGGCTCGGGAAATTCCTACTGCGCATCAAAAGAACTTCTTGTTCAGCATATTCCGTCGACTCGACCTCGAACCTGTTGATGAATACATCCTGCCTGCAGCCGTGTATCGACGCATTCATTTATTAATCAATGATGTCAATGAAATCTTACAACTATCTCTCCTCGAAACATATCACTCGACTAGGACGATACCCTTCCTGCAACTATCGGTGTAAGACTTCACGACGTCCCTATCTTGAGCAGCGGTCCTTCAAGATGCATTGCCAAGGCATGAGCTTTGGCCCGAATCAATCCGGTGTCCATGTTGCTCCGCGCGCATAAACAAAGCAGGAGACGGGCCACAGGCATTATCAGGACGCAGCCCTCCTGAAACAAGTCACGTTAGGGTATATTCCAAGTTAATCTCGATGATACACGATGGGGAAACTCTTTAAGAGGAAAAATTGCCGTGGAAACTCGCTCAAGTCCGAAAAATTCGATCACTACCATCCTACCTCGAGCTCAATGATCACTTGGCGAACTTTGTCGTCATGGAGACCTCCTTTGCCTTCCTGCTCATGTAAATTCCAGACAGAACTGACCTGGAAACGGCCAGGTATTTTAGTTGGGAAGAAGACGTAGAATCGGAGCTCAGCTTCTTTCGCCTTCAGGTCGACAACTCACCAAAGCTGCTGTCGTTTTCGCCTCGTGTTCGCCGTAACCAGCGTAAGCCAAGAGAACACCATCGGAATTGAGAAGTCTGTGGAGAGTTTAGAGCGGCGTTCAGGATCTTTCACGGGGGGTGATTCGAATGAATGAAAAGGTTACAGGACTATTTTCGGCTGATCTTACTCACAGCGTACTCTGAATGCCCCCTGTATTTGCCTGGGTCAGAACTTTCACGAGCGCTTGACTTCGTAGCATCGCCATTATTGCGCTGAGGTTCTTGGAACTGTTCTCATCAACTGAGAAGGACGGTTTGCGAGGTTAGAGAACGTCCTACCACCGGCGAAACCGAGTGACAGGAGCCGATGCTGTCGCTGCCGCTGCTCAGCTGATCGAAGATGGATGGATTGTTGGCGTCGAGCCGAGCTCTCCTTCCCGAGGGCTCGGCATGACGCTTTTTTCTCTCGGCGCTGTACTCAGGGCGTCTTTTTCCGCCAATGAAAAAGCCGAAAATACTGTCGGCCCCGGAAATACTCGCTCATCTTGAGCGCCCGAATCTTCCCCGGTAGAAAAAAATTAATCACTTATAGCTCCGCTCCTGATAAGTCGCTCCTTCTCCATGCTGTTCTCTGGCCCAACGTCGATAGAAATTTGATATTTGACGGATTCGCGGATAGCCGGACTCGGTGTCTGATAGCTAGGAAGAGCTTAGTCTGCCAAATGGAAGAGACGCCATCGAGAGGACCAGGTCTTCAAGAAGATGCCAAATCCTATGCCGTCGAGCTCCCGAGCAGTGGGGAACGCTGGGGGGAGACAGAGAGAGTACTACCGATCGAAGGAAGACTCCGCATCGACTTCTTCGAGGCGGTCAGACGGGAGGGAACAGACGACCTTCGACACCCAATAGCAGTCCAGCCCCGAGTAACGGACTCGTTCCCGCAGATCGTTCGTGAGTCGAGACTCGAGACTGATATCCAATCACGAGCTCATGCAAATGAGCGCCGAGTTTTCGAGCGGGATAGTCTTGCATAGCACAAGCAAAGCACAGAGAAAAGCAAAGTACTATTTCAGTACAGGAGCAGGGCACATGAGAGTCATGTGTTCCTCGAGAGAGATGTCTTGTTCGAAAGGAAAGATTAAATTCGAAGAGTCATAACGGTCGAATAAGATGCCGGTGACGAGGACTATTATTAGGTTCATCGAGGAGAATTGATCATTGCCATTCGTTCTTGTCTGGAAGCTCAGCAAGATTCTCAGAGACTAAGCTCCGTCGAGTCCAGGTACCGAGCAGCTTCGCGATCGAATCAAGGATCTCCGCCGAGCAGACTCGATCCGAGGACTATGGAGAAATGAGAACGAATAGAAGGGATCATGGTTCAGACTTCAGACAGTAATATTCTATTACCTCTTCGGCGAGAGGTTACGCAGTCGTCAGATCTGAACTCTATCCGATCTCCAAAATTCGAATCCTCCCAACGTCTTGAGAGGATTCGTTGGCTGGGATAATTGGATGCATGGAGCCTCTGAAGCTTCAACCAGCATCTATTCGGGGTCATTGCTGCCGTGACGATTCCGTCAATGAATGCGGTGCCAGCAAGCGCGCGCTTCGATGCAAAAATCCGAAGTCGAAGCCTATCCGGAGTCAACGTCCTCAACTTCAATCAGATTATAAATACGACGCATTTTCTGGAATCCGCCGATAGCCGCATCACAGTTCAGAATGTATTCAGTGCATCTATGCGCCGAGATTACGGGAGTGATACCGTTAACGTTGCGGCGCACACGAGGACTCGGCTGGACCGAGAACAAATTGAATCGTCTCGCGTCCGATCGTGCCCATGTGTGAGGTAATTTTTCGGGTTCCCTCTAACGGGAGGTCCGACGTGGAGAAGTTCTCACCAGGATAGCGCGAGCGGAATTCACTGAGTGGAAAAATGAAGGGATGATCGCATGCCCGGCACTTCCTCATCTCCACCGATGTGGATTCCCATGGGATAATTCTCGAACTTAGTTGGAGGATAGAAACCTTCAGGGTTCGATCCGAACGGAATGCCGGGTGCATGGTTCAGCCCGCAGATTTCTTGAGGATGCCTTTTCTGATTCCGTTTAGATGCCCAGATTGGGAATGGGATCTCTTGATCCGATCGTTAGCTTCTCCATTTGAACCGATGCGGACGAACCCACACAATGGAAAGACTTGGGTTGTTTCCGTTCGTATTCGGGAATGTCGGATGAGAAAAGATATACTAAACGGCACATTGACATTGACTGTTGGAGCCCGGGTCCTGTGGTAGATGAAGCCAGTTTTCGGAGGAAAGGGATCTATAAAAGGGACGGAATCTCGTCACCGGGGATTTGTTCCGCTGCCATGATGCTGGTTCGAGGAGTGGTATTTGGGGCTGTGTTTGTGGTCGCCAATGGGCAAGGTATGTCAACAAGAATTTCTGACGATCTCCATGACGGTGTGTTGAAATATCTAATATTTTCGCGACCAGACTTCTCCTATAGTGAAGTGAACCTCCCCAATGATCTGACACGTGATCGTGTGTATCATGGGGAATCCGGGAGGGGGGCTGGGCGGAGATGATGCTCTTCGAAGAAGTGCTCAAGAATTCCATCGTCCAATATTCAACCGATGCATCGAGAATTAAATCGAAAATTTCATTGGCCATTCCAGGACAGTGCGGACAGAGCTTGTACAGTGATCACGAAAATGAAAGGATTGTTGGAGGGCAAGAAGCGAACGCCGGAGAATGGCCGTGGCAGGTGAAGAACATTTCATGTATCTGTAGCATGTCTCTCGTCCGGATATGTCCGCTCAAGTTGGTGACATATCTCAATTTCACAGGTTTCTCTGAGACGATTGGGTCGGGATGGCAGAACTCGACATTTTTGCGGTGGTGCCCTCTTGTCGGATAAGTGGATGGCCACCGCTGCTCACTGCGTTGTCAAGTTAGTAGCGCCCGATGTGAATTATCGCCCTTCTTACAGGATCGCCAGATTTTTCATGTGATCCGATACTTTCATCGCTCAGCTCTCTTCACGAGTCCTTCTTTACTTCAGCAACTACGGTGCAGTCGTTTCCCCGGCATCCACAATAAAAGTCCGAGTCGGTGAACACGACCAAAATGTTTTAGAAAATCAAGAAATTCAAGTAGACGCCGGAAAAATCTTCAAATACCCGAGTTACCAAGGGTACAATTACGACATTGCACTCATCAAGCTGTCCAAACGGGTAAGAATCTCCTACATGGAATCATCGGGTCGCGAATAACTCTTTCACCTCCAAGATTGGATCATTCTCTGATTCCTAGGTGCGATTATCGCCGAGAGTCCGCCCTATCTGCCTCCCGAGTCCCAATGACAATTTCGAGAACAGTAATTGTGTGTCGACGGGATGGGGAGCTACAACTTCCGGGGGAGGGGCACCATCTTCGAACCTGCGAAAGGTGAGACTTTTCTTCTTGAGATTGGAATTCGAATAACGGATCCCCACGTGCAGAAGAATCTTTGATCCGAGCTTCAGCTGAGCATTCTTTCTCCAAAAAAGGTGTCTGTCCCCGTGTACAATAATAATGTGTGTGCCGCCCCGTACCTCAACAAGTTCAGAATCACAATTCAACCTTGGCATCTCTGCGCGGGAGCTCTTGACGGCGGCCGAGGATCTTGTTATGTGAGTCCCGCACCGTCAGGATGTTGACTTCTTGAGCTTGCCGATAATTTATCTGCTCCGATCGGCGGGCCGTGTCCTCAATACGTAATCGATATCTTTCCAGGGCGACTCCGGAGGACCCTTCCAGTGTCGCAAAGCCGACGGTCAGTGGTATCTTGCTGGTCTGGTATCTTTCGGTTCGGGTTGCGCTCACAAGGGATATCCAGATGTATACGCGAGAGTGACCCACTTCTTGGATTGGATTCAGGCCACCATGGCACAGAACTGACGTATTTAATGAAACCTCCGAAAGCTGTGAGCGGAAACTCTGAATCTATAAATAAAAGTGGTCCGTGCACCGTCTTCATGCGTCGTCATGCTGATCACTACAGATGCGGAAGACCACATCTTCGAGAGTCTGGCAGTTTGGGAAGATCTGCCGATGGAATCCCTAAGCTTGAGACGCACGAAGCGCATCCTCATCCAGAAATCATCGCTTCGAGATGTTTCCGCTGATCTCTACCGCCCGGAGTCCACGCGCTCTACCGTATTGCCCTATAATACTGAATCGAGAGCTATAAACCTGGGATTCCGAGCGCGATCAAAGCTCATGAATCAGCGATGATCAATTTTTACGACTCTCAGAGCAGTCGGAGAATAGTGAATTGAATTCTTCAGATGTCGGAGTGCCTTCCAACAAAGTTTATTGAAACTTCCTGATCCTGGCCTCCTCCGTTCTAGGACAAGGCTCGCTTTACCAGGTAATAACACAGCTCGTCCTTCCTCAACGTTGTTGCAGCGGTCCCGGAGATTAGTTACCCGAAGAGACTTCATGCCAAGCGCGACTCCTCTGGGAAACTCCACCCGATTTGTTCAGCTCTTATAGATACACAATGATGATCGACATGATTCGCTCATGTCTCTCACCCCTCCAACATTCATGACAAGGCGTACCGAGCTTGAATTCTTGACGCGAGTGAAACAATAGATGCTTTCGTGGATTCTCTAACCATAGATCCACCAGAACAAACGCCCACCATGTGGTCTCACCATCGACCAGGTTCCACAGGTTGCTGCGCTCTGATATTATATTACACAAGCATGTTATATTACTCCTAATAATGAATCGATCGCATTGTATTTGAAACCTATGAGCTCCCCAATTTTTCTTAAATAATTCGGTAACTAACGAGTAGCTCCACCAATCCTCGGACGGCTCCGGAGAACTCCGTCTCATCAGCTGAACTGAACTTGCCTGACTGGCCGCTCGCGACTTCCTTCAATCCTGAACTTCCGGGCGGTGCGGCAGCTCGAATAAGGTGACTCCACACGGAGGAGAAAGGCACAAAAACTTTCGCCGTCAGAAATTGAGCCGAAGGGATGGCTCGCGCTAGGGCCTCGAAACCTAATCTAGTAGAATTGGTTCCGGCTACTGTGTGCGCTGTTCGCTTCGTCCGCGTGGTAGATCACAGAACTCGTTCCTCCATGATTTATATGAATTTGGTGGGCGCAGATTGCGCTACGGCTGGTTTTCTGACTCATATATCGCTTGGAAAGTCCTTGCGCCCCCCACCGGCGGCTTGTCCAGCGCGGAGTTCCGCTCCTTCTCGAGCGTTGTTGTCGTCGTCGCCATCAGCTTTCGAGGTATGCCGTATTTCTCCCTCAATCTCTCCTCTCCGTGCCGGAAACTCATTGATTGACGTCACATTCTTGAGGCTGAAGAAGAACGGCACTTTCATCCAGAGTCACGTTGAACAAGAGAGCGTTTTCATTTGAATCCACAGGCGCGGCGTTCTCCGCGTTCATCATTGGACTTATGGGTAAGATATGACAAACTGAAGGCACCGGCGGGGATAGAAGCGTGGCACCTGGAAGAGAGCAGCATGTCTAGAAGACCATCTGCGAAGCATCGCATCCGAGATAAGAAGCCAATCAGTCAATCAATCAATCAATCAATCAATCAGTTCAAGGAGAAACGAACCATTAGCAGTCCTCGCCGCCGCTTGGGCACTTATCACAGTGGCTGCAGAGGCAGAATTGTTCAAAGCCGAATGGGAATTATCCAGCGTCGCATTGGATGTTTGTAAAACCCCGCATGGTATGCCTTCCAATGACATGGGGGTCATTCCATAGGGCGACACAACCAGAGTTGATCCTCCTAGAATGAACTCCTTGAATTCGTACAAAGGAAACTTTTCGAAGAATTGGAATGAGCTTGACGGATCTCGACGAGTGCCGATCTCACCTTGACTCTGATTCAGATCGCGATTCGGGCCCGTTGTGAGCGTGGGAAGCTGTTGCAGGTGCGACGAGTCGAGTCCCATGATCCCCATGCTGACCGAAGATCCCATGCTGACCCCGAGCACGATAGAGGCCGGGCTGATCGAATCAATCATATGGGGATACGGGAACAGTTGCGTGGTCGATAGAAGGCCCTGGAGAGGAGATTTCTGCGTTAAGAACCAGCTCATTTCGCCGGAGGCGATGTCTGAATGGCCGGATACACGGCGGACATCGACGGGGATTCCCCACCGGAGCGTTGTTGATGCTGTTCACAGTGTTCAAGTCGACCGCGGATAGCTGCCCAGTAGCCCCATTCAGGATTAATTCCGGCTGTTGGGGGCTGAGGAGCGGGTTTTGGACAGAGCCGGAGCTGTTCAAGATGATCGGTCGAGTAGGGGTCGGCGAGCAATACACCTGCAGCACAGAAGCAGTCGTGATGAGTCCGTTTCCCCTGTGCCGAGAATCCTCGATACACCTCGGTCATCGCATATCGAGACAGCGGAATCGTCAGGATCATTGCTCGTCCACCCACGAGGGAAGCTATGTATACGAGCTCAGACGGATTATAATTCATTTAGCTAATTGTAAGTAGGAAGAACACTGAGACTCGATCCACGACTGGTTTCTTCACGAACGTCGTCACTGAATAGCGTAAGAGCTCGGCTCCATAAGTAGTTAGAGCGGTCGTAGCTGGAGCACCGCAGATTCGGCATATCAGACCTGTAGTGGTTGTTGATATAGATGCGGAGTTTCGACCGTGGTGACAAACAGGGGCTGCTGTTTGTTCAGTCCAGAAATGTTGTTCTGCAAGAATCGATGAAGCGGACTTGGTTTTAGTGGACTATGGTGGCGCTCCAAATGGTTATGACAAGTAAATCGGCGGGAGCGAGCCTCGGCGGGATCGGGCGGTATGAATCCGCTGCTTCGAGGGAAGAGCTCTCCATTGAATCCTAGCTCACGATTGATAGGACCTCTCGCGCTTACGTCATTAACGAGGTGTTCATTCCGATTCCCAGAGAACTCGAGATGCGTCTGCTGCTGGGTGGTCGGTAGCTGTGGAGAGTGTCGCTGGAGGAAATCTTGTTGATGATTTGTACAGGCACTTGTTGTCGCGAGAGGGGTTTTGCTATCGGCCGCCCCATTTTGCGCGAGGGGCGGAGATAATGCTGTCTCCAGCGAGGTCTTGCAAGCAGGCAGCAATGTAGCCGATGGTGAGAATCGATACACCTGTGAAGGTTTAAACTCTCAGATGCCATTCCGAGAGCGAAACGGCTAGCGATAGAAACACCTTAATCGGACATTCTGTCATCGTTCAAACTCGTTGACACACCTCTTGATCATTATTCTGCGAAGCGTCCGCTTTCTTCGTCAGCAATCGTGTCGTGAGCAGGGCGTTCTGCGAATCTCTCGACACCTTCATTTTCTTCTGGCTCGCTTCTCCTCGGCGAGTCACCGGACTTACTACAGCTAAGGAGACGAGAATCTTAATGTCATTGCAATCTCAGGGAGGATTCGCGTCTCTGTCTTCGGTGTTGCCCGAAAGGGGCGAGAACAATTTTCGCCCCTATAGAGAGCCATGAAAGGCGGAGAACGGTTTGGTGTGATTGAGACTGAGGCGGGGTATGGGATAATAGTTTTTCCAAAGTACTATGCTACGTGGGGGTAGCCCCACGGAAGAATAGGCTGATAGATTTACCTCGCTTGTTTCCTGAGCTGAAGTCGAACCATTGATCAACAATCAAGGGGCAAGGGAGATTGCACTTACAAGTTACATCAGATAAGAGAAAATCTCTGGGGAAGAAGAGGAGAACTTATAGAACCTCGAGAAACGACGGCAATTAGCTGCGTTTAGGAGACCCGGACCTACCTCAGCTGCGTGAGGTTACATATTTCGTGACCTAATGGCGTAGTATATACAGCTTTCCCCTGAGTGATGGTCCGCGTCCAGTTTGGCGGACATGGTGGTCCCGGAGAGCCGCCGACAAGTTCTTGCGACATGAGCTCGGTTCACCACCGATTCTCTCTGAGAGAACAAGCTGTAACGGAGTTCGTATGTGAATGAACTTCTCTCCGAGTAGTCGACCCCAACAGGAATCACCACGCGCGGTGCCGCTGGAAATTCGGACAGGCAGGAACATACAAGGAAATAATCAGTCCAGGATTCACGCCGCGCCGCAATAATGAACCAATACCGATCGGGATCCATGATCTCCCAACCCCGCTTTCCGGCCGGCCTCAATCCCCTCATCGGAAAAGGCCTATTGTTCCCGGGGTCATTCGCGGAAGTCACGTCAGTCAACCCTCAAAGTTTGCCATTGGAGGATCACCAATGAATGGAGCGGAAATCCGGACCCTCGGATGATCCGATTCCATCCGCGGGACCTTCGTAGTCGGGCGGAAAACGGTGAGTATCCTTGGCCTCCGGAAACGTATTGGACGCGCGATTGTCAGGGAGGGGATCTCGGGGAATCATGAGCGGACCATATGGCAGAGCGGCATTGATCAGAAAAAAGAATAGACCATGAAACGGAACGGGAGGTCCTAATCCGAAAAACGGTGATACAGAAGAGTGGAACACGAGTTCGAAGAGAAAAGAAATCGAGCCTCGGCTACTCATAGAACGGAAGCTCTCACCCACACCCTGGCTCATGGGGATGAAATAGCTCTCGATATTCGTTCGAAATAGTTTAGAACGCACCTGCTTTCATTACGTGAACATTATCCACGCCGCGGATCAGAGCCCGCACTCCCTTCATCTCGCTTCCCTCCGAGATCAAGCTGAGCCGGAGAATTTTTTCAGCACGGTGAACGGAGAGTCCGTCGACGGGGGAGGTCAGACAATCTTCGGAGGAGTCAGATGATATTCCCGTTGATGACAGAATTCCACTCCAACGAATCGTAGGATCATGGTAGGCGGGAGACGGGCCGAATTTTCGCACGGTCGAAACGGGTTCACAGCTTTTCTCCGAACGGGCGAACGAGGAGGTCAAAGAAGATTTTCAGAGTACGTATAGAACTCCATGATATCTCCCCTTCGAAGCACACGGGGAAAATAGCCCACGAAGATGAAGTCTATCGCCGGGGATGTGACGACGATGATGACGATGATCCGTGCACCTCGAGCGAGTCGACTCGGGCGGCTCGCGCAAATCCCTCTGGAAAAGAACACGAAGCCCTCATACGACGAGCTCTTTGTTCTACGATTGCGGTCAGGAGAAAGTGATGACCATATCTGCGAATACGTGGCAGAGCCGATCCTAATCACGAGTGAAGCTGCTGGACGATCGTCCATCACGGCCATCGCATTCCCGGCCCCAAGGAGCGGCCAGGTCTCAAGACCCCCGACTACACTCGTTTCGTAGAAAGTTTTTCCCTTAGTTTTTGTACAGCGTAATGAGTTTTCTCCATGAGAAGAAGGTGCGGGATGCCTCCTCTCAACATGTCCCTGCCCGACCGACTCTGCTGAGCGTGCTTCCCCCCGTGGAATGGTATCAATCGTATAGCCCTAAGAAAAGCCTGCTACTGTCAAGGACATTTCTGCGACAGTCGCAGATAGCCTAGCTCTCCGATTTCCGATCGTAGAACCGAATCTTCGATAGCACATGGATACGATCGTGAGTTTTCCCTGTATCCAGGTCGGAAGAACCCGCCGAGAGCTAACTCGGAAGACGACTGGGTTTTGCAAACAACCGCGCTCTTCGGAACCGCGATGATTGCGATGCACTGTCGGCTTCATATTGGAAGTCCATGAAAGACCGCAAGCAACCTCATGGACCTGCAGTCAAGATCCGCGGCTTTCAGGAGAACTTGTGGTTCCACGCGGAGCCCAGAGGCGATCCGCGTCAGGGGCGCATTGCGCTCGAGGGAGTCCCCCAAGCAGACGAGTATCTTACAATATTAGGTCAGCTTTGATAAAGTACAGAGAGTTTCAGATGGAGTTCAAGGGATTCGTGCCTTCCTTCCCGATGAACGTGCATGCGGGTACTTCTTGCCGGTCAATGCACAGAGACTGTCTCGAACAAGGTGCATTAGATTCCTCTATTCCAGATACGCACGTCAATTCGTGAGAACTCCAGTAGTTCTTTAACGAATGGAGAGCTGGCAGCCGTGCATAATTGTTCAAGTCCCGCTCTATCGATAAGTTGGTGCCCAGCTTATCTCATGGCGAAAACTCAAGGCCGTCCCATTACATGTCCGCTTGAGGTTGGGAAGAAAGCGACGGCAAAAACGTCCGCTCCCGCGGGGAAATTTCATATCGGATGGATAGCCTTGGGCCATCGTAAAAGCTTGCAGTTCGCTCCGAAGGGCATCAGTTCCTATTCCAACGGAGGGGTCGATTTTTTTCGCCACGTGGCTGTTCCATGGTCCCTCCGGCCCCCTACGATGTCGTATGATGGTCATTGATCGAGATTTCGACCAGCGACTGAAGGAAAAATCGATTTCCGATGGAACCAAGTCTGAATTCATCAGGATGGATGGTCTCGAATCCTTGGCATCTCATCCTTCGAAATTGGAAAAACCATGAAAACGATCCATACAAGGATATTGTTTTTCGCTCTGCGAGATCCTGACCCTGACTGACACGCTGTCTCCCGCTTCTCTAAAAGACGGACATAAAGTACGCTAATCAACGGACCGCTGGGAGCCCTCCTCCGACTGACGACAACCGCCGACAACGCACTGCTGTTCTCTCAGTCCGAACGCGAATCGAGTGCTGTTGCCTGCATGATTTATCGAGAATTTTCACTGGGATTTGTGGCCGATTTCCGAAGCGAAATCCGGTGCAAGCGCCCATATCACTCCATGTGCCAATGGTTCTGAAGTCACGTTAAAGTGACTCTCGGTCAAGTGAGTAAATTCTCCTGGATTGCCACCGGTTGTCTTAATTTTCGAACCATGTTTTTCGTTTGAAATTTAAAACGCTGAAGACGAATGCCGCGATCCCGCGAAAGCTCCTGAAGGAAGCCGCGAGACTCCCTCAATCCCAGACGCGCCGAGAGATCCTTACTGGTCCAGCACGAGTTCCGGCGGAAAAAAAGAAGGGGTTGCCCGCTCCCAAGTCCGAAATACCGGGCGAACTGATATGTTCCCCCTGTGACAAAGCTCGTGTGACTCGAACAGCATTACAACTATAAGTTTCCATCGGAGTCCGACTGCGGTCCCAGAATCTTCCCGGAGGCCCGGGAGAACTTCTCGATCGTCTCGGATTTATGAAACGTTTCGAGTCGGAACTCTGAGACCGCTTCCGATTGAGTCATCACCTGTGGTTTCGAGAGGAATACTCGATCGCGCGTCAAGTTGCCGATACTAGAGTCCCGAGGCACATCATCGAACAGACCGCGATAATTTTCTCTAGCTGCAAGCGATCGGATATCCGGGAAGCGCGCACTGAGTGTACTAAATCTAGCTATTATCTTCATATCAAAGCGAGCTCCGATAAGTTCAATTCAAGCAATCTTCACGACGGGCAACGTCTTCCATTTCAGTCAGTCGAGCTCGGAAATGGAACCTCCCACCTGCGAAGCGGCTCTGCAGGCGATACATATCCTGTATGGGGTGGCAAACTCGCAAGAAAAGGAAAGTGCCGCGAAATGGCTCGAACAGCTACAGAAATCCGTGTACGCATGGAAGGTGCGTAATCATCGTCCTCCACCTTGTCCCGCAATGTGTCGCCGCATAATGTACCCCGAGAGACGATTCGCTCTGACGGGAACCCTTTCAGGTCGCGGACGAGCTACTCCTTAGACGCGTGGACCACGAATCTTGCTATTTCGCAGCACAGACAATGCGGACAAAAGTAACTAGAGACCAAAGCGGATGCTGGTTGCGTGTGAAAATCTTCGGGGGCGAAACTCACCCATAACCGCTCCCTGTTCTAGATTCAACGAAGTTTCCAAGAATTGCCACCATCGTCCTATATATCCCTCCGGGACTCCTTGATGAATCAGTTATCCATGAACTGGTCGCCGGTGATTCTGACGCAGCTCGGCTTAGCTGTCGTAGATCTTGCCCTCCTGATGCCACACTGGCAGGCCCCAGTCAAGGATATCATCACGAGGTGAATTACTCGGATATATCCTGATGCAGAGCTTTCATGTCGTTATCGTCCTGCTGTCGTCAGTGAAGTCAGGTCGATGAGATACTGACGACAGTCATGATTCTAGGTTTGGCGCATCGACTGATGCCTCTTCAAAGTATACCTTATTGGAATTGCTGACCCTATTTCCTGAGGAAGTTGAACCGATGCGAGTGGGTCAAAATAGGCGCTCCGAGGTGAGCCAGACCTGGTGTATGATCCTGAATCTTCCGAACGATCTTCGCTCCCGATTTCGGACTCCAGGAGATTCAAAGCACAGTAAACTAAACAATTCGATTCCAGATAATAGCCATGCTCACAGCTTCCGATCGAGGCGTCTTGCAAGTGTTAGTTGACTCACTACAGCATCAACAGAACGATGGGAGAGTGGTTTGTCAGGTGGGTTTCACATCGTTTCACAACGAATTCAAGCGATTCCATTTCGAGTCGAAGGAAAATCCAGGTAGATAATTATTCCTCTTCAAGGTGTTTCGGTGCATGCGAGCTTGGCTGGAGACGCGAGTGCTGCCCCCAGAAGACCCGATTCTCCTCAACGTTTTGCTCCCGAAAGCATTCGAGGTGCTCATGGATACGAACGCGAACCGCAGCTTGCAGGACGCGGCTCTGGAGGCCGTTACTGAAGCTATCATACTTGCTGAAGACACGGAAAAGTATCATCAATTGGCGGTTTTTTGTTCGACCAGAACGTACTTGTTACATGACGTCTACGTCCAGGCTGTCAACTCGGAAGACGCGGATAGACCAAATATATACTGTAGAATC